TCTTTTACAAGCCCGCGATTCTTTTACAAGCCCGCGATTCTTATTGACTTACATGACGAGCAAGAACCCTATCACGTTGTCAGCGCACGGTCAGTTCGGCAGGCCAACTTTGCATCGCGGTTTCCGCTGCTGTGTTACGCATGGCGGGTTGGCGGCAGCTGCACCTTTCTTTCTGGATTGCAACAGTGGGGAAGCCCTCAATGGAGGGTGATTCCGAGCTCCCGTCTGCATCCCGTCTGCATCTTGGATGCATCTTCGCCAGCTGATAGACAATCTCACAATGTGGCTTGGACATCCCTCACTCCCACCAAGCGCAAGCTTAGCTTCCTGCCCGTGCCGACCAAGGTAGTTTAGTGGTGTGCTTGGTCAGCTCCTAGAGACTTCATCTTCTGCATATCCATCTGCTCGTTCCATCTAGCATTTCGTCGAGTTTGTTATTGTTTGTCATTCATCAAGGAGGCTGTTGGACATTGTCGCTGTGACTCTCATAGACCAAACTACCCCGAGAACACACGCAAGATGGACCACGAGATGACCCCGGAGATCCAGATCCAGCAATTACCAACTGAGCCGCCCGATTCCTCCAACCGCGACCGCGACCTAGCTAACATGCACTCCCAGTGCTGGCGCTTCGCCCAGGCTCTTTACCCCTCTTCAGTTCTCCGCGAGGCTCCAACACAAGGTTATTGCTCTTACACTCTTCAGCTCGACCACGACGCCATCATCCAGTTCCGTCCATGGAGACACCGTCTGGATCTCGAGCTCATCTCAGCGGTACGAGACACATTCGGCGAACTGGCACCTGTTACCCAGCTACTTGGCACGGTCCACATCCGCAGAAGTGCATCCAGAGACCAAGAAGCAGAAGAGCAAGACGATGACGACAACCCAGGCTCCCTCTTGGTGTATGCCCTCTCCCGGATCCCAGGCACCCCACTCTCCACCTTCCTACACCACCAACTCCCATCCAGGGCGCAACTTGAGCCGTTGATCCGCTCTTTTGCCCGGCTCTACGCAACCGCCTGGACCTCTGCCCTCCCCGCATCCTCCCCGCTACTCCCTGCTCTGAAACGCCGCATCGGCCTAAGCCTCCGCTGGCGACTGGAGCAGATGCATGCCCACCTCCCGGCACGGTTCCGCGGCACCGTTGGCCAACTTCTCGCCGCGCTGGGGGAGGTGGAGGCGCTTCCGTGGGCGTTGACGCACGGCGACCTGGTGCCGACTAACATCATGGTAGACCGGGCCCGGGAAGACGGGAGCTTCCAGCTGAAGGGCCTCATTGACTGGGCCGAGGCAGAGTACCTCCCGTTTGGGGTGGGGCTCTACGGGCTAGAGGAGTTGCTGGGGTTTGCTTCAGGCGGAAAGGGGGAGGAAGATGGGGGAGGCAAAACTGCTCGGTACCCACCGCTGGGAAGTACGTTTGCCTACTTCGCTTGCGCGGAAGAGCTGAGGGCGATTTTCTGGGAGGAGCTGGGCGCCGCTGTGCCGGAGCTGGTGACTGACTTGGCCTTGCGCGCAACGGTTGAACATGCGCGGTTATTGGGGTTGCTTTTGTGGTATGCTGCTCGCCTTATGATTGATACTTGCTCCTCTTTCCTACCCGTTAATAAATCATGATTGAGTGAGTGGGCGCGCTAAGTCCGATACATAGGCACGGCATTGCCTTCGACAACGGAGCGCTCGACCGTGTCGTCCGCATCGGAGAGGATGACGAGGAAATGCAGAGATTGGACCTGTTTCTCCTTGCGCCAAAACCCCAGGGTCGTGCTTCTGTGGGCTCGTATACAACCACCGACGGCATGCGAACGAGCTTCGGCAAAACCAGCAGTTTACTTGACGTTGGAGAGACCGATGAGACGACCATCAAGATGGGTATGAGAATCCCCGTTACTGTCGGTGAGTACTGTACCGGGTAACTGTGTTACCAGCGCACGCGGGCGTGTTCCTATGTACCCTGGAGAAACGTGCTGCATCTGAGAAGAATCGTCTTCACCCCTGACGCAAGTTCATTATCGGCACCTCTCCGCCATGGCGCCATCAACGAGATCTCTGGCTCCACCGTAGAATCCTAGTATGTTCCCCTCAGTATCCACAATATTGACTTTTCCAACCATCTTCGAGGCACCCTCTAAGCAGTGAGGATATTGACCAGCTGCGCGACAACCGCATCACCCATCTCGGCGGTGCCGGCGTTACCACCCAAATCCTTGGTCTTCACGCCATTATCAATCGCCAGTTTGACGGCGGTCTCGACAGCGGCCGCCTCCTTAGGCAGGTTCAGCGAGTACCGCAGCATCATAGCGACCGAGAGAATGGTGCCGATGGGGTTGACAATCCCCTGGCCAGAGATATCGGGGGCAGAGCCTGGAACGATTAGCGCACTCACTACGCTGCGGAACGAACTGAAAAGTAGAAACTCACCGTGGATCGGCTCATAGATGCCATTGCATTTACCCTTGCCGTCCGGAATCCCGCCTAGACTAGCACTGGGTAGCAGGCCGATGCTCCCGGGGATAACTGAAGCCTCATCGCTGATGATGTCACCAAACAGGTTGCTGGTGATGACGACGCCATTTAGGGCGCGCGGGTTCTTGACCATGAGCATGGCAGCGCTGTCAATGAGCTGGTGATTGAGCTCGAGCTGGGGGAACTCTTTGGCAAACACCTCGGTCACAACCTTGCGCCAGAGCCGACTCGTGGCCATGACATTGGCCTTGTCCAGGCTCCAAACCTTGGACGGCGGGTTGTTCGCCAGGGCCAGGAAGCCGGCCAGGCGGGCGATGCGCTCAATCTCGGCCCGGCTATAGGGCTCCGTATCCATGGCGAAGCCGGACCCGTCATCCTCCTTGCGATCGCCAAAGTAGATGCCCCCCGTCAACTCCCGGACGACGACGAAATTGGTGCCGCGGCAGACCTCGGCCTTGAGCGGGGAACTGTCGACAAGGGAGTCGGAGGCGAAATTGCACGGCCGCAGGTTGCCATAGGTGCCGAGTTCCTTACGCAGTTTCAAGATGCCCTGCTCCGGGCGTACGGGAGACGACGGACCCCACTTCGGACCCCCGATGGCGCCGAGGAGGACTGCGTCGGCGGCCTTGGCGGCGGCAAGGGCCTCATCGGTCAGAGGGTCGTTGTGAACATCAATCGAAGCCTGTGGTTTGGGGCCAATGGGTTAGCAACTCCGATATTGTGTGTATTCCCACCCAGAGGGTCGGGAGTCAGAGCTGAAGAGGCATCCGGCATGCTGAATGCCACGTGTAGCTTATCATGGTGCACCGAATCGAGCCGTTCGTGACACCAAGTTTGCTCGTGTGCTTAACGAAAGGCGGGGTAGCTCCGAAGCTTCAGGGAGTGGAAGAGGCATCACGGGTTACAGCAGCAGCAGCTGCTGCTGCTGCAAAGAACAGAAGATTGCGTGAAAGGAGAAAGAAAAGGGAACTTACGCCTCCCAAGAGTTGATGCTGGAGATTGAACTTGCCCGCAGAGGGGCAATTCGCCTCAATTGCTCTGAGGACCTGGGGTTGAACATAGTTGTGAGCTTCCCATGCTTCAAGGTACCCGCCGTTTCAATCCATTGTGTCTCGGGGGGCGTGGGAGGGAAGTAGGTATAATTCCATCAAAACACACCTTAACTGCTTCGGCCACAACCTATCCCGAACGTGTTAGTTTGTCTGTGCCTGTACCGCAACAATTGAACCGCGAAGTGGCACGGAACTTACCTCGGGACCGCAGTGGTCGCCACCAAAAACGACAATGTTGTGTGTCGCCATCTTTTGTCGTTTGCTCTCCTTATCCCCCTTAGCTTGTCCCACCGCAACTATCCTTTACTCAGGCCTACAATTTCTGTTTCGTTTGCCAGAAAAAGGCAGCGGTGAGGGCGTTAGTGGGGTTCTCGGATTCGAAGCGGAGGGTTGTTTGATTTAATTGATGCCCCTCGTGGGTGGAAAAGCAATGAAAACACAAACAGACGAGGATGTTCAGAAAAGAAGGAAACCAAGCAAGGTTTCAACCACCCTCAGAATCACAAGGGAAAAAGGCCGGGAAACCGAGAACTCCTTGGAACAGCGAGCAAAATCCTCAGCAATGAATAAATATCCTTGGCCACGATTTTTGAACCTTGACCTCACTCGCCCGCAATTCTTTTACTCTACATACCTTGGCCGAACGACCCCGCCATCCGAAGTCGGCGTGTGGGGAAGGCAGAGGGAGAGAGCTCGGGATCCAAGCTCGGATGCCCGGGTTGCATTCCGCTTTCCGGAGCTCCGGGACTTGCTTTCGTTTAGAGCGATATTCCCAACGTCTCCCGAGGAAGTCTATCTCCAAAAAGTACAGAAATAATAACCCACGCCTGGCATCCACCCTGTCATGAGGATTGTTTACCAACATTGACAATTGATCTTTCTCCTACCTGGCCCAAGCCAGAGCCCTCGACCCAGGACACACATGTAGGTTAGGCGGGTGGTTCTCTGTTGGAGGGAGAATTGCTGCGGTCTCTGCATCGCCAACATCTGCAGCTTATCATGTGCACCCTGGCATTTCCTCGTGGTTATTCCAATGATGGAAAGGGGTAAACAAAGGGATTGGGGCTTGAGCCTCTCAGAAGGAACCACATTAGCTTGAAGCTTGCAGTTCTGCATCAGTCCCTGCAGAGCGGGGAAATGGTAAGCTTCGGCTGCAAATTCAAGACGCCTACACTTGCGTTTTTCGTTTCTCATGCGTCATTGTTGTATCGTAAATGCTATAGGGAAGTTTGAGTGTTGTATGTACTGGGCAGCTTGCTGTGAAGCTTGCCGTTCCCGGCCCACTTTCTCTTCAAGTTCGTTTGATAAGGCACGTTCCCGGGCCTCGTCAAGAGACTCGTTCAATTCCTCAGCACTGGAGCGTCATAACCAGTCCGTTCATTACCTGTTTGCTTATCCGAGCGTTGTCCGTTTTGAGAGTGCAGCCTCCCCCAGCCGATTCATTAGCGGAACGACTTGAGAGACTTGTGCGCCAGCGGCGATGTCGTTGTGGCTAGCGGCTCGATTGAACCAAACAAACCGCCGTTGTCTCGAACTCTACCTCCGCGGACATTTGGCGTGTTCGCGCATATTGCGCAGATATATATGGATGGCATCTCTCGCTGTGTAATGTTGACGCATTGGCCGTGCACCCACATCTCGCACGACTCACTAATTGCATCCTGTCAGCGCATATCATGTAGGAACTGACGTGGGGTACGGTACGCACCATTGAACTAAAAACTCGTCCCGGCCAGCCTCGGTTCGGTTGCACACGCAACGGACGCCGCGGTTTCTTGAAGAATCGCTCGTCGGGGTGGGCAAGCTTGCATCGCTCAGGGTTGTGGGCGAAGTTGCGCATCGCCCAGAGTAGTTTCCGAAAGACGCGGCTGCCCTGGAACCGCTCGAGGTGAGCCGTTTGTGCTTGGAGGTCGTATGTTGCCGTTGCCGGCTTTCACGCAATTTTCGGAGCTCACTGACGGCATCTCCGGAAGCCTTCCGAGTCGGTGTCAATTCGTCCACTACCGTCTCCCCGTCGCTGTCCTCGTCATTCTGAAGCCCGCCCCGGAAGCTCGTGGATGACGTTGTGCTGCGCTCGCTAATGCTTGGCCGTGAAGAATGAAACGGATGGACAGTCGTCGGCTTCCGAGGGTCCGGGAGCGCAAATGACGTATTTCTGCTGGGAATGATGATAGGGTCCTCATCAGTGGATGACGAATCATCGTCTGATGACGAATCCCACTGACGGCGCGGCGCGGTATACGAACTGTGCCTTTTGCGAGCTGTTGGGCTAGGCTCATTAACCACTACCACGGTCGTCTCTACCCGGGCGCGCCCATTAGCGTCAATCGTGAACTTGGCCTGCGTGCGCATGCGTGGGCCTGATGTCTCGGGAATTGACGACAGGCTCGACAAGCGGTGCTGGTGCTTGTGGTGAGTACTTTTTGATGGCGACGACCTTCCACTCGGTCTCTGGGGTTGAGATACGACTGCGCGTTTGGCGCCGACGCCGGCATTATTCACCAATTGAGACTGGGGACGTGGAGCGGGCGCGAGGGTGGGCAGAGATGACCGGCCCAACGGCTTCCTTCCTCTGTTTTCGCTGAAACTGCGGGAAAGCCCGGGCCGTCCGGTGGATTTGGTCGGAGAGCTTGCCGAGGTCCGATCTTGTTTCTTCGGGGTCACATCTTTGACGGTGGCCGAACGGCGCAGCTCGCTGTGATTCCCGGCCTCCGGGATCGACGATACACTACCATCCAACTGGCCTCCTTGGTGTGCTGTAGGGCCTGGAGGTTGCATAGATTGGCTAAAAGGAGCCTGATGCATGCTGGCAGACTGAGGTTGGCTGAAGAGCAGCCCGGGATTCACGGCGCCACCGTTGTCGCTTATCCCAAAAGGGTCATCGACAGGGGTGGGATAGCTGACCGCAAACATCCGATGCTCCGCTGATGAGGTTACAAGCATCGGCATGGGCCCTTGGGAGACGAGGGTAGAGTGGTGGTCACCAGAAGAGGCATGTCCACTTCCATGTCCCGCAACCCCGTTATGACTTTGCAACATCTGGTTCGCAGCTGCCCAAGCTGCGGGACCCGAGGCTTGGTGTGAGGGGTGTGGTTGGAAGACTTCCCCGCCGCCAGTCCCGAAGTCAATATTCAGGCCAGCCAGGTTTGGATCAGAGTCCCAGAAGGACCTTTGAGCCCCGAATGCAGGTGCAGAAGCCGGGGCCGACAGAGGATAAGCGAACATGTCACCTTGAGCTGTCACGAAGCTACCCATGGCCTGCTGTGGGGTAGTCGCCATGTAGTGCTGCTGGACAAAGTCCTGATCATTTTGCATGGTGACGGTGTCAAGCTTGGGAGCAAGCTTGCGATCACCCTTGCGGGCCGTAGGGGGTGGGGTTACTGGCTGCCTCTGCGATTCTAGGGCAGCCGGGCCGCGACACGCCTTTTTCGCCGACCTTTCGACGGGTCCCGGCAGCTGATCGGCAGCGGCTGAGTGGCCGAACGTCGGAGTTTGCAAGGGGACCGGTGACGATCGTAAGATTTTTGAAGACTCGACGCGGGGAAGCTGAAGGCTCGCGTTTGGCGGGAGCTTATTCACATGCTCAGCGGTCTCGGAAGCAGTCTCGTCGGTAGACAATGGGCGTTTCTGACCTGCACCAACAGGAGATGGGGTTGCCGGGCTGAAGGCAGGGAACGAGTCTAGACCGTTTCTCAAGCTTCCCGGGGTTGTGTTGAAGACTGAAAATTCCTCGGCGAACCGAGGAGTCCACCGGCTTGACTCGTCAAAGCGGCCTTGGTTATTCTTGGGCGTCTCGAAAACGGGACTCGGTAGAATGGAAAAAGTCGGCGTCCGTTTCGGCGTGGGCGGCTGACCGTTGGGTTCACCAAAGCTAGGGAAGCCCCATTATCAGCATGGCAAACAATCGGATAGGCCCGAAATAACCCCGGAGTCATTCTGTTGAGGGAGCAAGGGAGGGAGCGAACCTCGAAGCCAGCTGATCCGAGCTCATAGCAGATTCGACTCTTCCTCAAGCACATATCCCGACCACAACATCACAACAGACACGGGGTGCCAATTGACAGGGCAAGCGGACAAGCGATCGAGCAGCGCGAGGATATCGGCTACAGAAAGCCGTAGCAACGGGCCGCCAATGTTTCAAACTGGAGCGTGATATCCGTTTATCCCGGGAGCTATTCCCATCACCCAATGGTCGTCGATCTTCGCTCGGCAATAGCACAGACAATAAGCTGGATATCAGAAGCCAGTCAGCTAAGACAGTTTCCGAGCAGCGGGAAGGAACTTAAGGAATCCTGAGCACTCAGACGGACCTCGAGACGAAGCGGGGCAGGAGCAGGAGGAATAGAATAGGAATCTTGCCACGAAATCAGGAGAGGACTTCTTCCAGATATGGGGTTGCGGTACTGCCGGCGAGGGGTCAAGAACGAGTTATACGACTCAATTCCTGGGGGCTGAAAGGCGGCATGTAAAAAAGCTGCTGGACTGGTCAGGTCTGTGTGCTACCTGGGTGGGCAACGGCACAGTTCCTCCCTGCGGATCCTATCCGTATGTAAATGTCGGAGTACAATACAGTACGTATCCAACCTCTGTAGGTTTCGTGTGCAGATGTGATGTACGGTAACGGTAATGCTTACCTACATACAATAGCTGGCGCGGCTGGGACACGGTTCAATGAACAGACGCTCTCCCCAATGGCCTGGCGAAAAGGCCCTTGATTACCCAAGGTGTACCGTTGGAAAGACCGTAGAGTATGGGACTGGCGGCAATGAAGACAGACCGACACCAGCACGAGACTTTGTGTGGAAGGTCTCTAACAGAAGGAGGGGCGGCTAAAGGACTTGAAGTTCACGGCAGCCGGTTGGTATTGGTGCGATACCAAGTGGGGGGTTGCAGTGGACCAGAATGCTGGCCGCTCGAGCATTGCGGAGGGGAACGACCTCCCTACCTACACACTAACGTTACCTTGCCTTACTACGGATACCTACCTGTGTAGCTGCTGGGCTGGCGCATAATCCGCTAAATTCCAGCATGGGAGACAGTGAGGGGATTCTGTGCGGATCACTCCAAGAACGTTAATTACCGTATGTACATACAGTACCAATGCTGTCCCAGGTTGTGGATTTACCTACCTTAACGTATTGTACAATACATACAATACCGTACCGCAAAGAACCCACAATTAAGGGCAAACGCCAGCCTCGAAATGCCCCGCCAGCTGATATTGTAAACCTTGCCTAACCCTACCTCAAGACCAAGCACTGTACAGTACCTTATCAACTACCCGTAACTTCGCCGAGATGCGAATAGTACCTATCCTCTATCACCACCGGTCAGGTATTGTGACCATACTCTCCCATCTACGGCTCCAGCACGGGGGCAGCTGCAAGGCCGGGGAGTAGCTCAGGTAATTATGTACTGTACCACATGTGGTGCAATTCATGAACAGGCGGTGATGCTAGAGTCTATATCTTGGCAACTCAAATACCCACAGAACGCCAGTTCCACCGTGCTTTTCATCAGGCATCGGCACGAGCAGCTTCGTACTGCCGAACCCGTCATTGTTACCAGATGTTGAGTACCTAGGTAGTGGCTGGTTTTGTCTGTAAAATGTATATGTAATCATTGTACATAACAGCACGAAGAGAGCTCGGACGGAGGCATATGCAAGATCGGATGAGTCAGAGATCCCCTGCTTAGCAGCGTTTCTCAGGCAGCAGCGGCCCTAAGAAAACAAGGTAGTTACGGTTGATAAGAACACTACGATTGTGTATCGGGGCTCGCGAGGTCAACGTTGGTCATCTTGTTTCGGGAATAAGCAGCCTACCTAGCTCCATACGTTTCTGCCGGTCGCCAATAAGGGACTTGGCCGGGGTTATGTTACTAAACGTAACGTGAGCACTGCATCCAGCCCTTCCATCAGAAATTAAGTCATCAGCTGTGAACCCACTGGTACTTGATCTGGGATTTCAAAGGCATAATTATATTGAATTGCTTACTCCATACTGTAGGTTTTCCAAAACTTCTCCTATTTTATTGCAGGTGGAAATCGGTCCCTTCGAGAGACACTGAGAAAGGGTGATATCGATCCGCTCTCCCTCAACCGAAGATCCGATCTGCGTCCAGCTCGTGCGAGAGACAGGCCCCGAAGGATTCTGCTTGCTGCACCTCGATAGGGACTTGCATCGCAAGTTACCTGGTATGTACGATTGTGTACCTCACGCTTCTAGCTTCGCACTATCGTTTCTAAGGTAGGTAGGTGATGACGACCAACGAGCAGGCTGAGCCGCGGTGGATCAAGAAAGCTGACGCCGTTCTGCAGCTCGTCGGAAGTGCCAATGCAGGATGCAGAAGAGGCGAGATTGAATAGCATTTATTTCCCTCCTTTCGGACTGGCCTTTTCTCGGGACGCAGGGGAATTCCGGGGTTGGAAAGGGGCGTCCATTAGATTGACCTGTAGCAGTCGCTCGGTTCCTGCGTCAATGCAACGACCGCGGGGAAACTTTGATGCTGCGTTTCCGAGGTTGACATTGGTGCTGACAGGCGCCGAGGATTTCCGTTGCTACTCAATGTAGTACTTATGGAATGATAGAAACGAAATAGGTTTGCCAGCTCACGTTTCTCTGCAGTTTCTCTGCAACTTCCCGTCAGAGGTGTCTTTGCTTGTGTTGATGAAACGGTTGCCGAGTGGTTGTTGGATGTTACTGTTCGAGCCTCCTGTCGAATCCTAGCAATGACTGGACAAGATCTCCCATGAGGTAACTGAGGGATTGATTGGCGGGGCGTCTGATGGAGCCACTCACAGTCACACAGGGCTTCAGCTGCACCCTGTCTCTCAAGCCACTCCATGTTTGAGAGCACCCTCAGAGCTGGCCATTCAATGTTTCTTGAGCACCGTATTTCGGGAACATGGTGCGCAATCTGCCATGCTTTGAGCAAATCAACACTCTAGAGAAGATAAACAAGAACACACCTTGTCAGCACGCCAAGGTAAGGTCCTCGCTGTACAGTACATAAAAAATAACAGCCACGCCATGGGTTGACGTATGTACTCCGTACTGGGTATGTATGTACGAAGTAATTACGGTCTTTACCGAGGCAACAGCCACAAACTGGAATCTGGGTTTCGGCCAGTGTCAAGCCACAATCGCCGAGCTGAATATGCAAGCACTTAAGCATCCCTGCCAAACGGCCCCATAGGGCGACGGGAAGAATTCCTTTTTTTATCCCTCCTCCGGGTTAACACTTTGATGGGTAGCTGCAAAAGCCCAAGCACGTCATGACAATGCAATATGTGTGAGCAGAGCGCCAAAGTCCCCGGCCTCTTAAATTGGCTGTCGGTACCGGCTGAACAAGGCTGTCATCCATTGCTAAGGTATCTGAATTGATTACGAACATTAAGGTAGTTATCCGTAGTTTGGCCCCTTTTCTTTCGCTCCCGGGGCAACCAGAATTTAGATACCATGCAGTTACCGGGGTTACAAGAAAGACTTGCCCCTGCGTTGACACCTTAACTCAGCTAGCTGGTCCATGCTGCTGTTAGCAACATCACCATGCGATAGTAGTGTACATACCAGGGCAACTATTTCTTACGTCGTTACAAGGGTTCCTGCCTAGCTCGGTGGACTACAAGTGGCCGACTTACTGCTGACCTTCGCCTCGATTATCAGCTGTCAAGTGTCTCATGGCAATTGAATCCAACTTGAACCAAACCAGCCTGGCTCTTGGTGAAGAAGCATTTCAATTTCTCGGGAAACCAGTTTGATTTTTCCACCCGTTCCTCCAAGAAACCTTGCCAATCTTCCTATCTGGTCCATTCCCATCCCCGTCCCCAGTGCCTTCTGTCAGATAAAGTGCCAGCCTTTCCTTTGCCCCCTACATGCTCCGCTGTCTTCGTCTCAGGGTATCAACAGGCCGTTCACATTACGGCCGACTAACTAGCTAATCTATCTAATGGGTAAAGCAGTAGGCTACGCTCCGGACATTAAACTCAAAAGTTGAAGGAGTGGTGAGAACTGAATGCGGGAACTAGAGCTCAATGACAAAAAATGGGAGCAAGAACTGGGGCGAAGGTGATGTCGAAGCGAAAGTGAAGGGGAAAAGAAAACAGGAGGGGTTTGGAGCGAGAGAAGAGGCAGAAACCAACGACAATGAAATGGAATAACTGCGGTTTTCACCCCAACATAATCCATTGGATATGGGAGCTGCTCCGGAGTAGAATAAAAGGATTGGCATATCTCGCCGATTAAAGTGCGTCTTTTCCTCCCGTACTGAAGAAAAGGAAGGAACTACAGTCCACGTCAGCAACTCGACTCTTTCCCCTAATCAATCCCCTTTGCCCTTTCCGCGCCCCCGCGCAATGAAGTCATCCCTTGGCCAGTCTATAGGTATAACTATACTAATCCGTGATTCCGATAATCATCATCATCATCATCGGCAACAGCCGTCGGGGGAAAGAATGAAGTGATTTGATTGCTTCCGGGTCATAACGGGCATTAAAAAATTGCTTGTTGAAAAGTAAGAAAGGTAGATAGCAGTCTGGCTCGAAATAGAAGACGAAGAGAATTTAAATCATGTTCGAAAAACCGCTGATGCCGGCGAGCGGGCCAGCCGGACTGATCATTGCGGGCCGGGACGGGGGTCGCGGAGGAGCCGACGTCACTTGGGTGCGAATCTGAGGGGGGATGGGCCTCGGTGGGCGCTGCGGCTGAGGGTTTGCTGGTTTCTGCGCAGTCTGCTGCGAAGGCGGAGGGGCGGGCTGTTGCTCCAAGGACGGCTGTGCCTGAACCTGGGGATGGGTCTTTGTGGGAGTGGGCGTATTTGCAGCTGAGATTGCCGGCGTCGCTTGAGGGGTGAGAGGCTCTGCGATGGGCTTTGCCATGGTCGTCGCCGTGGGCGTGCTTGTCTGAGGACGGGTGTAGCTGCTCTCCCTCCTGCGTTTCGGCGCATCCTTGACCTTTGGATGGGTGTGACACTTTGCCAATGGTTAGCTGACAACAACCTTGGGGAAAGCGCGGAAATGCTCAGTTGCTTACCTTGTATGCGTGCCTAAACCAGGTGGTTCCCTTTTTCTTGCTGCTCACAAGGGCAATCCACTCATTGCAGCTGCCGCAGAGCCCTTCCCATACGTCTGGGTTTCCATCCATGCGCCTCGTCTCCTGGGGCTCCTGGAACGGATTGCCCGTCGCCGCGCTAATGCCATGGGTGAAGCTCTTATCGTACCAGAAGGCCGAGTTCTTTAGCACGAGCCAGCGCCCCGGCTTGCAAATGCCGCACCATCCTTCGCGCTTATTGCCATGGCCCCTCACCCACTTTGGAGTGTACAAGTCGCCGTCGAACCTTAGCTCCTGCTCATGAGGAACAAGATTCTGGTCGGTGGGGTTCATGTCTTCGGGAGGCGGCGGCACTTGCTCTTCGTGAAGCGAGGCGTACAGGTCGGGCGGATCCGAGAGATCGGTATAGTGAGTATGTAAAGAATGGGGATCGGCGTTGCTCTGGAGCATGCGGAAGACCCCGTGAGAAAGTAGCGGAGGTGCGTTGTCAAACTGATGCGCATCTGGATGGAACGCGTGGGACGGCAGCTGGGTGGGTAAGAGCATGGTATTGCGATGGAAGGCCTGGGCGTTACTCAAGAGGTAAGGATGCTGTTGTGCTGCCTGGAGGTTGCCAAAGTTCAAGGGTAGTTGGCCATTCGCTATCGTGGGCGACGAGTGGCGCGAGGCCATACGAGCATGTAAGTTGAAGGCATCCGGGGGCGGATGGTAGACAAAAGGCGATGGACGTCGATTGGACGTGGTGCCGTAGGATCCAGTCGACCACCTCTTGTTCCTGGCGCTCTCAACCGAGTAAGGAGCTGCACGCACCCCGGGACGCGGCGACGGCGATGCTCTTCCCCTGCTCTGCGTGCGTACCAATTCAGTCCGACTCTGAGGTGTCATTCTCGGCGATGCGACTGGGGATAACTGAGTCGAGGAAATCATTGAATTCCTGTTAGATTGCGATGGGTAGTCTGAGGCCAGAGAAGCCGCGTCTGATAGGGTCGCAGAGAAGTCATCGTACGACGGCATTTCCGACAAAGCGCCAGAGGTGGACACGGTGAAGGACGATCCCGACATCCTGCGTGGGTTTAGCCCGTTGTCAAATGTCATTTGATCCCCGTCTAGCGGATGGCCAGGGTACCGAATGTCAGAGATCTGAATCACTTCGTCTGTCGTGTAGGCCATGCCAATGTTCATCTCAGACTCCACGCCCGGGATGTCCAGGGTATCGCCGCACGGTTTCTGCGCCCAAGAATCTGGCAGAACCGTTAGCCCCTCGATCCCTCCTTGCCGGCCGTGGCACTCACTGCCCTCCATCGTGGTGGCGGGGTAAAAGTCTTGATGAACCGACATGGGCCTGGACGATGCTGTCTCGCTTGGTGTCTGCTGCATTTGCAAGGCGGACGAATCCCACGCCGGCAGTCCCTCGAATACCCCCCCGACACAGTACGAGAAGCCCTCATGGATGGTGGCAGGCCGTGGTCTGAGCCCCTGAGAGGCCGGCGTCGTCCATGCTCCCGGTGGCGCCGCCATAGATTTCGTCTTGCCTGGCATCGCGGTTCCGCTCATAGTGACGATTGGCGGAGGATGAGACGATGGAACGTCTCCCCTGAACTTGTTATCGGCCTCGTTGAAAGTGAAGGCAGGTATATCTATCTGGTGCCGTCTATAGTAATCATGTAAGTTCTACCTTTCTGTGCGGTGGCTGTGACAAGCAAATTGGGAACGGCATACAGCTGTGCCTGAGACGAACCCATAGCCTACGACTCCAGGCGTAAGGAGCGTGCGGCTAATCTAAGATTGAGCGGGAGCTGCGTGTGGCTTTCGGGCGTTAGCGTAAGTGCTAGCTGCTCTGGCAGACACAGGCCAAGGAGGTGCAAGCTTCGGTGGGATCCACTGAGCAAGTTGTGTCGTGTGTCATGAGACTGGGGGAGGCCATTCTTGTAACTTACCGGGATCTTATAACACGCGTAAGGGCTGGTTCCGACGCATCAGATAGAGTCCGGCCAGCTAGAGCGGTAGGTACTATGCGCCGAGTAACAGATGTGGTGATGTGATAGGAAAGGAACGTCTAGATATCTGAATCTGACCCGATAACAGCGTGTCCGAGATGAAAGGAATGCGGTGCCTCCAGATGGGCCAAGGCGTGAAGATGTCGACAGACCGGTGGCGAGCTGGGCAGCAAGACAAGGAGCGAGGATAGGTCTACAGATCTGGGGAAAGGAACGGAATGGGTCGGCGAGGGCCGGCTTGTCCAAGCAATAGGTCCACACTGGCGTCGGTCCGGGGTGGGGGAGGGGGAGCGGGAAAGAGCCAGCTCTTGGTATTGCTATAGACCAGAGGCTGATATATATCAGGAGCGATAACAGAAATTGTTAAAAGGAGTGACTAGCCACTGTGGGGACGGGCGGACAACCAGTGAGTGAAGTTCAGGGTGGGATGACGCGGAGGGAGGAGAAAGAGGCCCGTATGGCGGGACGGTGTAGGACCCTTGGGGGTATAAGAGACAAAAGTCGAGTGGACTGAGTAGGAGGTGCTCGTTTGAAGGGGGGTCATAGTATGGCTCAGCACGGAACACCGGTAGGAGCTAAGCCGGATTTTTGCAAACCTGACTTGCGTCTCTGATGTCGACCACAGTGGTGTGCAGGCGCTGCTTGGTCAGTTCGCAGCGGACAGGCTGCAAGGATCATGGAGGCCAGGGTTCGAATGGGTTGGCAGGGCAAGGCAGGGCTAGGTTGCAGCTGCCCATCAGTGACCACTGACGGGGGCAGCGGAGAGGTGTGAGAGAATAAAGATGTGCGAACCAGGGACTAGGTTCTGGACATTCTTCCCCTTTGGGAAGAAGGGGAGCCCGGGCAAAACACAAGACGGCAGGGAATCCTCCGCAAAATGTCAAAGATCCGAACCCGACCCTGGGGGAAAGAAGCTTGGTAGGAAGCGGACAGCGTGCTCGAGGCAGCAGGTAAGGGCTCAGCGGGAACGGGTCAGACAGGTTCAGGGATGTAACTCGAATGACAGGGTGCTTCGGAGGGGGCCGAAATGGAAGGCTCAGAGAACGACACAAATCGATATCAATCGGTCCAGGAACCGGCACCCAGGAGAGGGGCGACCCATCTGGACGAGACGACGGGGTTGAAAGAAAGTCAGGCTATACCAGGCTGGGACTGGGCCCTGTGGAGGCTGAGAGCTGGACAGGGGACACGGTATCCGTAGTCCAGGGACGAAGACACCGAGGAGGTGGCTTTGTCTTTGTCTCATCTGTTTGCCTTAGGAGCACGAGATGGTGGCAACCATGGAGAAGAAGGGCTGCATTCTGTACGGTGGGGTACGTACATACAAGACAAGATGCAGAGGGTCAAAAGGGAAACAACAGATCAATGAAATCGCAAGGGCTGGGGAGACGCAGACCCGTTGTTCATCCAAAGACCTAGCCGGAAGACACAGCAACCAAAACTGGATGAGCTGACAGAAAGCAGAGTCGCGCTTTCTGGGTTTCCTGCACCGTAGATCCGGCGGAGGATATTCGAGATCAGTGGCATCCGCTGCAAGAAGGGTGCGTGATAGCCCAACCTGTTTAGCCAGGGCCAGTGCTCCGCTCCGCAACGATCAAAGGTCGAGCACGTTTGGCAAAGAACCACATCTGGCATCGAGCACCGTTTCGACACCGGCGATCCGATCTCGTCCTAGATCCTTGCTGTTTCCGCCTTGCCCCAGATAACGGCACGAGGACCGGCTCCGGGGACTATCAATCCAGGCCACATTCGACTGCAGAGTCACCCCAAGATGCAGCAGAGTCTAGGCCTGGGGGAGGGCACAACAGCAAATACTTGCTAGTCCTTGGGTTCTCTTTGCCATAGGAGAATCCAGGACATGCGCACCGAATATCAGGAGCTGTACAACACAACGTTGCAGCTCATTCAGGTAGGTCTTACTGGTATCATTGACTGCCAAGCGGCCACTCCTGCGGCTGGGAATGGGATTGGTCTGATGGGCTGGGGGCGACCGTGCGCAAAATGTCCGGAGAAGGCGCGAATTGGCGAGACGACCTGACCTTTACCGGTACCTGTTGCGCAGAGAAGGATTGGATCGAAGGCCTCGCCGAATCTTGAATGACAGCTGGCTGAACCCCCCACAGAAATTTACAAGCGGATGGGGGATGAGTGATGCTGGCAGCTAAGGTACCTACACGTGTAGGCCTGGTTAAGTTCATGTCTGCAGAAGCATGCGTGAATTTTGGAAGACCATGGGTTTTCGGGATGCATCTTGGTCGCGGAAAATGTGTGGTGTTGGCTGTACTATACGTTTGTCACTCGGACCTAACAATCGGGGTGCGATGAGGTGGTGGTTCGGCTTGGAGGAAATGGTGGTGGTCAGTCGCGTTCAGGAGATGTCGTTGGAAAAAAGACGCGACTCGCAGCAGGGGGCAGCATCGTTTGAGGTTGACGTTACAGTGGGCCTGGCGCGTGTCATGATTCACTGCTGATGTAATATGGTGCAGGGGTAAATTGCACAGGCCCGAAATCTGCCGTTTGTGGAATCGACGATGGTAGGCTGAGCAGAGCCTAACAGGGGCTGCTATGTGTCTCAGATTTGTCGCAGACTCCTCGACCCATGTAACCCTGCGCGTGGCATCCATCGCAACGTCACTTCTCAACTCTTTTCCTTCTCGTCTCGCCCGGAAACAATGGCCTAGCCCCTCGTTTCCCCCTCTTTTTTTCGAGAGATCCAGATCGCAACTCTACGAAGTGGCTTGCCGGTTCGCTGGCAACCGAAGCCGAATTCCGCGCTCCCGTCATCCCGTCATCGGGCGCCGCGCGCCAGGCACAAGCCATACTCCTTGGCGGGAATCGACATCGAGTCTCCCGTCAGACTAGCAGATTTCAAATGCGTGGTTTTCGACCATTCCCGGGCCAGAAATTCCAACGCCGCGCTTGGTGGACAGTCTAGCTATGTCTCGTCGGTTCAAGTGGATCTCAAGCCATTTCTTCCGGTCCTGGGCGGTCACTTCCTAATTTCTAAGGAGTTGCTGCCTTACTCCGCCTGTTAGAACTTTTGAAAGGTTGTAACTTGTGAGTCGCTTCTCGTTTTACAACCCAACAGTCCAACACTAAACGGCTGGACTGCTCCTTGATCATTTTCGCGCAAGTGTTTCCCAATCGCGCCGGCGGAACTAGGCTCCCAGCTTACGGATCGAAACGAAAGCACGTTGCCACCCACTCGGCTCGCTCTTCCTTATGCTGAGATGTTTGGTGCCCTCTGATTTGCTCCGTCTGTGCCTCTTCCACATCGGCCTTGTTATATGATCCTTTCTTAAGGTCCGCGAAGCATGGGGAACCTGGCGCGATAATCGGGGCGATTGCCGTGTCGTGCGTCCGGCCTATAGGGCTATCACGGGATACGAATGTAGCGTACAGGACAAGTGTACGCGTAGTGATGGAGCGCCACAAAGTTGTCGTGTCTCGTTGTCAAATCCGCCGGCTTCCATCCTCTTCCACTAGTCATGTAGGGCGTTGTTGAGCCAAGCTTGGGCAAATATCCAGTTCTCAGGAGGGACTCGTCTAGTGGTACTGCACACCAGTAAATACTAGTATCTATGTTAGATCTTCGGTCGTTCTGAAAGTTAGCAGTTCGGTACCTGCATCAACTACAACAAACATACAGGTACAGAGCGGGCAGCCCCATCCATAATATAGCCTACGCTGTCGATAAAACAAGCACTAGCTGGTAACGTCATTGCAAAGTAGATCGGCAAGAGAACGTCGGCCGAACGGGCGTCTTCTGCCTTGCTGGGCAACCCTCCCCCGAAAGAACTGATTCCTTCTGTTCCACAGACCTTCGATGATATCCGAGCTATCTGTAGGGTGCATGCTAGGATAGGTAGTGGTCAATACTGTACATACCTACACATTTCTCTGCAGGGCCGAAGTAGGCTCGCTCGGCTCGGTACGGAATACCCCTGCTTCTTCGCTATTCCGGCGACCCCGTCAGCCCTGCTCAATCGACAGGCCTCAGGCGCTACTATTGTACATACATACGGTATCGTAGTGTAGTGTACTATGTATGGGGACACGGGTGCGCGGATACGTATCACAGAAAGTTTGCATAACAACGCTGGCCGTTTTGGGAGATTATGTGGCCTTTATTTAGCCGTTCGCTGGCGTCCTTTCATTCGGCTCTTGTGGAAATGCCCGAGCCAGTGGTGTTAACTATAATGAAGGGAATAATGTGGTACTTCCCCACAAAAAGAGGCCGCCCATCGATGCTACAGTACGTGTAGCTGCCTCAGGAACATGGAGCCTTGTACTACGGGAATGCGGGCCCAGAAGCATGTCGGGAGGCTGATGGTGACATTGGTGGTGATGATTATGAGAGAAGGTCGCAGTGCCTGAAACAGATAATTGTACTCGAGAGTGGTGTCCAACAGCACAAGGAGAGCGAAACTGAAGACGGGGAACTCGCCCTCGGCAGCAGGGAGACAACAAAGTCGAGGAGCCAGCAAGCGAGCAAGCGAGCAAGCGGCATCACAGCTTCCCGGGCCGTTCCATCAACTCGGTGCCGAGTGGGTTACATGATATTGGATTGGCGCCGAGCCGACGGCGTGTACGGTTTCCAACCTCGCATCAATCCACATCGCTTGCTCTGAGTTTGATGTTTACGATGATAACACCACATTCAGAACCCGTTGGGTAGCCGGTCAACCTGTCTCTCCGTCGGAGTCGGTGTCCGTTGTAAATCTGGTATCTAGTATTCAGATTAAGTACATATCTCAGGTTAGTTATCAGAGGCCACCGAGAGAGATACCTACCTTAGACATGGACCTCCTCTGCAATCCAATATCAATGGCGAACTAGAACCCATGGTCTTGCTCTATATCGTCCCAACTCCTGCCCGCTGACCTGGTACCTCATGGGAGCTCAATAATGGTATTTGACCGCGGCCAAACATAACCCACAGTAGCACCAAAGAAAACCCAACACCAGCCAACGCCCATAGACCACCTCCACCCATCGCAACCAGCACACAAACCCGAAACCTCATAAATCATCCTAACTGTCCCCGTTAATCCTTCTCCACACCTCGCTCTCGGCAGCTGACAGCCTCTGTCCAGCAGCCTTGGCGAACTTCATCGCCGAGCTCAGCACCCCGTTCCCCTCCCTATCCTCATTCTCCGCCAGAGAACCCCCAACGTTGCCACCGTACGGCACATAGCCGGCGCCAGCCCCGGTTCCGGAGTGGGAATCGTTCGACCCACCCCAACCCTGCTGCTGAGGACTGTGGTAGCCCGTAGGACGGTGATAGTCAACTGGGACTGTCACGGTTGCAGTTCCGCGCTGGTTATATGCCGTCTGGGGAGGCGGGATGGCCATCTGTGGCGGGTAGGTGGCGCCGGAGATGGGTTGTGCGTTTGGGGCTGCTGTTGGCGCTGGCGGGGCTGGTCCCCCTTGCTGCTGCTGATGCGCTGGTAATGGATATGGCGTGGCTTCCGGTAGGCGGGGAACGGCGCCTGGCTGTGGCGGAGGCGGGTTGTCTTGTGTGGGGAGCGGTTGTGTTCTTGTTGGTGCCGGCTGGGACTGTACTTGGTTTGGTGTGGAAGAGGTGCGCGTGGGTGATGATGGTGAAAGGTTGTCGTCTACTGCTGCGGTCTTAGGGGTTATGCCTGACGCTTTGGCGGCGTTGATGGGGCTTTCGGTGTATACTTTGATGGGAGGCATGGTGTTGAGCGATGGTGATGGTGGGAATGACAGATTGAAATCGAGATGATGAGCTTGGACGATCAGCTAAGATGTTACTGAGGTGTAAAGGCTGGGAGAAAGAGTCAAAAAGCCAACGAGCTAAAAGAACTGAGCGGCGTATGTTGCTGATAGTTGCTCCTCGCTGTCGACTTTTGAAGTTGTTAAGTGTCTCTTTCAAGGTCGGCAAGTCTAACGCCGATTGTATAAGCGGCTACGTCATCACCAGCTGATGCCAGATACTACAGCTGAAAGCCTTATTCAAACCACTTTTGCCTCCTTGTGCAGTCACTGACGAGATAGCTTCAAAACCAAATATCATGCCAAATTGGTTCCAACTCCATCAACCCTGACGAGATTGTGTCTCTGAAGTGTGCGTACGTACCGTAGCCGAAGTGCCCGTGGTGCTTTCGCCGAGGAATTGTCGGGACGATTGGAGGCGATTAAGTAGGTCCCGATAACGTTATCTGCTCTTTCCCCTGACCGGATGTCAGAGCCGCCCCACATTCACGCTAACCAGAACTGATCTAGTTCCTTTAATGCCCTGCAGCTATGGTGGCCGATACGTACATACCGTCCGTTCACGCCAATTTGCACCGCACCTGTGTAAACCTTCGTAGGCCCACCCTGGCGTGGTTTATAGAATCTATACAATACTAGGGCTTGCAACTAAGCAGTTAACTATAGTACCTGGCTTGCAAGACACTGCAATTCGCAAGGCACTGCAATTTGCAAGGCACTGCAATTGCGCAATGTACCGCGACTGCGCAAGGCACTGCAATTCGCAAGGCACTGCAATTGCGTAAGGTACTGCAATTGCGCAAGGCCCTAACTACAGTACAACCCTGGTTTGTTTGTTAGGGCAGAACTCACGACCAGGGCCCTGGTCCAAATTCCAAAAAGATGCATCTCAACAGCCTATAGGGAATGCTTCAACGCAAAAAAATAAAGCATCTAGCAATAATCAGGGTGGTCGCTTTATTTGTCTGTCTTTTCTGTGCAAAAGGTGGCTGTTTTCTATCGAGATATGAATTTTGATGTTGGCCCCTGTCTTCTAGTCAGGCGCTAGCGAACAAACCAGGAGGACATTATACTCAACTTGCAAGGTACTATAATACCCTAGCTCTGGAACCCTAGCCCTAACCCTAACACAGTACCTTATACAATTGCAGTGCCTTGCGAATTGCAGTGCCTTGCGAATTGCAGTGCCTTGCGAACTGCAGTGCCTTGCGAATTGCAGTGCCTTGCGAATTGCAGTGCCTTACATAATTGCAGTGCCTTGCGAATTGCAGTGCCTTACATAATTGCAGTGCCTTGCGAATTGCAGTGCCTTGCGCAGTCGTAGTACGTTGCGCAATTGCAGTACATTGTAAGTCGAGCAGTGGGGGCCTTGCACAATTGCAGTACCTTGCGAAGTTGCAGTGCCTTATGCATTTGTAGTGGCTTGCGAGCTAGAGTGGTTGGGGTCTTACAACGTTTCTATAGTTGTAAGTATGAAAATAGGACAATATGGCTTGTAATGGGTGGTGGAATGCAGTAAAACTAGTTACAAAGTGGTGCACTGGGTGTAAATGTATAAAGGGTTTTGCGCAAGTCTGGTGCAAATTGGCGTGAACGGACGGTATGTACGTATCGGCCACCATAGCAGCCGGCGGGGCAGGGCTCATTCACGCATTGCGGGATGTTCCTGACGGTTGGAGCCGGTGAACCGGAGCACCAAATCTAGGTGCAGGCCACCGACAGGCGGCGCACAGGAATGGACGAGACGAGACATTCCTGCCACGAGCACGACAACCCATTTGACGATATTCTCCTGTGAGAAGACACGGATACCAAAGCCGTCGCCGCAGCGAATTGACCTCGCAAACCCCATAAAGCGCAGCACTATCCGTAAGCCCGTTCTAGACTCTGGGACACTACGAGACCGCCGAGACACAACGAAAAGCCGAATTCTACGCGTCCTCCGGGGTCCAGCGCACACATTTTTACCGCTCGGATCAGTTGACCGAAAACCTCTCCCACTTACTTTGCAAGAGGGGCGGACAAGATGGTGGGCAAAGTCAGTGAGCGCGTTCTCCTTCGGGAAGGTAGGTTCTTCTACAGATTTGAACTGAACGCAAGAGGAGCCCACATTGCTAACCATGACCGCCCAGGCCTGGAGCGGACCGACAATGGCATGAAGCAGACGAGTTGGCCGGATGTGGCCCCGATCAACCAGAAGAATTATTATACGTAAGGGCCCGCTTCCTGATTTGTCCCAACTGGGACTGACACGGACGGTTAGGGATTACATGAAGCGCGATGACCAGATCCTCTCACTCCGGCTTCAAGGCGAGGCAAACAGAGACAGACTGGTGCAGAACGCCAAAGACCGCGATCGCGCCCTCAACAACACTGCAAATGGGGAGGTCCCGCTTCCTCTCGACGACCTCCAAGGCGAGGATGGTCCGGGCCCTTCAACGGCCTTTATGGATCCATCCAAGATAATCGTAATACATCCGGGGAGCCAGAACCTGCGGATTGGATTTGCCAGCGACGCATTACCCAAGACCATCCCCATGACCCTCGCAACCAAGTATTCCCAAACCGAGTCCGAGATGTACGAAGCCCTCCCCAGACGGCAGTTTGAAGGGCGAACGATGGATCAACAACACGGCGAGGAGTGGGCAAACAAGTATCAAAAGATGTGCAATGACCTCAAGATCGACATGCGCGCAAACAAGCGCAAGGTGCTTCCCAACTCGAAAGATTTGGTGGTCAACTTCAATCGGAGGACTGAGCCCGAGGTGATTTCGCAGCACAACGACCCGTTGCAGGTAGAGTGGACGGATGTCAACCCTCCTGGAAATTCCGGTTCGGCTGCACCCGTCTTTATTGGGCAGCAGGCCCAACGAATCCCAGATAATTCGGATCCCAAATTCAAGCTTTGGTGGCCGATCCAGCACGGCTGGTTAAACGAAGATGATTATCCCACCAAGACACAGTTGATCAACGACCTCGAGACCCTGCTCGAGCAAGCCTTACGCTTGGAACTAGGTCTAAAGCCGGACGGAGACCGAAAACAATACAGTTGCGTCCTGATTATCCCGGACCTTTACGACAAACGGTATGTTGAGCTGCTTCTACACATCTGCATTGAGTGGTTCGATTTCAGCCGCGTCGCATTCATTCAGGAGAGCATGGCGGCTACCTTTGGTGCTGGCTACACGCAAGCTTGCGTGGTTGACGTGGGTGCCCAAAAGACATCCATCTCCTGCGTCGAAGACGGTCTTTGCATAGAGGACTCAAGAATCAACCTCAAGTATGGCGGCTACGACGTCACTGAGACCTTCATCAAGATGATGCTCTATGACAACTTTCCGTACCAAGAAATCAACCTTCGCCGGCGTTACGACTTCCTTCTGGCGGAGGAACTCAAGATCAAATACTGCACCCTCTCGCAGGCTAATATCTCGGTTCAAAACTTCGACTTTCACGTACGCGCCCCGAAAGAGGTGACGCGCAAATACCAGTTCAAATTCTACGACGAGGTCATCTTGGCTCCCATGGGCTTCTATGACCCCTCCATATTCGATAACTCGGTCAAACTCCGCGGTCGACGCAAGCTGATCGACCGATCCTACAACGCATACGATGTAGAAGTGCCTGATGATCCGGCCTCGGCTGCTCAGCTAGGCATCCTGGCACTCATACAGCCGTCAGTCACGGCCACGGCAGCCAGCTTCAGCGGTGCCCCCGGGGACATGGCAACCCCGAGCAAAGAACGAACCCAGCCCTTCAACTTTCTAAACCGCGGTGATGCCACCGCTACTCCTGGCACATCCAAGGCGCCGTCCCCGGCGCCCGACGGCGCCAGCACGCCGGTTCCAGCCCCTTACATCTTTGGCTCTCGCGACCCGAACGGCAGCCCGGCGCCGAGCGGTCGCAACGGCGGCACCCCGGCGCCGGCCAACGGCACTTCAATGCTCCCAGCTACCTCGTTCGACGGCCTACCGCAATCCCAAATCCAGCAGCGCAGCGCCAAGTCGCTGGCAGCCGAGCGCGACGCCGTGCTCCCGATCGCCCCGCTCGACATCGCCATCATGACGAGCATCCAGAACGCCGCCAAGGGTGACGAGAAAAAGGTGCGCGAGCTGCTCGGCAGCATCATGGTGGTGGGTGGCGGCGCCAAGATACCGCACTTTACCGCGTTCCTGGAGGAGCGTCTCAAAGCGCTCCGGCCGGACCTGGCCGACCGCATCCTGGTCAGCAGGAGCGCGAGAGAGATGGATGAGCAGGTCGTTGTTTGGAAAGGCGCGAGCGTCTTTGCCAAGCTGTCGACTAACGACTCGTGGATCACGAATTATGAGTACAAGATGCTCGGCAGCAGGGCGATTTACCACAAAGTGCTTTGGCAGTACTAGCACATGATGCTCGTAGGACCGGCTGGAGGAAGGTTTGGCATCTGGCCGGAAGGTTTCTTTTCACGTAGCGGGGATGGTTGGAGTTGCGGCGTATGGGTATGTACAGACAATGTGGGTATGTATCCTGACGGGATTGGGTGAGATACCTACATATAGAACCGCTCTTGTGCTGAAGTTTCAGACTAGATTGATCATTGCGGCTGTATCCCACTTCATTTAGTGACTGCCATGAGTGTAGTGGCGGAATAGGCATAGGCCTTGATTGGCATTGGACTCTACCATAGGTGTATAGTCGCAGACCAATATGAAGTCCAGGCAACGACAAAATGGATGGCCACTTCCCTCCTACGAAGTACTGCTGCATGAAGAAGTCCATACCTTACCTAATTACCTCGGCGCCCTCAAAACCATCGACTGACAACTCTGAGTTTGTATTATCGGCTCCGCCCCTGTTCGTATTTACCGTCGCCTCCACCGCTTGCGAGCCCTACAACTGCCTGAGGTACGTGCTGCCCAACTCAACTAGCATAACACAAAGGTGCCCTCCGAGAACCGTAGCCCCTGCTATAGGCGGCAATGCCAGTCTTCGGCTTCGGGTGAGAAGCATCAGGTTGCTGTGAGCGTGCACACAACTCCCTAACCTTCATCGTGTAGACTATGCTAATAGTATTTAGGGTTCCCTGTCTTCGCTCTCGGCCGACTTCTGCTACGTGTATTCATCGTGACATCCAGGTGGGACAAGCATTGTATGTGGATGTGTCCAACCTGTAGGTTGCTGGCTCTGGAATCCAGGGCAGATCAGATCTGCAGAATCTATAACGCTGTCTAGCGTCTGGGACCTCTGATGTGAGCAGGGCTGGGAAGCACCTAAGGGATAAAACGTGGTGGTAGCATTCATGGGTCGAAGCAGGCCTCAAAATCAGGCAAGAGGAATGGAAGACGGGTGGTACAAGCCAAACCACATGTACCTTCCTTGATACAGACCTGCCACACTGGGTGGTTGTTGGTTCTTTCCTCTGTAAGGTATGGAAGGTAGCCTACCTTAGGTAGTAGGGCGGAGATGGTCGATTGGGGTGAGGTACCTAAAGAACACCCCCGACACGTACTCGGTTTCAAGCAAAACCTTACGCCCCCCAAGAGTGAGGTGTAATGGGGATCCATTGGGTGGTGGGAGGCAGGTCAGCCACCGCATAGGTAGGGCTGTTTTTTTTTTTTTTTTTTTTACTACTGGATGTGCTCTCAACAACGCGTTCTTTCCCCGGACAGCACTCTGGAAAGTGTCGGACTACATGCTGTCAAGTTCGCCAAGGAAATATGGAGGCCGCCCTTTAGGGGAAGTGGTTGTGTTGAGCTATGAAAGGTATGTAGTCGTTCACAACTAACGTATCGGGGGCAGACGACGGATTGGTGACATAATTGCTCGCTAGACTGGGAGGAAGGGGTAGTCGAAGACTGCGGAGGTAGGAGGTGTCTTGGCCTTCTTAGGTTGTCCGAAGGGTCGCGGACAGCGGGAGCGTGTGGGCGACGGCAGGCATTAGTGCGAGTCGCACTTGAGGACGCAGTGGTGCCGTTGGCGTCGATGGCGGATCCATACTTCCTGGCATGGCAGTGGAGGCCTCGCGTGGCATTCCTTCGGCTGGTGCTGTCTCCAACGGCGTGGACAACACGGTTCTGACTTGGATTGAGTCTTCTGGCTTAGAGGATGGCTGGGTCTGTCGTTGGATTGGGACATTGAAATGACCCTGTACGTCATGTTGGTGAGCAGGTCGGGCTCAAGCTGACTGCCTAGGTACTGCTTATCCTACGCTCCGGCTCAGGGAGGATATGACAGTCAGAGATTGCTCCGTGTTCGGCTGAAAGTGTTAGCCGGGCGAGGCAGGCGCTGAGTCGAAGGAATGCCAATGAGAGGACTGGGAGGTTGGAATCACACCATGCTGTGAAACACCGGCCTGGTAAGATCATGTACGTTAGGTCTACGTGTTGCGGCGTCGGGCAGCCGGGCAATTGGGTACTTACACGTGCTGCCCAGAGACAAGCTGGAAGTTCAATGGTCCACAAAGAGCAGTCTATAAATGCCGTGGTGGATGTCGGGATCATGATGGCCTGACCTCTGCATGTGGTGTTCCAGCAAGGTGCAAATATGAACTCCTGTCTTCGCAAGAGAGCCTTTGTGATTGTTCATCTCCTCGTAACACAAGCTTAAATCATTCAGGCACATACTAACTTGCGCGGCTGCTGAGTAGCATGGACAATCAGGAAGCCAGTAGGGGCTTGTTTACCCCGACAGGGGTAGTTGTTGGCAATCTGGGCTACTTGAACCTTGATCTTCGAGCATCTTGTCAAATCAAGGGGGAAGCGGAGCAAAATAAGCGGATCTACGACGTAAGTATGTAAGTGATGGACTTGAAGCACTTGATATAAGTGTTCCATATGTTCGCCGTCTGGGTGCAGGAGGAGTTGCACCCAACTACCATACAGACGGAGCCACATATGACCCTAGCTACCTAGTAACCCACCTGCAAAAGTTGTATGTATAGTAATGGAAAGTGTGAATCGGATTCGAGAAGTGCTTGGATGGATTTCTCCCTGGAAGCCGCCTCAGCCGAACTTGTTCTGATTTTGCTTCCGGCTTCGACGCCACATCTTCGGATGCAGTTCATGACTGCAGCCATGATCCGCGTGGCGATGAAGATGGCTCATCTAAACAAAGAGGGACTAGTACCCATGGTCACGCAAATTCATGGGTGCCTGCTGAGTACAGTAGCCCTTTGATGAGATGTGATAGGATTACAAGTTCTGAAATCTGAATTACAGCTCTCTGCATGTACTGTGCATGTTAGCAGTACTTGGATAATGGCACTTTTGGTGCAACGCAGTCGTGTCGTACTGCCAGTAGTTGTACATACTTGGCAAAGCTCACTTGCCAGGGAGTCATCCGATTCACCATGGCGCCTTGCAATCTGATCACTGGTCGTCTGGTGCCCTTCGCTGATACGGCGCTTAGCCCGGGGCAAGTGGCCCCCTTTTCCTGGTCATGCTAGCCGACAGCAATTTCTAGATCTTTGCACCCCTAGTGGGTGCCCAATGGGTTTGTGAAAGAGTTCGGTAGCGGAATATAAAAAGCCCATGTGATGACTGGGGATGCCCGCCAGGGGTAACCGGGCAACGGGTTGAACCTCAGTTCAACTTGCTTCCAGGTGAAGTCGTTTTGTTCAATCCACCAACCTCGAAACCCGTATATACAGTTCTTGAAGGAAAATGGGCAAAAAGTGGGAGTGACACATTCTACATAATGTGACATAGCCCGTCGAGGACGGATCCGATGGAGCTTCCACAGCTCCCGGGGCGCAGCCCTTGCGAGTGGCTGATTCTCCCGTTCTGCTTTGGGGCACCTGCCGACTACTCATCAAACAAATCCCCCCGCAGCCCTCCAGCTCGGGGCTCACGTCCAGAAGCTCACTTCAGTCTTCATCTTTTCAGCACAAGTCGTGCCGTCATGGCCCTCGAACCACACGGTCGCGCGGCCTCAATACGATCAAAGGCGTGGTCAATCACCCAGGAGTCAATTCCTCCCGACAGGGAAGAGCCGTTTTGGCTCAAAATCAGACGCAGCAAGCAACAGAGGTACTACGAAGTGAAGATATCCGCCCGCGGATTGAAATGGGCCAACCTGCAACGATACCTCCAGCTAGAGTTTGGCGATGAGGCCATCCTCAAGGACCAGCCTGAGATGGTCAGTGAACAGAACGTGAAGGGGGTTCCCCGCCTTCACTACCCCTCTCTGTTGTTGTCTGTCTTGACCACTGGGACGACGACGCGTGGAACGAAGCTGCAGATTTCAGCTAACCAGGTAACCGTGCTGCCTGCAGACGGTGCTCAAACAGGATTACGTCGTCATTCTTCCCAGAAAACTCAACACGGTAAGCTGCTATCCATTTCATGAAAAAAGCTATGGCTCGCTAATGAAGATATTAATGCTGCCAAGGGAGAGATCCAAGATATCGACTTATTGAAGGGCAGGCAAGAGGACGTGGATGAGTTCCTCAATGACCTCGAACAGGAGAAGAAAGAACTCGAAGGCCTTGGCCCCATTCCCGAGGACTTGGAGGCACGAGGCGATTGATGAATGAGCAATGATAGTTGCCGAGAATGTGAGAACCTGAGGTGGAAACGGTGACTGCTAGACCGGTTGCGCTTTCTGTCTGCTTTGCACATAACATAGAGGTTGGGAAGGAGCGTTCTTCATTCTTCAGGGCATGATCACCCCGGTTTTGTTGTGGTTGGTTGAGTTACCCGTGTTAGAAGCCACAGCCACCTTCCATTGGATAATCCATTGACTTTTTGGGTCCAGATATTGCTTTTGTGCTGCAACTGTGCTGCAACTCCCGGTTGTTTACAGATAACGTGGAAAGTGACTTGACTTGCTCGGCGGCTCTTGGTCCGCTAGTTCTCCACGATAAAGTTTCAAGGTTGATATACATCGATTCTCGGATCCTTCTCGGACACAATTGGGGGAGAGATGATGGACTGGTGTGGACTCCTAGAAGACCCTAAGGGTGAGAATCTTGGGAAGAGCCCCTAGCCTTCTTTGCCGGCAGTGATCCGAGAACGAAGCATACTTGGAGCCTACCCGGTGCAGAACATCTACTACGGTAACTCGCAAACAAGGCTTTGAGGGGGGGAGCTGATCATGCAGCCACCATCCCGAAGCCCTGCGTGTATTTGTCACTCGCAGGTCTACCAGTACTACGCTCTCGCTGAGAGTTCCTCAAGAGACTCATAAGTCGGAGTTGCCTCCACCACCGTCAGCTCTCCTCAAGGTTCTGGAAGGAATGGCGGCCTGTCATTGAGGCTATACCATCACCATGGCCGCTAATGATTCTGACTCTGTTGCTGAGCGTCTCCTCAGGAGACCCAGCACCTTCAAAGAAGCGTTGCAGAACTGGGAATCGTACCCGGATAATCTTCCTGGTGTCACCGAAAGTGCAAAATTGATCAAGGACTTCAAACGGCATTTCGAGGAGACCAAGGAGATGGTCCTCCTGGTTTTTGAACCCGGGGGCGGGAACACCTCCCGTGCCCGCGCCCGTGCCCGTGCCAACGCCATCAAAAGGAAAATCCGCCTCATTATCCATGATTGCGGCATCCAGGCCAGTATTCCTACCTATGGCTCGAACGGAAACCCCTCGGGGCATGCGGGTGAGAGTGGCTCGGACAATGGTACACTCCATAGCGCCGACGGAAGCAACCCATCGATTGCCGCCATGGGCGACCGCATGTCGTACTTCATCTTGTCCCCCAAAGATCTCGAGGATTTGTTGAGATTTCCTACTGGGACTACTGGTGATCCGGTTTGCCGACTCATGTTTGTACTGCCTGCCCCCTTAATCACCTCGTTAGGGGTTACGGTAGATTATTCTAATTTGACCTAGCTGACGGTTGCATCAGATTTCTGGAATCGACTGATCGGGGCTCGCGTCAACGCTTCAAAATCACCGAAGACATGTTGCTTAGACTGCTCACCTATCATTACGTTTCCCCTTGCTTTCTCAACTTCATTTCCTACTTTGGCCACAACCCAATGACAGGGGACAGCGACTTGTTCTTTGGCGGCTTTCGAAGCCTCAAGACATTTGCTCATCCCAACTTCAGAGTCGAGGAGCTTGGCCGCAGCGGCTTCCACTACCAGCTCTCCTTTGAGCTGAGGACCATGTTCGACGAAGATGACCTCGACGGCGGGGGATTGGATACTGAACCCGCCCATGCCTCGAAGCACAGGTCCCGTGGACGCTTCAACTGGCTCAAGCGCCCCGAGAAACGCCACGATAAGCGTGAAGTCAACTTGGACGCTGACAACGCGGGTGATGGTGAGCAAAACAGCATACGGCGGGTGATGCAGACAGTGGTATACCACAGCTTTGACATCGACAATGGTAAAAGCGTATGGATCGTTACCAGTCCCGAGCACCCCAACGGCGAAAAGGACTCCACAAAGTGCAGTGACTACGATGTCAAAGGCGTCTTATCCACTGTTGACAGAGTCTCGTCGACGAGCAAGACCAAGGAGCGCTTCCAGGCCAGCTTGGATGTACTGGTTTGGCTGATTGAGTGGTCCCTGAGCGACTATGGCTTCTACATACATGCGTTGGATGACATTCTAGAGGAACTCGTACGTCACCCGCAGTGCCTTGCCTTGTTCCAAGATTGGGGCTAATTGATTCATGGCAGACGAATTCGTACGCATCCTCTATGACAGCCAACGTTGTTGAGGAGACTGTTCTCAAGGAGCTCAACTTGTTCATGGAAAGCCTAAACGAGTGCATCGTCGGCCTGGAGGCAAACATGCGAGTCTGCAAGGCCCTTATCGGATTCTACAGAAGTCTCCTTGGAGACAAGAAGTTGGAGAGGCTGAAACCGGCTTGGATAGAACCAGACCGAGAAGAGCTGGAAGAAACTATTGACGACGCCACAGCCAAGATCCAAAACTTTTGCCACGCCAACGAGGATATGCTGCGACGCGCAAAAATGGTAAAGGAGATGGGGAGTAGACGCGAAGATATGGTACGTCTGGATCGCCCCCTGAGAGTTGAGAGTCTCGGCCACTACTTACCATGCTGACCCAATCTCAAACCTACAGATTCACCGGCTATTACAAAACAGAAACGAGCAGACCATGAAGGAGCTCGCGAGATTGACGCACAAGGACTCGGCGACCATGCGCATCTTTGCCACCATCACCCTAATTCTCCTCCCCATGAGCGTCGTCTCGGTAAGCCGCCTACCTACCTTATTCCCCCCCCAACCCCCTTATCATGCCCTACCTTGACCTCCCCGTCAACTCCCCTAGCCTTGCCATGGGGTTCTAACAACCCACAGACAATCTTCACAACCGACATCGTCCGCTTCCCATCCTCGTCTTCCTTTGTCGGCAACTGGTCCGGTGCAGCCGCCGTCTGGTGGACTGCCCTCACCCTGCTGGCCACTGCGCTCGTCGGCCTAATCAGCGAGGCCTGGCGCCAGGCCGTCCTGCACCGCCTGGCCCTGTCCTCCACAGCCATTCCAGCAGGAAACCCCGCCGCTGCCGCCGCCGCTGCCACCCTCAAGGGGTCAGGAGGAGGTGCTCATGCTAATATCGCCGGCGGTGGCGTTGACCGGAACCGTGTGGCCCGCATGGCTCTAGGAATCATGGTAAAGCTAAAATGGTTTAGCTATAGTGATACTGCTCATGGGGAAGGTCGGGGGCTGGGTGGCAAGTTGAAGCAGATGGGAACCGGCAAGCGGCACGGGACTTCGCGTGCGATTCATCCCACTACTTCTACTACTGTGAAAGAGGTAAGAACAGGCACCGAGGTGGGAGTCAGCGCAGCCGCCAATGAGCCGGGATCTCTGGCGAATTTGCCGAGGCTAGCATCAAGGTCTATGAGTCAGTTGTTGAAACTGGTGGGTGTCAATGTTGTCTCCCAAGAGGATGGAGACGTGGGGATCACCAGCTATCAGCAGGGTGGTGCTATGGAGATGGGTGTGCGGCATCAGAATGGGACAGGTGCGGCGGCGACGGTGACGGCGTAGCTACCCAGTACCTATGCGAAAGTGCGGTAGTGTGCAACGGGGGACGTCGGTGTCCTTGGGAAGGTCTGTGGAGCTATTGGTCTGCAACAGCAAGATGGCTCCACGGGGCTCCCAGTGAATTCCTTGAGTAGCTGTACAGTCGATTATACTCGCGCGTAGCATATTGGAACTTGAATAAGCATAATAGGATATGCAGAAAGCTGAACCCCTGGAGTAACAAGTTGAGCAACTTATTGGCTGTTCAAAGGTGGAAACCAATTATTCTGTTGATAGCCCTGAAGCCCCTGAACGTAGCCATCATCTCAGTAGCGATGTGGTCCAGCCCCGCAGACAACCGCAGGATAATATACAGACTTAACAGAATAGCCGTGACTTGATTGCTTCATCTTGTGGCGTAGCGGTTCCAAGTTGAAACTCGTCGGCATTGGCCTCTTATTCAAAAACGACTTTCCCAGCCTGTTGCCCGGGCAACCTATTGTTCTTCTCCGGATCGCAGGTTTGACTCGTCGATCAACTGCTAGTATCATCTCCCTTTTCCCTTTTTCCTTTCTTTTTGATCCTTTGCTTCGCCTTTCTTTGACTCCTCCTCCTCTTTCTTCCTGCTTCATTCGAGAGATGATCACGTTTGCGTTTCCTGCTATCGATAGAGGACCCAAAACATCCTGGATCTTGCAACCACCTGGAGCCGAGCAAACTCACATCCTGAAGTGGTTGAAACTGCGAGGATGGCCGCGCGATTTCCGTCATCCTCTGTTGTGGAGGATTGGGAGGCGATGCGTCGCGTTCATGAAACTCCTGGCTCCGGAATAGGGCCCCTGAGCGGTTGCTATCCAGGGAGAGACCAACCCATTCAGGGTCGCTGCTTAAGGAGTGAGCAACAACTCCTATCCGGTCTTCGTGGGTATGGGAGGAAGCGGCGAACGACGCCTGTGTCGGGCTCAAGGAACGATCCCGAAACGACGCGTAGAGCCGCAAAGATTCAGGAAGACAAGCTACGGCTGAATCTCGTGCCGTCGGGTCAATGACGAGCATCTTTTGCAGCAGATCGACCAGGTCGTCTGACTTCAGACTTTTGACTCGTTTCACAATTTTCTCGCACCACTCAATCCCGGAGCCGTGACCAGGCCGAGGCAGGCCGTACGTGAGTCGTAAGATGACAACCCCCAGAGACCAAATATCTACCGCTTCCGTGTACTTGTGCCGTGGCCTCTCCATATGAATCTCGGGGGCAAGATAAGTGTCGGTGCCACAGAATGTCCTCAAGGTGCCGGCTTTGGAAAGGCCAAAGTCGGACAGCTTGACATGGAGATGTTCTGGGTTGTGGTGGGCATCGCGATTCTTAACCAGAATATTATGCGGTTTGATATCTCGATGCGCAATCGGTTTGGGCTGTCCATGAAGGTAAACCAGGGCGGCCAGACTCTGGCTCAAGATGGTCAGGCATTCAGCCCGTGAAAAGGGGTTGCTTTTATGGGCATTTTCCAGATTACCGAATGGCATGTACTCCAAATATAGGAGCGGCCGCGGTGCCTTGGTCCAGAAACATAGGCGAACAATGTTCTCCTGCCAGAATGTGAGATTCATGTCTAATCCACGTTTAAAGACGGTGTATTTCATGCCCACTCACATGAGGGGGGACTTTTCTCATAATGTCAATTTCTTCTTGCCATAACTTTTCATCATATTCTCTTCCAACAGGCTCTTTACGGGCATATTCCTCCCCGGAGCTGACGTCCCAATACCGGCTAACCGTACCAAAGCTACCCTGAGCAATCACTTTCTGTAGGAGTAGGATCGGACCGTCAGAAGGAGTGAGTTCTCCGGTGTTGCAATCCGTCTCCTGCCCACTCCGGCGGAGGGGGTTACCAAAGAGGCTCCCAACACCTGTCGACCCATGAAGGAATCGCTCAACCTTGGCGATATACGCGGCCGAAGTTATATCATGATCAGCGACAACGATACGAAACCTGAGGATTGGAAGGGGCTGCACAGTGATGGCGTCGGCCTTATTGGGCAACTCAAAGCCGGCGATGATCCAGTCGAATCTGACTCGCTTCTCTTTACCTTGCTTGTCATACGTGACGGCAGTTCCATGCATGGACCCGAGGTCTCGCACAATCAGGCGGTAGAGTCCATCGCTGAATGTGTTTTTGTAGGTAAGGGCGAAATGGTGTCTGCTAATACCCGACAGTGAAGGCAAGAGGACATCGCTGTCCGAATCCTTGCCAAACACCAGTCCTCGGGGGGTTCTTGGAAGGTTGCTGAACCTCAATTCGATGCAAGGCAAGCTGTCTAGCTTGTCTGCGGTTTGGTCGTCGTCCAGAGATGCCGTCGACTCCCGGCTGTTACGGCCCGGCGTTGACTCGGACGGAGGCAGTCTGAACCTTGGAGGTGCCTTGAGTGGATGACTCTCGATCGTATCCCATGCAAGGACGCATGAAACTTCGGGGTATATGCGAGCGATCAAGTCAGAATCTCCCACCATAGCGACAAGAGCGTGGTAAGGGAGGATAGGGGGGAGGGAAGACGATCAGTGCATAGCGTTATAGGTCGGTATAACTACTCCTAGTAGAGACTCTGACCACGGGGAAAGATCTAAAGAACGAGACAAGAACAAGAAGACGAGACAGAAACCAAACCACCCAGATGATGGCTTCCCTAGGTAAGGTACTTAGCCATTTCGCAGCTGCCTTAGCTTCGCCGAGAAGTGGCCAGCAAACTTCATGACATCCAATGGAGCTGCTGCCTAGGAAAGGGGCACCCTCCTTCGGCGGCTATGGCCGCGGTAAGTTGTATCAGGTAGCCCGTGTGCAGGGCAAAACGATGCAATGGACTTGTATTGTATGTACAAGCACAGACATCGGGCTTCGACGTTTTTCCGTTCATATTTCCAAGTAAGTTCAAGTCGACATTGACTCGAGTGTTTGTTATTCCGAGTCGCTCACGCCTGTAATCGGGGAAAGACAACTCAAAATTAGCGCCTAACATGGAACCTTCCCATTGTCAGTGGTGCATATGCACAGCAGCGCTGTGCGGATTCAGCACATACCTTATAGCCTAGGGACTCCGTACTAGTACTCGTAGTATAAGTCGGAGCGTCACCTACAGTACGTGTACGATGCTAAGTAGTACATTTCAAACATAGGACAAATATTACACAGAAGTTCATGAGAAGGAATAGGAGGGCCTATAGAGTGGGGTTTCGCTGCTTGGTGTTTCACTTGACGATGCTGTTGGTGGGGTCTTTGACCTGTCCTGTATCCTTGCCGGTCCTCAGTGCGGGGTGACGACTGCTTGCAGCTCCTTGGACAACAGCGGTACAAGTACAGAGTACCAAGTTTATGTATTATGTATGGAAGGGGTGAGTGCTGATATCCTTTCTTTTTCATTGGAAGCCTTGTTGGAACCTAATGTGAGCTGATTAGAAGCTTGATTTTTCTGAGAAGCAAACCCGACACCTCTCTTACCTCCTACAGAACCCAGAACCTTGTGGTTGACGAGAGCTGAGGATCTGGTCGCTTTCTTCAACTCCCTACTGGCTCTGATACGTCTGTGTTTCACCGCATACTCCTTAGGGACTCATTCTTTGGCTCTGCTAACGGTATCCAGCGGATTCTCGTTCATACAATAGCCCCAGCCAGCAATGGCCAACACAGCTCCAGTCAGTGTTCACCCGCTCCCGGACGGTAGCCATCAAGCGGGTGGCGGTGTGTCTGGAAAGGCCCACACCGTCTCGGCCTTCAACGGACCTGTTCTCTCGCACCTACAGAAGATATACACGGCTCATGCCGGGAGTAGCCAGACCTGGGACCCTGCGAAGACCGCCGCTTTTGTGGAGGGCGTACAGCGGCATACCAAGGCGGAGGTCGCCGCACAGCTGGTACCGGGGAAGGAATGGAATCTGAATTCTTACCTCCAGTATATGGCTTCACCTGCCGCCAGTGTCGTTGCGCCGCCCCAAGAGCAGGATCTCACCTGGCCGCTCTCCAGCTACTTTATCAGCTCGAGTCACAATACCTACTTGACAGGTAACCAGCTGTCGAGTGATTCGAGTGCTGATGCCTACAAGAACGTCCTCCTGCGTGGCTGCAGGTGCATCGAGATCGACGTTTGGGATGGCGATGATTCGGATTCGGAGAGTGACACAAGCAGTAGCAGCGAGGACGAGGGGAAGGCCACCAAGAAGAAGCGCTCTCTAACCAGCCGCATGGAGAAGACATCCTTGGGTAAGAGGCTTGCCGAGCGCATCCCCCAGTCACGGCCCCGCTCATGGTCGAAAAAAGCAGCTAACGACGGAACCAAAGCTGCGGAAGCCCCCCTTGAGAAGCAGAAGAGCGGCGGGTCGAACTCGCTAAAGAAGACCACCAGCACCAAGGAGCCTCGCGTCCTGCATGGGTACACCCTGACCAAGGAAGTATCGTTCCGGGTAGTCTGCGAAGCTATCAGGGACTACGCTTTCATCGTTACCGATACCCCGTTGATTGTGAGCCTGGAAACACACTGCAGCCCAGAGCAGCAGGAGATCATGGTCGCTATCATGATGGAGACATGGCGGGGGATGTTATTGCCTGAGCCGACTGACGATGTCAAGCAACTGCCTTCTCCAGCCGATTTGCGCCACAAGATCCTCGTAAAGGTGAAGTATGCCCCGCCTGAAGGCGGGAGCCCACAAGCGACTGAGGGCGATGAAGTGGCGCTCCCGGCGGGTGCTGCGGCGGCCAAGAAGAACCAGAAACCAGCCAAGATCATCCAGGCTCTGAGCAAGCTGGGAATTTACACGCGCGGCGTCTCGTTCAAGAGCTTGACTCAACCAGAAGCGACAATGCCCTCACACATCTTTTCTCTGTCCGAGAACGCCGTCATGGAGGTGCATGAGAAGAGCGCCCGCGAGCTCTTTGACCACAACCGCCACTACCTCATGCGCGCATATCCCTCAGGGCTGCGGATCCGATCGTCCAACCTGGACCCAGCCGTCTTCTGGCGCAAGGGCATCCAAATCGTTGCGCTGAACTGGCAGAACTGGGACGAAGGGATGATGCTGAACGAGGCCATGTTTGCCGGGACCGGCGGATATGTTCTGAAGCCCGAAGGTCTGTTTGTCGTTCCCTCACTTCGTCAACTTCGTTGCCTGATCGCTGACGACCTCCAGGGTACCGCTGCGAGAAACCTATGCCAGCCACCACAACCCTCACGCCCAACCCTCAGGCAACCGCCGTCCGGCACTACGTGATGGACTTGACGATCCAGGTCCTCGCTGCGCAGTCCCTTCCCTTGCCCCTGGGTGACGAAAAACCATCCTCATTCCGTCCCTACCTCAAGGTGGAAATCCACGTTGAAGAGCCCGGCGAGCGGCACGGTACTGACTCGGTCCCCGCCGAGGGCATGGAGAAGGAGGGAGAATACAAGGCCAAGACCAAGTCCTCCAAGGGGTGCGACCCGGATTTCAAGGGACAGGAGCTGCGGTTTGAGAGGATCCCCGGGGTGGTGCCCGAGTTGTCGTTTGTGAGGTTCTTGGTCAAGGACGACGAAATCGGCAAGGACTCCCTGGCGGGCTGGGCATGCGTGAGGGTTGACCGGCTGAGGGAAGGGTACAGGTTTGTGCATCTGGTCGATGCTGAGGGGGTTGAGACGGAGGGGGTGGTACTGGTGAAAGTAGCCATGAAGCTGGCTTGATTTGCCTTTTCGGAGGTTCCTAGGGGCATCAGCTGCATAGCGAGGATCGATTGGTAAGGAGCATGCCAGAAGGGGTGCTTAAACATTAATCAGAGAGGGGTCAGTCTTTTTCGCGGAGCATATCAGCAAATCTCCTGTTTATTCAACGGCGCAATTCCCGGTTGTGATGAAATTGAGGGAGTGCTTGAAGAGTCAAGACTCAGGCTGTCTGCACACTAACCTTACAGTGCTGACTGCTGAGGTATGGTACTACGTGCTCGAGGTGCCGTACTCGTCAGGGCTTCATAATCGCGGACCTGCCCCACCCCTTCGGAGAGGGTCAGGGACTCTGATTGGGAACGGATCATTGATTGGGGAAAATTGACGCCACTACGGTATATGCCCTGCCATACAAATTTGTTAGCAACCCAATGTCATACCGTCTTCTTACATCTATACTACTTACATATATACACATTATTAAACTACACTAGAACAATATAAAAAAAATTAAGGTCATATATACTGCAGAGCTATATATACAATATTTAGTAAATCTCTAATGCTTATAGGTAGATTGCATTGCTTTATAGCCTATATTAGAGAGATGGTAGCAATAGAGCGATAGCTAGATGCAACTAATTAGTATTCTTATACATTACTATAATAGATAAATCACTATATTATAGACTTTAATGGTATGATGTATGAAAACTAGGATACCTAAATTTGTATAGAATACGCTAGTAAATGGAAGTACCTTAATTTTCCCAATCAATGATCCGTTCCCAATCAGAGTCGCTGACCCTCCCCGAAGGGGTGGGGCAGGTCCGCGATTATGAAGCCCTGACGAGTACCGGGGTACGAAGTTCAGTTGCCTGCCGGAATGACGTTGCCTCTTATCGCATCCGATAAACCAAGGGGCTGTGGCTGGTGCTCCGATCCCACCTGGATTTACAGTCTCCAACGTCTCGCGACACGACTTAGACCTGCTTCCAGGTTTGCGACATTGAGGAGACATTCCGCTGACCCCGCGATTCCAAGAAGGCGAATAGTGTCTTTGCCATCATGAGCAAACCGACACTCTCCTTTGGCCTCAAGAAGTCCGGCGCGCCAAAACCTGCCCCTCCTCTCAGGAAGCCCGCGCCCTTCGGAGGAGGAGGCGACGATGACGGGTCAGAGGACGAGGGTTCAAACAATGTGGTGCAGATCTCCGAAATTGATGGGCTCGCAATTGCGACATCGGCGCAGGCGCTAGATGACTCCCAGCTCGACAAGAGGAAAAAGCTTAAATCGGGCACTGCCGTCACTCCACCGAAACATCCTCCACAATCCAAAACATCCGCCGCTGCCACCATCTCCGAATTTACCGACCTCTCCACCAGCCTCGAGTCACGCAAATACGCCGCATCAGCCGAACAAGCCGATCCTTCCATCTACGATTACGACGCCGCCTATGACTCGTTCAAAGCCGCCAAGGCGGCCGCTTCCTCCAACTCAGCCAAGAACGGGGACAAACGACCGCGGTACTTTGATGCGCTGCAGAAGGCGGCCGACACGCGGGAGCGGGACCGGCAGATTGCCGAGGAACGGCGCCTGCAGCGGGAGCGGGCGGCCGAGGGGGACGCCTTCGCCGACAAGGAAAAGTTTGTCACCGAGGCGTACCGCCGGCAGCAGGAGGCCAACCGCAAGCTGGAGGAGGAGGAGAAGCGTCGCGAGGAGGAGGAGCGGCGCAAGAATAAAGGGAAGGGTCTGACGGATTTTTACCGGGGCATGTTGCAGCGCGAGGAGGAAGAGCATGCGGCGCTTGTCAAGGCCGCTGAGGAGGGCGCGGGCGCCAAAAAGCTCGCGGATGGAGATGGGCCGCTAGGTGGGGATGGAGAGGAAGAGGAGAAGAGTGCCGCTGAACGGGCTAGGGAGATCAATGCCATGGGTGGTAACGTGTTGGTGAATGAGGATGGGGAGGTGGTGGATAAGAGGCAGCTCTTGAAGGGCGGCTTGAACGTGGCGGCGAGGAAGAAGGCCGAGGCGCAGAAGGAGAAGGAACGTCAGGCTGCTGCTGCGGCTGCGGCGCGCGAATCAGGTGGTTTGCGGTCCAAGGGCGTGTATGCCGCGGGCGGAAAGCAGGCTATGCGAGAGCGCCAGACGCGCATGCTCGAGGCGCAACTTGAGGAGACGCTCAAGCGGTCCAGGCAGGAGGAGGAGGAGGAAAGGGCAAAGATTGAGCTCGTTGCCAAGAGCAGGAAGACGGCAGAGGAGATTTCGAGCGCCAAGGAGAGGTATCTTGCGAGAAAGAGGGCGGCCGAGGAGGCGAAGAAAAAGGGGCTAGATGAAGGGCCGTAACGGCCGCAGTCCTTGTGACATTGGACTGACGATGTTGTTGCGACCGCTATAATAGATACCCTGCCCTCCTCATGTACAACCTGACGTGCTTTATGATTCCGCTCCGCAGAGAGAATCTTCGATTCATCCACGCTCGCCATAAGATCCGTTTATTCCTTTATACAATGCCTCACCCTGTCTATCCCGGACCCTCCCTGATACCTATCGTACGACCCCTCCTCCGACGCACATTTCCAACCCTGGTATTCAAACACGAATATTGCGTCGCTCCAATTCATCGGATCTATTTGTTTATTTGCCGATAGTGCCGCTCTTGACTTCCTCCTGTACTCTCCGCATAAAGGCTCGTTCGACCTGATTCCAGGCCGCCATGTACTTCTCCAAGCACTGCGTGATGCATGTCCGCTCGCCGCTCGAAAGGGATGTGCCTGGCTTGGGGACACATTTTTCGAAGCAGTTTTCGTTCACGTTCTGGAGTTGTCCGGGTTAGCCGCGGAGAGCACGCGACGCTTTTAAGGATCGCTTGCCTCGATCAATGTCCGCGCATTCGCCGTGTTGGTCTCCTCCAGCGCCTGCCGGATGATAGCCTTCTTTATTGAGTCCGAGTCCATGATTGTGGGTTCTGGAAGTATAGACCGAAATACGTTATCGCCCTTTCGAACGGTGTTGTCTATTGTCAATTGACGGCCGAAAAAGTTCCGGCATGTGGCGCACGCTCGTAGAATTGAGGCTGGTGTTCCCTCGATCAGCGAAAGATTGTGGAGGAGTGGAGCCCCCACTAGGATGGCGGGCAGGGGTAGCTCAAGTCGGCCGCCAACCAGACAGTGGCGACCGACACCTCGGAGGATATCCGAAAAGGCCAGCTAAGGAGATCCGTTAAGGTTGCAACCTTCGAACCACACGAGCTCTTCTCGGTCGAGTATTCCGAACGGCCACGACTCACGCACTCGTTCGGATTTTTATTTCTCTTTACTTTTTACAGTTGGACTTGGGGCTCGGCCTACTGCACATTTCATCGCTCCTTTTCTTCTCTCTCCTGGTTTCCTTTCTCTTCTTCCTCATCGACGGCGGGGACAATGTTGGTGTCGCCGACCTTGTCAGCCTTGTGGCTGGCCACGCTTGCTTGGGGTGCAGTTCAGGCGGATGAGGAGAATATCAAGAGCATTGGGGTGCGTAGCTACCTGCTGCGCGGTCGATGACGACGCTGACTGTCATGTCCCAGCTGAGAACACATACGCTTGTGCAGGTTGGCATACCCATGCTCTTAGCCCGTGGCCGAGATTGACCTAACCTTGCGATTCCAGCCATACCTTGATTCGGACATGCAAAGTCGGTGGTATGACTTTGGAGGCGATACGATTGTCCGCACCGACCAGTAAATTCACCGTCCTCCGCCATTGCGCTCGTTGTAAAGAGAATCTCCTGACACGGGTCCGCAGGTACATCCGCTTGACTTCTGACCACCCGTCACAGAATGGGTGGCTCTTTTCCAGAGTGCCATTGACCGCGACAAACTGGGAGGTTGAGGTGGAATTCAAGATTCACGGGAAGAACCAGCTGTATGGCGATGGCTTCGCCATGTGGCTCACGAAGGAGCGTGGGAAAGTCGGTCCTGTGTTTGGCAGTGCCGATCGGTTTGAAGGCCTGGGCATCTTCTTCGACACGTACAAGAACAACCGCCCCGGTGTCGTCTTCCCCTACGTGATGGCCATGGTCGGCGACGGCAAGACATCGTACGATAAAGACACGGATGGCAAGGACACCGAGTTCGCCGGCTGCTCAGCCAGGGGTATTCGGCATGCCAGCGTCCCCACCAAGTTCCGCCTGACCTACTTCCAGGACAAGTACCTTAAGCTGGAGCTGCAGTACAAGTCTGAGGGCGAGTGGACCCTATGCTTCGAGACCAACGAGCCGCCAGCTCTTCCCCAGGTCGCCTACCTCGGCTTCAGCGCCGAAACGGGTGAACTGAGCGACAACCACGACATCATCTCCGTGAACGCCAAGAATCTTTACACCGCCCAGCCGACCGGCCGGCCTACCCCCGGCAGTGGCAAAGGCAGAAAGGCGGCCTCTAAGGAAGGGGGCGGCGGCAGCTGGACTTGGTTCTTCATGAAGATAGTCTTTTTTTGCCTGGTCATCGGCGGCTCATACGTGGGGTATACGGCTTGGCGATCAAACAACAACAAGCGCCATCGCTTCTGATGAACTGGTGGTTTGAGGTAGAGTGCAGGATGGGAATTCGATCATCAAAAGCGGCCGAAAAGACTGGCAGGGCAAGTCTCGAAGGATATCCTCCGTAATCCAGATCGAGGGAAACTCTCCCTATACGGAGTACATATGAGATGTGAATCTACTTACGCATGTATCATCAGCAACGCCTTTCAGGAGTTCTCGGGCGGAGTTTAGCGTCTCTAACAACTTGATTTATGGTGGCTCTGGTTCGACCGATCCGGGGGCATCATTGGTGCGGGCAAAATGCTGGATGTTGAAGTGACCTACACGTGGGGATTGAGTTAGGTGTTGGGCCGAGTCCTATGTATTGTACGTATCAGTAAGTTTGCCTGGACTTGCTGTCGAGAACGGGACATGAAGATACCAGTTCAACCCTACCAGCGCCGAAGCGCAAATCCCGAGAGAATCCATGTAAGCGGAGCGCGCGACCAAGAGTATTTCTCGGTCCTTTGCGCGGATGTCCGTACCCGCGAGCCGGACCCGGGCACCGCGCAGCTTCACAACATCCCCGGCCATTCTACAGCTGTACACAGAATGTATGACGATTCGATCTTCAGCCTGGAAGGGCTTCCCCTGGAGCCTGCCATCGAGGGGGCTCAGTGTACCCCCGCTGCATCGGTATCAAGCCGGCCAAGCTGATTGGGCCTCCAGACGATGACGCTATAACCAGGCGGCAACTCCCTATATCCCTGTTAGTAACCATCAAGTAACTGTACCCAGGTCAGGCCCAAGTTAAACAGCCCAGTGGGCACCGGCACCTGCCATTAGAAGCGGATGGGTCGAGTCTTAGGTTAAGCCCCTTTCTACTGCAAAGCACATCCGTGAACTGGTGAACATAAGTACCTTAGGTTGGGGCGTCCGCTCGGGTTATGTCAACGGCCACCAGGACACGACAATGTCCCCTGCCCGCTTCGGCGCACAAAGGTGGAAAGACAAAGCTAGACCAGTTCCAGGATTCCATCCAAGCCATCACTGGCCCAGTCTCTGGAGCAGCGGGCACATGGCGGGACAATGGGCCGCAGCGCAGCGGGCCTAGGCGCTCCACAATTGATCCCCTCGCTCATCCACGCCTCTCTCTAGTCACAATCCTGGCACTACGCTGGACCTCCTGATCCGGGGCCCTACCTTCACTTTTCTATTCATTCTCCGACCAACTTAGCCAAACTTTTGAATATGTCCCCAACCTAATCTCGAATTCCCTAGCTCACTGCCACAGTTCAGGCTGCTCAGTTGCCCAATTGTCCGGGGATTGGAACCAAGGTGCAAGGAGGGGGCGAGGCAAAGACCGGTCTCCAAGGCATCTCTGTCGCTCAGCTATTTCCCGCAGCTCCTGTTGATCGCATTCACACAAAAGTCTGGCTAGTCTGGTTTCTTTCTCTTTGTGCCGCTCCTGTAAGCCACACAAAGTGCCAGACGTTCCCGGCGCGTGGCTGTTCGACGAATTCCTCCCACCCCACCGAATCCCGCCCACACACCATCGCAGGTTTTGGTGCGATCCCAGTTTCTACACTACCTGGCAGCTACCCGCTTCGTGGTTCCGCATATTCTGACAGTTTGGCCATCCTGCAGTCCCGTGCGGCTCACCGTCCTAGTACTGGGACCAGCCTCCCCGCCCTCAGTGTCACATCCTATGGCCTGCCGAGCCCCTCGGACGAACAGTTTCGGTTAATTGGCCCGCGATTTTATTGTCGTGCAGCTCCTCGCCCAATTAGGCGGTCCCGGGCATTCTCTGGGCTGTCTCCTCCAAGCGCTCTTGATGCACGCACTCGGAAGCTTCCTCAAGAAAAAACGGACGAGGGAAGGCAATCGCAGCAATCCGAGCAATCCACCGAGCCAGCCGGCGAGCCCCATCACTCCGACGGGCGACGGCAGCTTCGACCAGATCAGGGCTTCCCGCGTCTCGCACTCCAGCGCCGCGTCACAGACTACCGGCACTCCGCACTCGTCTTTCGCCTCGACCACTGCTACACGCCTGAGCAGGCCGGCCGACGAGGCGGCCGAGAAGCAGCAATCAATGAATAGTCTGCCGGTGCAGCAGCCACCGTACCAGGTGCCACAGCATTCTCCCTCGCCCGGGACGACCGAGTCCCAGAATGTACCGCGTATCGCCAATCTAATCAACCCTCCGCAACATGACGTTGCGACCGGCTATCAGCAGCACCTGGGAACCCACTATTCTCATCAACCCTCAAACAATGGCGGACCCCAACCGTCTTCCATGCTGCTCCAACACCAACAATTTCAAAATCACTTTCAACAACAACCGCCACCCCAGCCGCAACCACAGCAGGAACAAGTTCGGGTGACCAAGGGGAAGTACTCGCTGGCGGATTTTGAGCTGCTGAGGACGCTAGGAACAGGCAGCTTTGGCAGGGTCCATCTGGTGCAATCCAGACATAACAGCCGGTTTTACGCCATCAAGGTTCTAAAGAAGGCGCAAGTAGTCAAAATGAAGCAGGTCGAGCACACCAATGACGAGAGGAGAATGCTAGGCGAGGTGAAGCACCCATTCCTGATCACGCTGTGGGGCACCTTCCAAGACGCAAAAAACTTGTACATGGTCATGGATTTTGTGGAAGGAGGCGAGCTCTTCTCATTGCTAAGGAAATCCGGGGTAAGCAAGAAAGCGGTCGTGTAAGACATTGTATCGAGCGGCTGCTAACGTGTCCCAAGCGCTTCCCGAATCCGGTAGCCAAGTTCTATGCTGCAGAAGTGACGTTGGCTCTTGAGTATCTACACTCGCGTAATATCATCTATCGAGACCTCAAGCCGGAAAACCTGCTCCTTGATCGCCATGGCCATCTAAAGATCACCGACTTTGGTTTCGCCAAGCGGGTACCGGACAAGACATGGACGCTCTGCGGTACGCCCGATTACCTGGCCCCCGAGGTTGTTTCTAACAAGGGATACAATAAATCGGTGGACTGGTGAGGCGTGACGCTCCTGGCATAGTTGATATTCGCAGCTAATGCATGCCACAGGTGGTCATTAGGGATCCTGATATACGAGATGCTGTGCGGCTATACCCCCTTCTGGGATAGCGGGTCGCCCATGAAGATCTATGAAAACATTCTTCGGGGTAAAGTGAAGTATCCGGCATACATTCACCCTGATGCGCAGAACCTCTTGGAAAGGTTGATTACGGCCGATCTTACGAAGAGGCTAGGGAACCTTTATGGGGGTTCACAGGATGTGAAGAACCACCCGTGGTTTGCCGAGGTGACGTGGGATCGGCTGGCGAGAAAAGACATTGACGCTCCATACTCGCCGCCAGTCAAGGCGGGTGCTGGGGACGCAAGCCAGTTTGACAAGTATCCCGAGGAAACGGAGCGGTACGGGCAGCAGGGGCATGATGAGTAAGTCTTGGTGGTTGCTGGCTCCATGCCTGACGAGAAGCTGACGGTTCGCAGATATGGCCACCTCTTTCAAGATTTTTGAGAGCAGTCTCGACGCGCAACGCATTTGCCACGTGTCGTTGCCCTGGTACAAAAGAGTCTGCGGACTCGACGGTGCTGGATAGGGGCGTTGTTTTTTCGTTCGGTTCCTACTTCCAACCGGCGGGTATTGGGGGGGGCGCATCGTTAGGCATGAGGTGAACGAGTATGGAACGGAACAGGGCCGCTTGAATTCACGGAGTTTGGAAAGCAAGAAGAGAAATCAGAAAAAAGGCCACCGAGTACGGCCGGCTCTGTAACAGGTGGTTGGGAACTTTGGGAGCACCTGAGGAAGTCTGGGCCAGGCATGGACTCGAGCATCATGGCTTTGGATTCCAAACTACCTACCTACGTACCTAGCTACTTTATCGACGCTGAGACGTAGAGAGCATTGTCTACAGGCCGTTGTATTGTATGTATACATCAGCATATCAAGCTTGGGGTGATGATGGGTGAACCCTTTCAAGGCGGTTTGCTCGAGAGTCTGTGGATAACGTATTATTGCTAGGTGTACCTCCGTATCCATTTTCTCCTTACTTTGATGCCCACAAGTCAGCTTCACTTTTACTTGGGCCCTTTAAGCACTCCTTTCTCGAGATCCCTTCTTGGAGTGGTTTCTGGTTAGCGTAAGGCCCGTTGGCAACAGTTTGGTAACATTAGATGGTTGCCTACGACACTCTTCGATCTTGTTGGAACTTTCGAGTACTACTGTGACCTAACGGAGTTGGTTTACTTGCAAGTTTCTGTTGTCTGGGCCCTGCCGGGATAATGTTATGATTGTATGAAAACGAAGCCACACAGGTTATATACGGTACACCACACTTGGGCACATATCACCTGGCCGAGGGCTCTGGACGTGTTGGCCTGTCTGCATTTCGTTTCTTTTGGTTTCGGGCTTGGTTGATGAGCATGCATGTGCCCAGCCACTGTCAATTGACCCCGTTCATTGGCATAGCCCCATGTTTTCTTCTGGTTCCCCCGCCCCTCCTCACTACGGCGCTTTGTTGGCATAAGTATCCCAGTTGCACTTTTGCTCAAAATTTTTATCTGCTCACGCCCAGGGTTCAACCCCAGCACCCCACCCTAAGCCCCGTAAATGCAAATATACAGTCTCAGCCACAACCACTACAACTTGTAATGTTGTTGCGCGGATAGTTGAAGAAGTACTCTATAGGAGGGAGAGGAATTACAGGCTTCTATATAGTATTTATAGGTCAAATGGGTCCTTTTACCCTAAGTAGGTACGTGATGAATTGCGTTAGGGTTAGGGTTACACTCACAATTCCAGGCACAGGCACGCTGTTACAAATACCACACCCGCCCCCGCCCTCGAGCCGTCAGGATTGTATAGTGGTGATGGTCTCTCATTTGCCAAGAAGGGAAATACACGTGGGCGCCGTCGCTGTAGTGATTCATCGTGGTAGCAGTTGTGGCATGGCGTTGGGTGACTTTCTCAATCGGGTAATTGCCCAGTTCGTGCTCAACTTCCAAGTTCTAGGCGGCAGGGCTCAGATCGCTCAAATCCAAGGTCTTTGCAAAGGAGCATAAATCGCGCGCCATCTTGGATCGGAAAAACTGCTTCCGGTCGGCCCGATCGGTCCCTGCCCAGCGCTCCTTGCCAATTCCATCCAGGTTGAGTGACTGAATTGATCTAAATCGTTAGAAAACGAAGTCTTCGCGAAGGAAGGTTGTTTTCGTACGCGCTTTTGCCAGTTTCAAAGCCGGGTACGAGGTATAGGTTGTAGGAGGAAAGGTGGCTGGCCGAGTGGAAGATTCCTTTAGTAGGTAGGAATCGAATTAGCGGGGTAAAGTTTTGGGTCCCCGGGGTAAATGTAGTAATACAGTTGTGTGCAAAAGTGCAACTGGGACACTTACGCCAACAAAGCGCCGTACCTCACATGAATCTCCCCCCACTTTGCCCAAGGTCTGGCTTTCCACAGTAGGGGTACCGGTACCGACTCCCTTTTCCTTGCTTCACCTCATTTTAAAGCACTGTAGCAAACTGGGCGCAGAGGGCTGTGCAGATGACGGGCGTTGAGATGCAAGTGATGTTCGTTAGCCGAGTCTGTATAAGTAAGTAATACTTTGCTGGGCGCACAGCCTCCGGATACATCTCCCCGTGGGGGTTTTGGCGATGGCTATCCCTTCGTAGCTTGCAAAGCACGGCGTATTGACGGAGAGCTGGAGGTTTGCAGGACTCATGTTAGGGTTACAAATTTTCGGTCGCATTCAAGGAGACCTAGTGCTGCAAGTGGTTGAGGGCGCTGGTTGGCTAGTTCCGTATAGTTGGCCCGATGTGTTGATTCGCTTGCTGGCGAGGCTGGGGATCGGTACATGCCTTACCCTATCCGAACCGATACCCCGAACTGCCCGAGTTTTGCGTGAGACGGAGGAAGGAGGGAGAGAAAGAGGAACAAAAAGATCAAGTCTGTCTTTTTGTGGCTTGTTGTTGGCTTAGACAGTTTCTTGCATCCTGTGCTAACTGGTCTTTTCGTTGAGCTGCCTTGCGTTTGTCTCATGAGAGCGGTCTGGTTTTGTTCTGGTGAGGCTCTGGTCAGGTTGACTTGTAATGCTGCGAGCACCGCAAAATGGACGATTATATGTTCCGGACCTATGTGGAGGACTGCAGATGTGTCCAGGAAGCGACGAGCTATTTGGAAATCCTGAATTACTCGGTGAGTTTCGCTTTCCTTCCCCATTCCGTTTGGATTTCAAAACTGGAGGGAAGGCACCAGGCTTGTACAAGGCCGTTAGCAATTGCGGGGAAAGATCTAGGGGTTTTGTACAACTGTCGAACGGTGCGGCGGAGGCGAGAAGAGTTATCAGACGGTGTCCTCAAGGCTAGGCAGCTAACCGGACCTTCTTGTGTAGGATCCCTCACACAATAGTATTGAGGAGCACCGGTTTAGCTTGGACGAGCTACCAGATGAGTTTGGCAACTTCCTGCACCGCCGAGTGAGCTACTTTTTTCATCCCGCTCGTTATTGCACAAAACACATCGACGAGACGATGTCACTGACACTCTCTCGCAGGGTGCTTTTGCACCGCCCAAGGTGCCTCCAGAGGTGAAGCTGGTCAGCGGTATTCGCTTAGTGTTCGTTGACCCCGAGCAGATCTTGTGTGATCTACGAACTAATGTTGAAGCGTACGTCAAACAGACTCCAGTTAAATGCGAAGCATCCAGAGACCTTCTCTCCCCGCTATATCTCCTTCTCGCACAAGGAGTACGACGAAATGGTCCGCACCCTCCGTCTCCCTTTCCGAGCCATCGAGGGAACCAGTGTCGTGGCCCCTTTCTTCTGGTGCGCCTTTGACCAGGACGACGATGACCCTCACCTGCGTATGCCATACCCCTTAATATCCGTCTTAGCCCCCTTTTGCCGCTTCTCCTTGGCTGACCATGTGAGCAGAAATCATCTTCCGCAAGTCGGACGTGCGCAAAAGGGGGATGACGCGGGGCTGGGAGCTCATGCTATCGCACTCGTTTCGCACCGGCATCACGACGGGCTTTGCTAAGGGCACCCCGTCGTCCGAGATGGGGGAGAGCATCAAGCACCTGAGGGCCTGCGCGGGTCAGGTCATGCACCCAATGCTGTTGCCCATCATCATCCTCAGCCACGAGCTGTCGTACAAGAACGACCAGAAGCAGCGCGAAGCCCGCGAGTGGCTCCGCCTGCTCGAGCACGCTGTCAGCATGCGCAATGAAGTACTGGAGGAGGAGAGTCGCTACATCAAGGAATCCATGGTTGATCTCGACCAGATCAATCGCGACCTCGTCGAGTGCCACTCGCAAGTGCTCTGGAAGCGGCCGCAAGCCTACATGGAAATCATCGCAGGCATGAACAGGGCCATGGACAAGTTCTGGTCCATGGCCCGCGATAACCCATCCTACGGTGGCAGCGGGGGTGAGGTGGACAAGCTTCACCGCAACATGCTTGGCCGTCTCGACTTTTACCAAGCTAAGTTGAAGGGCATTGAGAATTATTCGCACATCACTCTGGAGCGGCTGTCAATTCAGAGAGCAGCTGTGAGCCATACCTTCACGCCTTGGATATTCCATTGGTCTTAACTGCTAACATCCTCTTCCCGACAGCTCTACAACATCATTGCCCAAAAAGAGTCCAAGCTCGGGCTGCAAATGGCCGGTGAACAGCGTCGGCTGGCACATGCCGCCAAGCGCGACAGCACATCGATGAAGATGATCTCGCTTCTCGGTGCCATCTTCTTGCCGGCCACCTACCTGGCCTCAGTGTTTAGCATGACGTTCTTCGACTTTCGGACCGATGGTGGCGGCCGCAGGGGCGACGGCGGCAGCAGCACAACCGATGCTGACGGAGACTTGCAGTCGACGCCGCAGTCACCCGTGGCGCCCGAGCTGTGGATCTACTTTGCTATCACGGTCCCCATGACCGTAATCATCGTGCTGATCTGGCGGTGGTGGGACAGGCGCCGTGACAAGCGCTACTCCAAGGAGGACGCCGACATCGAGGAAGGCATCGAGAAGATGGAGGCTCGCATCATGGCCACGATGCGCCAGCGGACCATGAGCAAGGTGCGGACATGGGACGTTGCGAAATCGTGATTTGGTGCTGTGAAACAAATGGGGCCGAGTGGCAAGGGGAAGAGGAAGGGAAAGACTTGGATGGCAATAATGGTTGCTTTTTTGTTATTCGACAACGATACCTCTTTTTTGACGATCTAACGACAAGCGAGCGCCTCTGCATCTAACGATTAGATGACGACGACGACTTTTGATGACTACGGACGAACTTGCTTATGGCCATAGAGGGCGTTGTTGACCTGGAGCCGTTGGATACGAGCTTCCTGGCACGTACATACATTTTGATATACTATTAATACATTAAGATAGTTATCATGAAGCAAGAATTTTGAGGCAGCGGGCAGAGAACGCGAGATTCGAAACTAAATCGCCGTCCAGCCACCTAGATATCTATACATTTGTCTATGCGGCCCTAGAAATACACACTCCCCTAGGAGGATTTACTATATATACATACATGGCCATGATATCATACATCCTCCCCCCGAAATTCCTCAAATAAGGGCCTGCCCCATGAACATGCTCTCCTTCACTTCGGCGACCACATCCCTCCGATCGTCCTTACCGACCAACACCACGCCTCTTCCTCTCCGGCCCATCCTCCCTGCCCTCCCCAGACGGTGGATGAAATCGATCGTCGTGTGTGGCACATCGTAGAGCACCACATGCCTGACGGCAAGGGTGTCGATGCCCCTGGAGGCGAGATCGGTGGCCACAATGACCTTTGTGTTGGGCAGGTGCCTCCTACTGACGGCGGCCCTGGCAGCCTTTTCGCGCTCGGCCTCCTCCTTGGTGATGCGCATGGGCTCGTTGCTGGTGAAGCTGGCCAGCATCTCGGACTGGCGGTGCTCGGGGGTGTCGCGGTGGAGGGCGATGGCGTCGATGCCCTTGGAGACGAGGTACTCGGCGACTACGGGCGCCGTGTCGCGCTCGTTGACAAAGACCATGATGCGCTTGACGTCCATTTCGTCCTTGGCGGGGCCTTCGTGGCCCGCGGCATCCTTGCCGATGGACCAGATGGCGTCGGCGCACGCGAGCAGCTTGTTGTTGCGGTAGGGGTCCTTGGAGACGTCAACGACGCCGAGCTGCACGCGCCGCGGGATGGCGTGCAGGTTCGGGGTGGCGATGCGGTGCATCTGCGGGAAGTGGGCCGCCAGGTAGTTGTCGAGCCGCCGCGGGATGGTGGCGGAGCAGAGGATGAGCTGCTTGAGCGAGGGCATGGCGCGGTCGACGATCTTGGAGGTCTCTGGGGAGAAGGAGCGGTCAAAGAGGGAGTCGGCTTCGTCAACGATGAGGTGGTGCACTCGTGCGAGGATGTTGGGGTCTTTTTCGGCCATTTTGGCGAGGAGATGAGGGGTTGAGATGACCATGTCGATGCCGCCATGGCTGTATAGATTTCGCAGAATCTTGGCGGGGTCGTAGTTCGCCGACAGAGGGCGCACCTTGAGCTTGGCGACGTGCGAAATGGACTTTGCGACGGCGAGCACTTGATCGACGAGCTCGGCGGTGGGAACCAAGACAACGGCTCGCGGACGGCCAGTATTCGGGTGCGGCTCGAACTTGTCGATCCACTCAGACACGGGCGCCCCGCCGCGGCGTTCCTTCTCAGCCTCTAGCCGTTTATTGTAGGCTAGCACGTCTTGGTCGTCGATCTCTCCCACCTTCAAAGCGTTGATGGTCGGAAGCAGGTAAGCTAACGTCTTGCCGGAACCGGTCTCGGCAGCCAAAAGAAACTCGTCCCTGCCCATGTCAAGCTTCTTCTTCTGGCTCGAGCTGGAAGACTTGCTTGCCCAGAGAGGCTGGCCTAGCAGGGCCGGGATGGCAAGCCTCTGAACTGGAGTCGGCTTGACGTTCTCCATGCCCTTCAACACCTCATTCTTGACAGCCTCCTTAAGTACGGGCAGCAAGTCGAACTGGTCGAACGACTCGATGTCCGAGACGCGAGCCTTAACTCTCGCACGCTCCGTGTAGGGTATGGTGGCGAGCGCTCGTTGCATCTTGAGGGCCTTGAAGTCGCGCTTCTCGTTCTTGTCCCTGCTCCTGGAATCTCTGGAATCTCTGCCTCTCGAAGCTGAATCGGATGCCGGCAGCGCCCGCTTTGGGCTAACGTTGGCAACGACGCGGTTCATGCCCGCAAAGGGGCCATCGGGTCTGTCTCGGGCTTTGCGGCGTGCATCGACTCCTCCTCCTCCTCCTCCTCCTCCTGCTCTGCCAGGCGGCCCGCGAGCGACTCGGTCCGAGAGAACCATGCGAGATGGACGCTCACGCTCCCGGCGCGTCGCAAAGTTTCGCTGATTGGTCCATGGCGGCCACAATTCCACAAGAGTTTTCCTGGGTGTCCCAGCCGAGCGACATATGAGGCAGACCGAATCCCGCGCTGTCCTCCACATCATCGCAACTCTGTGGCCCCGGGAGTTGTGGCTGATTCTGGTATGTATTCTGAACCTGAACATGGGTCAAAAATAATCTGGGGCTTGGGCCGATTCTGCATGGCGGCAGTCGTTCTGCCAGCTTCTACCGCCTTCAGCCCCCCTGTCTGCTGGTACTGTAGTGGAGTCCGATCGGGCGGGTCTCCATTCCGGTGCTTGGCAGAGCCACCCGCTTGTCGACCCCGGCACTTGCCAGAGCTTCAGAGGTTGGCGTTAATAAACAGGTTGTTTCCTGCATTCTTTGCAGTTTCAAAAGGAGCGCCCACGACGCAGCTTTCTGTTTCGCCGCGGCTCGGCTACACACGGATCGATTGATGAAGCCAACAGCAGGAACCTACCTATTCAGATTGTTACATGTCTTGATCGTATGAACCAATTTTTGACGGAGTGGGGAGAGCTTTCTAGAATCAACATCACGTTGCCGATTCTGTCACGGCAACATGTTCTTGAGCGCAATTGACCAATCGCCTTACCAAATCCGATCGTATCAACCGGCACCAGCCACACTCAAGATAAGGCCACAACGCTATCAATCTCTCGGCAGCCAGAATCATGACATCGTCGCAAAGGGAATGAAAATGAGGGCTTTGGGTTCCCCATCTCCTTCCTCAAACGGTTGTTGCAGATGTGCAACGGTGGATTTTGGCCAAAGCCCCACTACTGCTACCGCGTCCACCGTCCACGCGACCCGATCATGACGGTCGTGCGGCGAACTCACAGATGTTGATGGTGGACGACAAAAAATCTTGCCTCCACCTGTAGCTGCCACCAGTTGCTTACACTTCGGCAGTCATAGACCCTCTAGAGAGATATACACTACCTTGCCAGCTTACCTTCCAATTGTTCTTCTTTGATCCTTCATTATAGTAATCGTAATTCCATCTCTGGGTGCTCGGCGACAAGCAACTACCTTACGCTACTGAACCTGCTAAGATAACGTCAACCAGCATTCAGATCGTCATCCCCACCATCTCCACTCCACGCCGCCTTCTTTGCTAGCGAGTCCCTGCAACTTGAACGCGCTGCCCAGGAGCTGCCCCGCGCCGCCGCTCACGGCCCGGTGCTGAATTTACCTCAGCCAGATATCTGCTTAATCCTTCCCGGTGCTAGCAATAATTCTTCTCACAAAGGCAGGGACACATCGGTCCGCCAGCCCTATCCATACTTCCTGCACAACAAATGACGTCGAGAAACCCGACGACATGGGACCAGTACGAGCGCGGGGACTTGTCCCGAACCGGTAGCAGCTCGTCACTGGGGAACCGGAGCGTCCAGGCTGAAAATGATGCATCTCGATTAGGTCGCAGTCTCGACCTACACCATCAAGACAGTGCCGAGTGGCCTCGCCTGAGGCGGACGAGGTAAGTAAAGAACTCCCCGCTATTCCCCCACGAACCCGGCGTCACAGAGCTAACTGGGACGTCTTTCCAGATCCTCTCTCCCTAATGCCCTCACTGCCCTGACCGACATTGGCGGCGTCAACAGCATCCGCTCTTTTACCCGCAGCTGGCGCCGCGCCGCCGGCTTCACCGAGGTCATCCCACAACGCCCTTCCTTCGTATTCGCCCCGGATCAGGCCCCTATCGGCGGTGGACTAGACGGCCATGCCACCCCCTATGACCGGGGCGACCTTGAGGCGGCGCCATCGTCGGAGCGGGACTCCCTTCTGCGCCAGCAGCTCGAGTCGGGCATGGCCCCCGCCTCCGGTGAGCAGTCCCCCCGCGGAGAGAGTCCTGACCCGGGCGCCAGTCGCATGCCTTTCCGCCAGCCAAGTGTCGACTCTCGCGATCGTGAGCAAAAGGCGCTGGAGCATCACGATTGGGCCCAGATGTTCAGGGTCGGCAGCCACTCGACCACCTCGGCGGGCTCGATATTCGCCGTTCCTCCCCACCTCGCCACGCCTCCGCTCGTCGGCAGCTACGGGTCGGCCGTCGTCGACTACGGTACAATACGTTCCGATGTCAGCCGGGCCTCCAGGGCCCAAGCGGCAACCCTATGGCGGCAGCAGCAGGAGGCCGGGGGGAATGTGCCCGACGGGGAGATCGCCCCCATCTTGGTGAAGGAGGTGGAGCAGGACGGCAAGATCGTCTTGGCCGTCGAGGGGCAGTCGACGCTTCCTCAAACCGTCTTCAATTCAACAAAGTAGGTTCCTGTTTTGTGTTTGTGGTTGGGTCCCAAAATGCCATCTTCGAGTCGGCTGCTGACATGGGTACGGCGACAGCGTCCTGATCGGCGTCGGTCTCCTGAGTCTGCCCATGGGCATCAAATACGCCGGCTGGCTCTGTGGGATGCTTGCCTTGTTCCTTTGCGCGGCTGTGACTGCGTGGACAGCAAAGCTGCTGGCCAAATGCATGGACCTAGACCCGAGCCTCATCACTTTCTCCGACCTCGCCTTCATTTCGTTTGGCCGGAACGCGCGGATAGCTACCAGTATCCTGTTCACACTCGAGTTGCTGGCAGCTTGCGTCGCCCTCTTTGTTCTCTTTGCCGACTCGTTTGATCTGCTGTTCCCCGGCGTTTTGTCGGTTATGGGCTGGAAGATTCTCTGCGCCATTATCTTGATACCCCTGAACTTTTTCCCGTTGAGGCTGCTAAGCTTCACGAGCGTTATTGGCATCTTTTCATGCCTTAGCAGTGAGTGAACAGGCGTTGGGATATCGCCCGCCTGGGCAACGCGCTGACTCCTGGCATCTAGTCGTGCTCATCCTACTTCTTGACGGCTTCCTGAAGCCCACATCGCCGGGGTCCCTTCTTGAACCGGCCAAGACATACCTATTTCCTGCCAATTGGCTAACGTTACCGCTATCTTTTGGGCTTCTCATGTCCCCATGGTAGGTCGCGAATCGTAATCCTGAGAAGATAGGGCGACTCGCTGACTAAGTTATAGGGGTGGCCACGGCGTCTTTCCCAATGTAAGTCCTAAACCATAGCAGAGAGTTATAGGTCCAAGTGCTAACTTGTTCCAAGATCTACCGTGATATGAGACATCCATACAAATACGCGCAAGCTGTGAAAATTTCCTTCTCATTTACCGTACGACTATCCACCCCGTAGTCTACATAGGGCTTTTACTAACAGGTGCTGTATAGTATGTCCTTGACGCCGTCACGGCCGTTGCCGGCCTGCTCATGTTCGGGGATGATGTCCGCGACGAGATTACTTCCAACATTTTAATGGAGTCTAGCTACCCGCGCACGCTAACTGTGCTCATGTGCCTCTGCATCGGCATCATCCCGCTGACCAAGATACCACTCAATGCTCGGCCCATTGTGGCAACGATCGAGGTGCTGCTGGGTTTGCACCAGCAGACAATGGCCGGCACCCCTGAACTCGTGGGGAGGACCATGTCCTTTCGCGGCGCCATGAAGGTGGCCATCCGCATCCTGGTCATCCTCTGCTTTCTGGCCATCTCGATCGTCTTCCCCGCCTTCGACAGCATCATGGCATTCATGGGGAGCGCCTTGTGCTTTACTATCTGCGTCACGTAAGCTTCTATTTCCTTCTTTAATCGCTCGCTCCCTGCTTGATGGGAGCTATGCCCGTCGGGTCTCTGAAGCTAACACATGATTTCCGCTGTGTTATCCAGCCTCCCCATTGCATTTTACCTCAAGCTCTTTGGCCACGAGATCCCAGCCAGGGAGAAGCTCTTTGCCGGTTCTGTCATGGCAGTCTCCTCCGTTTTGTCCGTCATCGGCACCGTCTGGGCGTTCCTGCCCAAGAGCTTGATTGGCGCCGAACCTGCAATGCCTTCATAGCCATAGGTTACTCATGGAAAAGGAGGCCGTGGGTGGGCGTTACCCGACATGCTCCACACATGGCGAGCTGTAATGGGCCTCCTGATTGCAAACTCAAACAGGGGAGTAAAGGTTGGGCTGGATGGGTTGGGTAGATGTGGCCGCCCTTCCTGTTGACGAACTGTTCCAGTTAGAGACTGTGGCTGGTATCTAATCACTGCCCGGCGTTTCTTTGTGAACCTCTGAACTTCGCATCTTCTTTGGGCTTGGGGGTCACGTTGACGCTTCTTCATGCAAGCGAATGCATCCTGTCTGTTGGTTTGGGCGGTTGGTTCTGTGCCAGAGGATGTGGGGAGGCGTGACGAGGGTGAGGCGAGCCGCATTATAACAAGCAAACAGCATGAATACATGCAAAGACAATCGCATACCAGGGGAACAAAACAACGGACGGCTTGGTTCATCGCCGCCCGAGGACCGTGTCGGATCCTGATAGCAGTAGATGTTTCGTAATGTGCCATGCTGCGACCGCCCCGTGGCAGACACTGCGCAAGTATGCAATGTAAAGACTGTACTGCAGAGTACATATCCGTACATACGGGACATACAGCCGATCCAGCAAAAGGTGGGACTCTTGTTTACTCTGCGAGCTTATGTGTCGCGATGGGATAGGAGGGACAGGGGCATAGATACGCCGTTGCATGCACAATAATCCGGGTTAACAAAACACTTGTCAAGTGCTCTGGCTGTCCTTTCTCATCGCATGAGCAGCAGCCGAGGACCCAAGCCCGCTCCAATCAACAACACACGAACATTGACTAGGAGTTGATGTCGTCTCTTCCCCGTCTGCGGCCATCTGCGGGCTTACACGCCAACGGCAACAACAGACACAGACGGGGGTTCCAGTTCTAACAGCGTTGCGGGTCTAGGATCCCGAGCTGCAGCCAGGGTCAAAGAACAACTTATGCATTATGTAGGAAGCTGTCAGCATGGACTGGTGGAGTTTCATGCTGGAGCAAGAAGGGACCTTGCAACAACTTCTCCCTTACATGGAAGCTATTTACATACATCTCGCACGTTTGCTGTGAGAACTAGCTTGGCATAGCAATTGACCGCCTTGATGAACGGCCCATGGGAGGCGGAACAGATTCTACATATTCTCTTCTCATCTTCTCCTGTACAATACCTATTTCTATTCATCAGCGTCAAGGTCAGCCCGAACAATGGTTAAAACAATCTCGTCGTGTAAGCGGATTAATGACGGCTGAGTTATGGGACTCAATACGGAGGATAATGATTACTCATATCTCACGACATTCGAGCTTTAGGCGCTTGTCGGGATCAACAATTCAAATTTCAAAGTGTAACTTGGTCCCTCAGAGCAACAAGGAACCAAAACTCGAGTGGGTAACCTCTGGTATTCTAGACTAAAGCTATCTAATACGCAGAAAGCGAGTTGAAGGCCGAAGCTCACCAATCCCGCCATACATCATCCCCCAAGCTCCTCCATCGGTCGATAGAAAATAAACTCTTCTGTGCTGACCCCTGTGTTTGTACTGCATGGTTTTCCCGTTCCAAAACTGGACGGAATCAACAATTTAATCCAATCCATGGTCCAGTTTTCTGCTCCATTGAAGTCCGCAAACCACCCCGCCAACGGCTGGTACGCCAAAATGTTTTATCGTTTCGTTCTAGAAACCCGCTGCCATGCAATGAAGAATAAAGAATAGCCCCGTGCCAAATATGATTGTGTAGAGTGAACCTTGACAAAGACAACCAAACCAATGCTCCTACAGTACGGTAAACACCCAGGGAAAAGAAACAGGACAACAACAGGGATCAGCACTTCTTACACCAAAATGAAGTAGAAAAGAAAACGAGTTGTCGACCGATGGGTGAGGGAGGATGGTGATAGCGGATAGGTGATGGCCCAACTACAAGTGGTAGGCCGACACTCGAGCAACCCAGCTCACTCATGAGCGAGCTGCTTCTTGCCAGCCACCAACCCACTCGACGTGGAAGGCGTTACGCCTTTCCCGGCGCCAATCAAAATTCCAATTCCAGTCTCGATCGCGGCCCTTGCTGCGAGGACACTCCTTGGCGCGCTCCCAATTGCCTTGATTGCTCCACCTACCCTGGTGGGATCCGTGATGATGATTGTGATGAGCAGAGTGGTTCCCAGAAGAAGTGTGGTGAGAGTCGTTGTAGACATCAAAGACGCCGTGTCCCTTGCCAGGGGAACTAGCGGGGAAGCCAGCCCCAAGCTGGCGGCCCGACCGGAGAGGGAGAGAAGGCACCTTTGACGGCGAGCTACCAGTGTATGCTCGCCGACGCTCACCGAGAGCTGCCCACTTATCCATGTCATTCCGCTTTGGAAGCGGGGAGTGACGAGTCGGAAGCTGAGGTTCTTCCTTGACTGGTGGCGCCTCCCAGAAAAACAAGCCATCGGTCTCGGGATCTTCGTCCTCGACGGTTCCGCCTCGTCTCTGCTCAAGCGCTGCATCAATGGAATCAATCCTATTCGCATCATGGACAAGACTGGCGGTTTTGGTTGCAGGGGACAAGCCAGCGCGCGGCGTGTTTTCATCGTCGACCGCTGCCGAGGACTCGTGCTTGCTCTCATGGCTCCAAGTTCTCGAGTTCATTTCTTTTAGGGCCTGCAGTTGGCGAGCCTGCTCTTGCTCCTCGAAATCCTCTTCCCACAAGTCGCTCCAGCTCTTGGATACCGTGTCCTTACGCCCGAAGATCAGGGACATGGCAGACTGATTGCGGTTCCTGGACATGGCGATGGGCAGTGAAGCCGCCATCGGGACGGCTTTCGCCGTAGCCTTGGCGGGCAGCTTGGGCTGGAAGTCTTCGGGCACCGTAAGAGACTGCATGGAAACCCCGAGGCTCGAGTCCACGTATGACGACATGGAAGGAGTTTGTCCAATGCCCGACATCCAATCGTTTGTCGTCCCAGATTTGGAGAACAAGTCTTCCTCGTAGATCTCGTCGTCTGGGATGATACTGAGCTGCCGGATAGGCTTTGGCGGGGTGGCATGCAAGGCCTTCGCCCAAGGGAAAGCACCGTTATCAGCCTGAGGGCTCTGGATGGATGGGGTACGCAGCGGTTCGCGGTTGGAGCTGGGAATAACACGACGGTCGGCGGAGCAGAAATCGTCGAGGGCCTCGTCGAGCGTAGTGAAACTGACGACGCGAAGCAGGGCCTCACGGACCTTGGAAAGAGACCGTTTCCTCGGGTCCAGGCTCATGCAGTGCACGATGACCTCAAAGGTGTCCTGAGACATGGAAGGGAACACATCGAACAAGGACTGCTTGTCGCGAGAGAAATCAAGGAACAGGGGATCGGCCTCGGTGGGGGTCGTGAACGGGTTCCGCGAGAACAGCACGTTGAGGAGGCAGATGCCGATGGCCCAGATGTCAGCTTGAGCGGGCGAGTATCCGGCACCGGCTGAGTCATACTGCTCCGGCGACATGTAACGATCGCTTCCAACTGTCGTCTCATAGGTCCACTCCTCGGTGGTCGCCAGCCCAAAATCGCCCAGTTTCATGGAGCCAGACTGGGTGAGGAAGATGTTCTCAGGCTTGATGTCGCGATGATAGATGCCCTTGGAGTGGATGTAGGCAACAGCGTCGACGAGTTCTAGCATGAAACGCCTCACGTGCTCAGTCTCCAAGGGGCCATGTCCCATCCGGATCGCCTCATAAAGGTCGCCGCGCGGGCAGAACTCCAGTACCAGGTAAACATGAGCGTCTGTCTCAAACGAATCAATGAGGTTCACAATGTTCGGATGCGAGCCAAGCCGGCCGTGGAGGATAAGCTCCTCGGACTTGTCGTCGATGGCAAATTCGAAGCCGGGGTCGTTCGCGGCTGACTTCTTCGTCAAACACTTGACGGCGACTGTCTGATTCGTCGAGAGATCCTGGGCCATGAAGACCATGCCAAATGAACCATGATTAAGAGGCGAGATGGTCTGATACCGACCACCAAGAATGACTCCATGGTGGAAGTTGTCTCGGAGGCATTCCATGGCGTAGAAACCGAAGGTCGTTGAGCGAGGTGAAGATATTAAATATACAGTCGTTTGTAGATCGAATCCGGGCTGCTGTACAGTTGTAGCCGCGTTTCCCCCCTTCGCCTAGAAGCCGTCTAACTCGATCGAGTCCAGTCTTATCGAGACAACCGATGTATACACACGATCTAGCAGTCGATTGCACAACAGGTGAAGTGTCGTGCTTAGAACCGAAACCGGAGAGTCGAGAAGAGAGGTACGATGTACAAGACGACAAAGCGGCACAAGGGAAAGAAAGCACAAGCAGCTCTGAGTCGTTCACTATCCGAGGCTCATGGGCGGGTATTTTTGGTAAGACAAAGAAAAAGAGAAGGTTGGAGAGGGTCGTCAAGGAGTCGGACTCGCAGTCCAGAAACAAAAACAAAAGAAAGGGTCGTTATAACATCGATGCAGAATTGGGAGTGAGTGACGAGTAGTTGTTGGGTTGAGCTAGCTCAGAGGTAGCTACTGAGGGAGCTCCCGAGGTCAGACAAGTCTAGCGTTGCCTGATTGCGAGGAAATAGGACCGCTGCCGTCGAGGGACGGGTGTACTCGCGGATAGCTGGCTGTGGAAGGCAGGCGCAGCGTATCGTCAAGTGTGCGGCGGCGTGAAGTGGTGAGTAGGCTAGTCGGAGTCGGACGATGGCAAGTGAGACCAGGTGGCAGACAGCAAACCGAAGAACGAGTTGCAGCTATTGGAACACCTGGCTGATCGCCGTTGAAATCATGCGGAGGGTAGGGGGTCTTTGGGGAACAGGTGGACGAAGAGATGACTCTTCGACCCCCTTGTTCGGCAGACGAGATGTTGTGATTCACAGCAAGTGGATACCGATCGGGAGCCGACGAATGCTCGGGGTTGATGGAAATCGGACAAGTGTGGGACGACCGGGTCCAGGGGCAGTCAGGAGTGCTGGAGGCGCCACGCGGCGTTGCACGAGATGCTGCAGCGTTGCTTGATGTGGGTAGGTTGATGGAGACTCGAGAAGGAATTCGAATGCCAGACGCTCCGAGGATGTCGTAGGAGAGAGCCGAGCTGGTCGTCTTAAGAGGGAGACGGGTGCTTGCTGGCGGGGAGCCGAGACAGATCAAGGTTGGCAGGAATCTCAGCGGTGTGTGCCCAGCAAGTCTTCTCTCTCAAATGCTCGTAGATTCCGCAGCGCAGGGCAAGAAGCGGTCGCAGTCGCAGTCTCGTATTGTTGACTTGATTCAAACCAAACAAGGAAGCCCCAAAAGGTCGTGAATTGAGGGTAGTGGCAAGTGCGGTGAGAAGGACAACAACAATGGCGGCGATGACAGCGATAGCGATGGCATGCAGGAATTATACGACAGCAAAGGAGAGGGTGGCAGACGAAGAGGCGAAGAGGCGGTGGGAAGGAGTTGGGGAACAGCTGAAGCGATTTGGCAGAGGTGCCAGTGGGGGATGAGGAAGCATTTGGCAGAAGCTGCAGCAGGAGGATGGAAAGGCCCAGAAACGCTGAGGGAGGACTGGCCGAGAATGCCGTCAAAAAAGTGGGCTGAGCCATGATCAAAGGGGAATGGGCCTCAACAAGGAGGTCACTCGTGATTGCCACGGAGGGTCTCGGCAAGGGTGCTGTGGCCAATGGCCCACGATCGCGAGTGTGGGATTGGGAAAGGGCGAACACTGTGTGTTTGGTCAGGCCTGCCCGCAATGGCCAACGTGTCGCTGATTGTTTTGGTACTGTAGAAACCAAGGACCAAACCACGGAAGATGACGACGAATGGGCATCGAGTGAGCCCTGCCACAACAGCACACCGCTATGCCTCAGGCGTTGAATGCACATGTGGTGTGCTAAGCTAGCCGTATTCGATCAACGCCTGGTATGGAACGGGCTAGGTCCACTAGCAGTCTACCTAGCAGAGAGATCGAAGAAATCAAAGAAATCGGAGGAAATCGCAGATAACGTTAACAAACGTTAACGGCCAACCCGGCCATCCTTTCAGACACGTTGACACGGTGTACCAGTCGCGGCCCTTGGCCGAAGCACTCGTGTGGTTAGCAGCTACACCGCCAACTCGAGCGTCGTTTGTACCATCTAGCTCACCAACCACAGTCGTGGACATTGGAATCGGGTACCATTACATCTTGCCGGTGGACTCGACCTTGCTGCCGCCCTGTCTTGAACGCCCCTGGTGAGGCCACGTTCGTCGTCACTAATCCGTGCCCCACATAACCCTGCCCGAAGGCCAAGGGTATGCATCCCCCAGACGGCAACAACCCTGAAATTCCAACTTATGGGGAACTCCGCCATGGGCAATTGGCAATGTTGCAGCAGATGAAGATCATGAAGTGGAGCGCAAATGTGGACACTCTTTGATTGTGATCAAACGCTCCGTGATTGCGTAAGTGCACAGTAACTTGCTGACGGAACGGATGGAAGAAGCGACTCGGAGCTTGCAGCCTCAGGCAGGCGAGGCAGGCAAATGCTAACAGTCGTTATTGCTTTGTTGTCATCAGTTACATAGGTCGTTTCCTTCTAGCGGTTTCCGTTTCAGTCAGCAGCATTAATCATTGGTGGGTTGGATATGCACTCCTTTCTGGCTGCATGGCGCCCTTTCATCATTCGCTCCTGCATTGCGGCGCGGGCACGCCGTTTCTGCCAAAATAGTACCTTAGGTTTGTAGTTTCTCGAGTTTCTAGTGTCTGTGGCACAAAACACAAAACAGGCTAGAGGCTCCCTGGGCCACAGTCTCGGGGCGCGACCATCGAGAAGCTTGGTTCCCAGCTGTCCGCAAGCGAGTGAGCAGAGACGCACGCGGCGTGGTAAAGCAAGGGCGTTGTTCTGCCCTGAACTGGTAGACACACCTAACGGGCTTGAACGGAAGCGGTTATTGAGGAGACATTTCGTCTACAACCCCACAGTCTCTTCCGTTGAATCGATAAGGAGGTGCCCATCGAGGTATCTGATAGAGAAATCGGGCGATAGCAATGCCGCCTGTTTCCCGTTTTGACGTCGTGTGACCTATGCCCATCATCAGCTGTATTGTACGGATACGTACCCCTAAGCAGTCGGGCAGGCCAATCTGTGTTTCGTCTGAGAATTGAAACCGCTTACCACTGGGGATAGCTAGCCAGCTAGAGCAGAGATGGAAAAACCTACCTATCCACCGACTCTGTGCATCCGTACTGCATACCTTAGATGTAGGGTGGGTGATACGAAGCAAAGTAACGCTCTAAGAAGGAGGAGTGGTTGGTCAATCTTTCATATCTGTCCATTAATTGGCCCTACACAGATGGCGAGTAAATTGCTGGCAACCATCAGGTACTACCGATGATGCACCAAAACTCATCATCGAGCGGTCTAGCACTTATCAGCGAAATTAATAAAAGGTGCGTCCGCTGGATTGTCGCGTTAAACCACACGCGTCCATCGCCCTCCCACCCACTGTTACTGTCAAGGCGACCTCACATGCAGGTTTTCGGGCGCTAACCGAGAAGGAAGCGAGCGGTTGATCTGCAAGAGGGGTCGGGTCCTATCGCTGTCTCAGGCCCTTTCCTCTTGTCAAGCGCCAAATTGCGTGCAGCTGTCGTTGATGACTGTCGTTGGATTTCAGCCCAGTGTCTTCGAATTTGTTGTGTTTTGCATTCAGTGCTCGGAGGAAGAATGATTGCCTACCCACAGTGCCTTTGGAGTGGCGGGCACATCGGTTCCAGAAGGCGGCAGTCTTATTACAGCCACTCTTTCAGGGTCCTTCCGCAACGAAGCATGAGACACTTGATATGTGGCGCCCTTGGGTTTGCGATTGATAAACTGCCCCTCTTCTACGGATACATACCGGTAGTTTGGATCGGACCAGATCATAACGTTATCAACTGGCCACTTCGACCTCCTTTGAACTACGACAACGATGGCAACCGATATGACGACCGAGAATTACTTACTATCTACTGGCCCTTCATTGAACGTTTCTCCGTGAAGTACTGCCGGTGGTTATATCAACCGGTGCAAGTGGTGTTGCTGACATGAAGGGCCGTTGCTATAGCCGATCTGTTTACCAACCCAATCATGTCGCGCTGGAATTTTGAAGTTTTGGGTCTCAAAGAGTCACAGAGCACCAGTGAGACAAACAGAACGAATCTATCAAGTGGACCAACACTGTCGTCCGAGGTGGCCAGTTCTTATCGTTCGGGTTGCCGCATGAACCAAGCTGAGCATCACATTTTGCCGCTGCACGCCAGACTGGTTGTCGCCGAACTCTGGTACCCGCTTGTCCTGAAATGGGAGACATGCGGTGATCCGTGGTGGAACGCAAGGGAGGGCATCGGCTTGCTGTCCACACTGCGTACTGTCGCTTTCGTCGACTGCCGTCGTCCGCCCACACTATGTCTCTCTGGTACATAACTGTCTGTGTGCCATGGCGCGCTGTCGACTCGCCAACGGGGCGGTGCATCGCGCTCACACAACACCTGCCGTCGTCCTCTTCTCCAGACAGGTTTGTCCTGTGCTTTCTCCACAAAATCGCATAGGCGACATGCAGCTTCATGTATGCACGTCTCCTGCAGGTCTACGGGATTCAGATTTGAAGTCTCGAAGCCTCTCCGTTTTGGGAAGCCCCTACCGGTGTTAGTGCTGGCCATGCATTCATTGCATTGTATCCATGGATGGTTGGTTGAGCATGTCCTGACCGCCTTTCCTGCTGCTCTTTGAACGCCTGTCAACAGCCGCTCTCAACCCCAACCCTGCCACTATGAATTTCGTCCTGCATGCCTTCCAGGCTGATATGCTACACTACACCTTTACTGGGTCAGATAATCCGGCGATGGTGGTGCAGCTGTCGAATTGAAAGCTTGCGACGCGAAAATTTTTCCGCATATTTTTTTCCCACCTGCGTTCCTGTCGTTGACCGCGCATATCACCATCCACTCAGAGGGCAACATCGCTTCCCTCTTCTCTACCGACATCTTCACCGCCTGTATAGTTCGTGGGCGCCGTGCGCAGCTCGTCGGCCTCGATTGCCGGCACGCCCCTCCGCTCCCGGGCTGTTCTCACCCCGTTCCCCTGAGTCCGGTTTTAGCACTACCGTGCCGGATTTCGCAACCCCTGTCATCGAACTCCTGCGTAGCAAAAGCAGTATGGCGGCCCCAAAGAGGCCCCGGGTGGTGCTGCTGGACATTGGTACCTTAGCCCGTTCTGTTGGATCTCAATCGTCCAAGGTTCCTCAACCGGCTAATACAATCCTGACTCTTCTGCAGAGGGCACCGTCTGCCCTATCTCATTCGTGAAGGACGTTCTTGTAAGTCCAACGGGAAGCAGATACATCAGCAGATCCTTTTTTCCCTCTCAACCGTTCAACACCACATCCCTCACTTTGGCTCTGTGGCCGTGGTTCGACCCTTCGTCATCACATACGGTTCGGCCACTCACGGCGGGATCTACCCCTCCTTTCCAACCTGTCCTTCGCTGTTTACCCGCCCGCCTTGGTGTGCCACAGCAGCCACAGACAGGCGCTGGGGGGCAGGGAGCGTGTGATTTGCTGCCGATGTTATTATTGACACCACACCCCTGGGCGCCCTAAAGCCATGTAATGATCCAGCGGGGGTGGGAGCCGGCTGGACATTCAGTCTGAAGTTTACATTATATGGCGTAGTGCGATGCGACATGTTTGATGTATAAAGCTAACCGTCTCATTGTAGTTCCCTTATGCCCTGCAAGCACTTCCAGAGACCTTGAAGACACAATGGGACAGCCCGGCATTCGCCCCGTACAGGAATGCCTTTCCGCCGGAGCATGCCGCCTCACCGGCGGCCCTAGAGGAGCACGTCCGGGACCTCATGAGTCGCGATGTCAAGATCTCGTACCTAAAGAGTCTCCAGGGCTATCTATGGGAATCGGGCTACAAGAACGGTGAGCTAAAGGCTCCCCTGTTTCCGGATGTCGCGCCCAAGATTGCCTCGTGGCGCAACGCCGATGACGGCGGCGGCGTCCAAGTCATGATCTACTCATCCGGATCCGTGGCCGCGCAGAAGCTCCTGTTTAGGCACACAAACGGGGAGCCGGCCGATTTGACGCCGGACATAGCCGACTTCTTCGATACGGTCAATGCCGGCCCCAAAACCGAGACATCGAGCTACCAGAAAATTGCGTCCAAGCACGCGACCATCCCCGCCAGTGAATGGCTGTTCCTCAGTGACAATGTGCTGGAGGTTGAGGCGGCCAAGAAGGCTGGCATGCAGAGCTTCGTCGTCGAACGGCCCGGCAATGCCCCGCTTTCAGAAGGAGCACGGAGAGAGCACAGGGTAATCAAGAGCTTTGACGAGCTATAGCTGAACTGAACTCTACTCTCCCCTGGCAAAACTCCTAAGCACAGCCGTATACAGCCCCACTTTCTTTTTTGCTCTATATAGCTCATTTTAAATGTGCCGTCGCCGGCATGATATGGCGGCCACCTGATATCGTCGATCCAGAGCGTTTGAGCATTCAATGGCTATCCGGAGCAGTTCACTGGCCAGACGGATTGTGCACCTATTGTCGTCCTGTTCTGTACGAAGGTATATTTGCTTCTTTTGGCTGGATTGGAGGCTAACAGCGGCTCGGAGCGGGTACTGTATTCAAACCCCTGAGCGCTCAGACCATTATCCGGAGCGGCGGAGACCGATAGACTCCCGGCTCTCACGTGATGGCACCGGCTAACGTTATCACGAGATAACCATCCCAATCCCTTGGAGTTTTCCCTAGGTCCGAGTCTCTTGCTGTTTCGAAATTTCAAGCCTCCCGTGCGATCGCGTGATACGATGCCAAGTATGTGCTGATTTTCGCAGTTCTCAGACATTTGGGGAAGAGGATTGTGGCTTGCGTAACAAGCCGTCTCCATGTAGGGTCGCCGGTCTTCCCCGCGCGCCCCTCAGAACTGCCGTCATCTGATCGTCAAGGGCTCAATTGAGTTTCTCTCACGGGATCAAGGCCTGCGGCTGATTGACAAATCAATGCTGTTCACCGCAGTGCGTCTCGAGGGCCGGTCGCACTTCTGCCAGCGGCGGTTAGTGTCAACTGTTTGACGATCGGAGGTGGGCTTGTTGATCTGCAGAAAGGCTATGCTATTCTGTCTCCAACAGATCGCGGGGAAGAAGGGGGGGATCAGTCGAACCCCTAGACGGCACTTCGCCCATTGGACTTGTGGAATTCGCAATACCAACCTGACCTTCCAAACGGCATCAATTCCACGAAGTACTCCGTACAGGTATGGAAGATCGCCGTCCAGCGGTATGTCCCCGGTGGCTAGGTACCCTGTGCACCCATAATTCTAGAGGCCTGGTAACGAACCAGGGAAGCCGAGTGAATTGAGAGGACCTGATCCCCGGCCGCCGTCGAGACTCGGCACCCCCAGTTACACTAGGCCGGCATTAAGGCGTCTAGGATGCAAGGCTAGTAGATATTATACTAGGCCTGACCATGCCCTCCTGACATTGGCTACGCCAAAGAGACAAGCTAGCCCAGGCTGCATCGGCCACTCGCTACTTTGTCTTTAAAAGTTCTCTTAGGTATCCTGGTGTATAGGTAGTCCAAGCATGTGCTATCCAGCTCATCGACTCAGCGGGGTATCGTCTTCGGACAGTAAACCGATGATCTGCTAAACCCGATAGAGCAGGCTTCTCCTTCAGCTGGCACTAGAATCCAAGCTCAGGTCGCGAGGATTGGCACTTCAATGAGCGTATTGGAAAATGCTGAATTGCGGACCGCACCCAGGAGATAGACGGCTGCCCGCCGCAAGGGCTCGATGGTATTGGCGTGCTCCCCGTACCATGCTGTCCTTGATCATGGCTTCATCTGAGTGGCCAGGCGGCGTGGGATAGGGAATCAGGTGATGGACCACTAAGGCTAGATTGGAAGCGGAACTGCGGACAACTCGGGTCTGCCGCATTCGGGAATGCGGTTTGGTAACTCGAGGTTTCACTGTCTAGCTGTAGTGGAATAGCTGTGGTGGAACACATTCAAGCTCGCAGAGAGGAGAGTACCTTTCGACTGGGTCTAAGACATCCATTCGGACAGGCAGTCGTACACACCCCAGTTCGAGTCTGCTCTCTGTGAGTGGCTCAGTCAAGCACAATCGCAAAGTTATTCCTGCTTGCCCCAGATCGGATCTCCTTTTTGGAGAATTGCCGTTCAGCTCCACCGCAGCTTGAATCCCTCTTCCACAGGTAGTAGACGAGCCTTTGGCTTGTCTTGGATGCTGTCTTCGTATAGCCGAGGGAAGTCATGATCGAAGCCAACCTCTCTTCGTCAAGGTAGCGAGAGTTCGTCACACACGGCGCAGGTAAGACGAGGAAGAGGCTTGGAAAATGGGCGGCTAGTTGGGGGTTATCCAGGTGCTGCCCTGGAGGAAAGAGAAAATGGGTTGCCCGGCGGAGCATGTCGCCTCGTCCCTTGGGATCAGGAACGAAATTGAGAACTAGAGAGAGCGATATTATATCGAAACGCTCAGACTCGTCTCGAGGCAAAGGCCGTTGCATAAAGTCTTGCTGTAAGATGCCTTCCCCTTGGCTGTTGAGGTCGATTCTCTCTATGTCAAAACATCCGCTTTTTGAGCACGCATTTTGCGTGCTCAGGGCACCGACCTCGAGCATGCGAAGTCGTCGACCTGATGATGGCTTTGATGTAAGACATGGTTGCAGCCATTGCATGAGGACCCGAGAACTGTCGCCTCCTCTGTCATGTCGCTGGCCTTGCAGACTCGCTTCCTGATAACGCTTGATACCGCCCAGGGATTGAATCTCGGCATCAATAGCTGCCTCTTCAGCCTTGTCGCCCTTCGCAATGGCTTGTCGTTTTCTCTTCTCCAGGAGATGGAGTCGGTTGATAAGTGTCTTGGTAGCTTTCCTTGAGATAGACTTGGGTCGATGGAAAGTTGGAGGGCGACCAGCCGCAAGACTTTTTGGGGTTCTTTTCTTATTTGAAGCCATGGAACTTCGGCCGTCCCTGTGCGAAGGAAAACATTGAAAAGCGAGAATCGGGATGCGGCTTCCGACGCCCAGTCCCTTTGGAAAGCTGTGTTCAAGGTCCTCCTTCCTAGCTCCAGAAATCTTATTGAATGTCTTGAATAACACAAGAGTAAGTTAACTCATCAGCCACCCAGCCCGAGAGTCAAGCGTCAAGAAACTCAAGACTCAACCCGTTTTAAGCCCCACAGCGCATCAGTGCACCAGCCACAGACCTAGCCACATTTCCTGCGCACACACAATTTCTATTTTGGCTGAAAAAATCATCGCTCTCGGTTTCTCTTCCCCAATTGACGACCGACTCGACAGCTTCGCCCAGCGCCGATACAATACTCCAAAATGGCTCCCAAGGACGCGAAGAAAGGTACATAAACGCCTAGGATGGAATTCTACACGCACAAACTCGGCCGTCGCTCAATGTGCACCCTCACCATCGTCGCCCCAGCGGCGGGGTGATGCACCAAAGCAGCAGCAGATTTTGCGAGTTTGAACAAGACGGGTTTCCCCTTGTTCAGGCGAATGCTTTTACTGATCAGTCTCCTCTCCGACAGGCGGTGCCTCCAAGGCCGGGAAGGGCGCTCAGGCGAAGAAGGCTGCCCAGGCTGCCCTGAAGGGTGTATGTAGTTGCTCCTTGGACTTGTTGACTCCGCAGGACTGATGTCTCTCTAGGTGCACGCCCACAAGAAGGTCAAGGCCCGCTACTCGACGACCTTCCACCGCCCCAAGACCCTTCAGCTGTCTCGCGCGCCCAAGTACCCGCGCAAGTCGATCCCTCACGAGCCTCGCCTCGATGAGCACAAGGTCATCATTCACCCCCTCAACACCGAGGGTGCGCTGAAGAAGATTGAGGAGCAAAACACCCTCGTTTTCATCGTCGATGTCAAGGCCAACAAGGCCCAGATCAAGCAGGCCTTGAAGAAGCTCTATGACATTGACACCATCAAGGTCAACACCCTGATCCGGTGAGTCGTCCCGTGCCTGAAAATCGTCCCTGAGAATTGTAGTTAATATCTGGTATAGCCCTGATGGCTCCAAGAAGGCCTTTGCCCGCCTCACCCCTGATGTCGATGCCCTCGACATTGCGGCCACCAAGCTTGGCCTCGTCTAAACGGTGTTACTTGGACTTGGGACAGTCAAAAATGAAAAAAATGCGGCATCATCGAAGGGACATGGATTGCATTTCGATCGGCGTCAGATACCTAGGCTTTGGGGCTCATGACTTGGCAATGAAAAGAATTGACATTTCACCCTTCGTATTTCCGCCCGATTACTACCTCTGCGTATCGCTTGTCGTTGAACCTAGCCAGTCGGCCGGATTAGCAGTAAGCTGTGTAGCTGTCGAGACAGGACGTGTTCACCAACCCGTCTCGCAATCAAGCCCAGGTGCGAGGTACGCGTGGATCTGTGTACCAAAACGCCGGCTTGCCTGTCTAGTTTGAGTCCTCATCCCCGCCGACCCAGTTGATACTATACAACGTACAGTCGGGTACATGTCACCCTCCCAACAGGGCGTATGATACACCGTTCTTCGCTGGCGCATCCATACCGACCGGGAATCCTAATCCCCTACAATGCCCGATTCACGGAAACAGCCCCATCCCGCCCTTTTCTCGTCCGCTCGGCTGCACCCAGAGCCAGAGAGCGGGTATACCATTTCCCAACTCTGCTTCCACCTCGCCTCGCCCGGCAGGTCATCGATGTTCGGTTCCTATTGCCCTCTCTGCAAACCTGATATCCTTTTTGAATCTCGCTCTCGCTCTCTCCCTCTCTCTCTCGACGCCATCTCTCTTACCACTCTACTGCTGCTGCCTCATACTAGCCAGGTGCCTCATGATTGCAAAGTTGGTGTCCATGAACCGCTCAACGCAGTTGGCCAGGCAGGCCTCCTCGCCCTTGTCGAGCGCGTTGCTCCGGATGCTGCCCGTGACGCACTTTTTCCAGCACAAGCCGGTGAGGTGGTGGGTCTCTGTTGTTTGGTGGTGATTGCGCCATGCCAGTTTTCGTGTCAATGGACATCCTTTCCTCTTTTTTCTTGGTAGGAACGAAGGAGCTAGGCCTACGTACGCGATTGAATCTTGGAGCGCTGGGTCTCGTTGGCAAAGAACTGAGACAGCTCGGCTCTGTCCTTCTCGTTGAGCTTTTCGAGGTCGAATTGGTCGACTGAGAAATCGCTGGACGACATTTTTGCGACGTTGAAGCGGCTTATTAGTGTATTCGGGCTATGGCGGCTTTGAAGATTTCCTTTGGTTGTTGTGGTAAGGTAGGTGAGAGTAAGTCTGGTGGTGAATTTCTTGGAATGTGTTGCTGTTATCGGCATCGAGGTTTATCGCTTACCTCGGTGTGTGGCCAATGAGATGTCAGTTCCTTACATGTGACTGGTTCTGGGCGTTCGGTGAGCGGGATTGTCATTCATCAGTTAGGTATCCGGGCCGTCCAGTCCGTTTCAAGCCTCTCAGGGAAAATTAGGCCGTTTCACCGACAGCGGGTGTTTGGTGTTCGCTCTAAATAGCACCTGCGGATGAATCGATAGCCAGTAAGACCTTTAGGCTTTGCTTTGCGTGGGCCTGGCGCCCGCTATGTTTCGTCATCATCTCTCCAGGCGACATCTCACATCAGATGGGCTTTGAAAAAGCTTGGCTCATGAACAACGTTTCGATGGGTAGCTATACTCCTGTGCCACCCCTAAGCACCATTACTCTTCTATCTAGTCTAGGTCTGAAGTTGACATGCTGTACCCAGCTTTGTTACCCATTCATCTCCTGAACAGCCAGCTCCGCTCTATCCCACAGCCATTGGCGTAACAGTCGTACCCAGTCATCCTCATCCAAAATAGATAAAGACCACTCCTTTGCGGTGCCAGGGGTGCTCAAAACCAACGGTATTTCCAGGCCAGGATCAGGGCAATAACGCAAAATCCAATAAGGCCGCTCAGAATGCCAAAGAACGGCGCGAGGCTGTCAATATCTCTCCACGGAACGTAAACATTCATCCCAAACAGGCCCGTCACCACATTGAGCGGTACAATGATGGACGCCAGCAGCGTAATCTTGCTCAGAACCCGGTTAGTGTTGGTACCCTGGGCGATGCCGTCAATCGAGATCTGAGCCAGGTAGTTGCTATGAGCGCGGGAGAGCATCTTCTCAAAGTGCCCCAGATTGTTCATCATGGTGACAACGTGATCCTGGATGTCACCCAGATACAGACCAATGTCCATGCGCGGCGTCACCTTGTAGTTTTCGTTACACCGCTTGGTGAAACCTCTCAGGACATCGGCCTTGCCGCCCAGCAACCGCATCAAGGCCATGGTATTTTTGCGCGCAGTGCCAATCTTGCGCAGAAACTGGGCCATGTCGTCGGTCCGAGCAATGAAGACTTCATCCTCGATCTGATCCGTGTCGCTTTCCAGCTTGCTAATGACGGGGGCAAACGAATCGACAATGTCATCACTACATTCCACGGTCAGTGCTAGTCACGGTCCGGCAAGGGAAGGGTAGACTGACATTAAGGCATAGCAAATCCAATCGCTGCTGAGAGCGACGTAATCCTTCAACATGGTAATTCTCTTCCTCACATGTGAGGCGTGCGAATTGTTGGCGTAGCTGAAGCTCAGTGTGCCTTCACGGAAGACAACCACGTAAATGTTGAAGGGCACAAATTCCTTCTCCTTAGTCTCCTCGTCCACTTCGATGTAGAAGGACCGAAAGCAAGCAAAATAGTAGGAGGGGAAAAGCTCAATCTTCTCGCGGGATTCCTGGGTTGTAATGTCTTCGACCGTCAGGGGGTGGATTCCAAAGGCCCGGCACACGGCGCGAACTTCCTCCTCCGATGGCTTGTTCATGTTCAACCACCAGACGCCGTCCGTCTCACCCTTGGGGAAGCTGAATAGCCCGCGAATGTCCTCTCCCGGAAGGATCAGGCCCTCCAGGTCGGCCGCGTGGATCGTGGACTCCCAGGCCGATGAGAAAAAGCTCACCCGGCTTTGATCCAGCTGCGGTGGCGGCTGCTGCACTGCTTTGGCTTGCTCCACATCCTCCTCCCCCTTCTCAAGCTGACTCTCAGCGTCGTAGGGCATGCTCAGAATGTCACCATCGACAGTCACCATCGGAGCCGGAGCCGAAGTCGCGGCGTCATCGGATTGCGGTCGCAAGTCAGGGAACACGCGGATGGCCGAAGGACGACGGCCGGACGCACGGGCCTCGCTCTCGGCCTTGATGAAGTTCTCGAGGTAATCAAAGTCGATGTACAAATTGTCGCCCCTCTGCTCGTCCTGCAGGGGGAAACAGACATCCTCTTCTGCTGACTTGTTCGTGGCAAGGCTTGCAGCATCGTCGGTCATTACCGTGTGTTGCCTGCTGCGGAAACTAGGCCGGCTCGCTACTGACGCAGTGCGCTGCAGCTCTAGCTCGTCGGGCTTGCGCTCTGGTTTCGGCTCCGAAAGAGAAAAGCCCCGCTCTCTGCGCCGGGCTTCGGCGAAAGCCTTGACCGAGTTCGGTGGAGAGACTGACCGATCCGACATAGAATCGATAGTCGGACGGCGGGTGCGCCGCATCGCTGGCGATGGCTCGGGGACATCGTCGTCGACAACGGCTTCCTCGAAGTCGCGCACACGCGGCTCGCCAGAAGCAGCCCCGGAAGTCATTTGACATGCCCCGTACAGGGAGTCAAACGTGCCCCGGCGAGCTCGGTCGGGGCGCTGAACCGAAGCTGACTGGTTCCGGTGGTCATCGAGCTCAGGCACAGGAGTCGAATACCCGGAGTTTCCGACAACTTCTTCTTGGTCGGACATGTCTGCAATGCTTTGATGGCTCGTCGCCAGTTAAATCTTTTTCGCCTTCCACAACATAAAGGGTCAAACACAGCCCTATGAGCCCCTACGTGAGGACTCAGTCGATGCGCATATTGCCGTAAGCGAAGTTCGCTTTCTTCACCAGCGGATGGCAGCGAACGGCCAGCAGCCGTCCGCGACGACAACGCTCGTGTGCGCCGCAATTGATGACTATGTTTGCTTGCGGCTACCAAACAGGCAGGTTGAGACAGCAGGTATGTGTTGTCGAAGTTCCTTTCGGGTCGGTGCTCAAAATGGCGCGGCGGCTGGAGCAAGACCAGTTACGGAGGTTGCTTGTTCACTCCACTATAGACCAGCTCAGGGCCTAGGAGTGAACGGCGAGAAGAGACCTTGCTGCTGATGGTGCCCGCCAACTTGGTGGCCTTTGAAGGTAAGATGAAGCCTGCTTGTGCTGTCTGGTGTTGGCTAAGCAAATGTGTCGCCAAGCCGATGCCAGACGATGATGACTGGCGAATAATTTGTCCTAGGAATGAGCTCGACGGTGGCGGGTGAGAGGAGAGGGTCGTATGTGATGATATAAAAGTTGAGATGACTCTCAATTTTACTACTGTGTAGAGGTGCCTCGTATCTAAGACTGAAAACGGTTTTGATGTCCAGGTTTGGTAAGGAATTTTTTGTTGGTGGTCAGCCCTCAATGACGTCTGTGCTTGACTGGGTCCTATGCCTCTCGGAAGGATTGGAAGGTCAAGACGAGTGCGGACGAGGTAGGACAAATCCACATAGGGAGGACAAGAACGCAAGAGACGACGTCGACGACTCCTGTGCAGCCAAGACGAAGCGTGGTGGGAGTTCTTGCTTCATTCACCAAACTAGAATCGGAAGTCGTGAGACGTTGAGGGTTTTTCCTTGAAAACAACTGAGGAAAGAGTTTGGCGGCTTTGGCCACTAGCGCGGCGACCGTTACCTTAGTCATCTGCGAGCATGGGTCCTCAGTAAGGTACCTACGACACATACCTACCAAGGTATCCGTAATTCTGCTCGATTATACTAGAATGCAGGCAACCCGTAAGTCAAGACTGAAATCGTTGATTTCCTCGACGAATATCCATCTACCTGATATGAATGTTGCTCTCCGTGTACTGTATATCTCAGTTATATACGATATAAGGTCCCTTGTAAAATGTTGGACGTTGTCCTATCTATAAGGTACCTTAGTTAAGGTACAAGTACGAAGGACCTCCTCAATCTATGGCGGATCGGTAACGTTACCCATGAGCATAGCCTCGCCCTCAAGTACTGTCAGAAAGTCACAGTTGGGCACCGTATACGCGTACGCTAAAGTGGTGATGGAATTCGTGGTGGTTGTCAATTGGATTGATTGGTTGTAAGGTGGAAATCTCTGCAGGAGGATGGAGTGCCCAGCCAAGGGTAATACCCGGCTAAGTCTATAGGGGGCGTATTTCCAACAAGTACATACCTCACTTTTGGTAATTGTGTAATCACACTATGAAGTATGAAGTTAGGTTGTAACCCAGTCTTGTCTGTAAATTACATATCCGTACATTGTAAGCTTTGATCTGTATCCGTAATACGGATGATTAGGTACAAATACAAGTACTCTAGTGTATCCGTACATGTACAATGCAATACGGATACTCTAGGAAGGTACAACTTGGCGGCAACATCCCAGAGCCTGCACAGAGCGCGGTGAAGCCACGTTGAGTGGCAGATTGACTCCAAATCTTTCGATCAGCGCTGGAACGGCCATCAGTCGCATCATTTAGCCAACCCGACAAAACAATCTTGTCCATAATCTGACTTCGTCACTGGAATTGCTCAAGATGGCGGAGCAGCTGCTGGACCAAATTCGCGACGTGTTTGAGGGACAGATTGTACGTCAAACCCGGTTCTGGAATGCATGGTTCAGATGCGGCAGCCACTGACAATCGCCCAAGGATTTTGAGGGGCAGAAACTGGCCGAGTTCCTCGTCAATGTCGCCCTGATGCTTGTTGGGGTAGGTTTACTTTGATGTATTCACTGCTTCCTTCGCGCCAATTGACTTGTCCGTCTGTAGGCCATCGCCTTCTTCGCCGGCTATCTCTTGCAGGACATCAAGCTCGCCGTTTACCTCGGCCTTGGGGGCACCGTCTTGGTTTTTGTCCTCGTCGTTCCGCCCTGGCCCTTCTTCAACCGAAATCCTGTCAAGTGGTTACCGGTTCGAGGTGGGATATCTGCGCCGGCGAACTTGGTAGTGGATGATAAGGTTCTTGGGTGAAATCAAGGTTGTGGGACACGCGAAAGTACGGAGCCAAATGCAGAAAGAATTATCGTCAATTCATCAGTTATGAGAGGCTCTCCATCGGCGCCTAAACCGGATCTAGGTTGGCCTTGTAATGGGAGAACTCGACCCGCAATACCATTTGCAAAGACCGTGCCTGGACTTTCCTTGCAAGCGGTTTATGACTGCGGCGTGTGCATCTTGAGCTTTCCTATGACCAGGAGCCATGGAATATATGCGTTGATCATCCGACGACCATTCCCACTTATCTCCCGTACTTCTGGAACTCCCAGTCTCTATTGTCAAGAGGGCAGACTTGGCGAGCTTTGAGCCACCTTGATATGCAATGAAAGTGGAAGGCGTGCTGCACACCCGTCAGTAGGACATCTTAAAGATGGATGAGAGTTGCCCCCCTTACATTGCAGATCCCCCAAGCAACAGTGCATTCCTCGCTTGTTGCAGATGCTTGATTCGCCTGGCACTCGATGCCTGTGCGGTCAAAACATCAGCTGTATGTTCTCACTGATTGCGACGTAGCCAAAAAAAAAAAAAAAAAAAACTCACATAAATCCATGATGTGGTTTCGGCAAATGGCGCAATTGTCCACAACAATGTCCCATGCCCAGAGGGCAACAGCGTTCCACTAAACCGTAATCAGCGCCGTGTCGAATAGCAGGAACAGTTCCCGAGGCAACACACCTTCTTGATCTCGAACCGTTTCTTTGCCTCCTTGCCCTCTCCGTCGGGGGCAGCACCTCCCTTTTTCTTCGCCACGGGCGCAGCGGTAGGCGCATCAGTCATCTCCACATCAGCCATGGTGAGATCTGAAGGATTTAGGACGACGGAGAGGATGTAGAGTTTTAAGCAGGGCTACCGGTCGCCAGACGGAAGCGTTGTGTGTTGAAGTATCCGGAGGGACTGCGTTGCCTGGCTTGTAGTAGCTTCAAGGTCATCCGACTGTCGAAGAGACGGGACACCCGGATTCTAGGTGAAGTCGATTAGTCCCACTTCATCGACTGGTTGGGCCAGCTACTCATTACATCGGTGATCGACCGTGCGAATTGCTCTGAAGCTTGGGCGGCGCAGCTTATCTGTCTGTGTCCTCCAGGTTGCTGTCACCGGTGTTGTCGGTGTATTGGCGGCGAAAGTAGAGATCTATGGGACGTTTGGCCTGCAAGGCTGCCTGGGAAGCCGATCAACTGCCCCACCATGAGGTTGCGTTAGGGTGGGACCGTAGGAAGGATGACTACTCGATAATTAAATAATGGCATTACTAAGGTAAGGTACTTCGTACATACGGAGTATTCGTACACTACCGCAGTTGCGTGCCCGCCTTTATAAATACATACCTATGTATTGGGTGGTTCGGGAGTCATTCATGTATCGAAACTATCTTTGGGTGTCCCCACTCTATGATAACGATAAGCGATAGCTCCAGGAGTCCAGGTGGATTTTCCTTTGTTGTGGTCCCTTGGGCGGCGCGAAAGGCGCAGCCGAACCTCCGCTCCAGTTCTGCTTTCATCAGGGGCCTCCCATCGTGCTTGGTTAACCTTCCGACGACGGTGAGTCCGGAAATCTCCCCCACTTCCCCAAATCACCCACAAAAACATAAACATGCTGAGAGGAAGCGCAGCCCAACAGAAATATCTCTCATTTTGCAGTAATCCTAGTTTATTAGACAATTTTTAACCCTCTTTCTTCAACTTTTCGGTTTGCGATCTCTCCGCGCGGCCAGTTATTCGCATTCTGCTTCCCCACCCCCAACGCCGGAACAGTCACTTCGCCAAGTGCAAACATACTGGAACGGTCAACTCGATCGTAAGAAGCCCTTGCCTCGCAACCATCGTGGGGGGTTCGCTCTCCTGTCACACACCTGCTGTCTAGCCGTTCTTTTGCTCTTGCTAGAACGGCTTTCATGCCATCTCTGTAGAGATGCAGCAACCGCAGCCCCCGCCCCAGCAAAGGAGCACCCCAGCTCGGAGACGTCCAAAGCGGTCCGTCAACTCCCCTGCCGCTCGCAAGACATATGCCTCGGAGAACGACATGCCGCCTGAAGGCGCTTTCATGGCCGACCTCGCGAGTCCGTTCACACCGCAAAAGCCGACCTCAAACAGCCCTCCCCTGGCATCGCAGCTCAATCAGTCCAGGTCCAAGCCTCGAAACCCAGGAAGCAAACCGCGGGCAAAACAAGTTTCATCGCCTGGCACTGTGAAGCAAGATCGGATGACGCCGCCGCAAACCGTAGCATCGAAGCCTATCGCAGCACCCGCCTTTGCAGGCGCCACGTTCCATGCCTCACCCGCGCCCTCGAGCCTACCAATTCCGAGCTTCGCAGCCAGGGCGCTGGACTCACCTAGTTTGCGCAAAGCTGATCGGGCCAACCGCGAGCCATCCCCCCCGGTTACCGACTCAGAGGCGCCGACTCCGCAACACCGTCTTCCGCCAACGGACGTTTCCCAGGACGAATCACCGCTGGATATCTTATTCCGTGCTCACCGGGCCGAAAAAGAGAAAGAGCGTGCCCGCAGAGCAAGTTGCGCCGACATTCTGGCAGTGCCCAACGCCGGCCCGTCCTCACCACTTGCTCGAGAGGTGTCTCCTCAAGTACCCAAGACTCTTCCAAGCGTATTGGGCACCCGCATCCGTCGATCTGGGGGCATTTCGCCCAGCGAACTCGATGGCACACCTGGCAGGCCTTTAGGCCCGGCCTTCTCTACACCATACCAAGACCGAATCCGAGCAGCGCTCTCCAGCTATAAGCAGGCCACAAGTCCGCCGCAACATCAGGAAGCCGAGGTAGACTTGAGTGAGAAGTTGAAACGATTTCTTGCTGTTTCCCCGCGTCGAGGCGAAGCCACAGTGTCCCCAAGGCCTGACCATGTTGGTGAGCTTTATCGGGACGGCCCTGTTCATTCGCTGAACGCGCCGGCTGCGTATAACCTGGATGGGAGCCGCCCACCCGAACTCCTGCAAGGGGAGGATAGCCTTCGTCGGATATTGGGGATTGGGGCTGGGTCCACTGCGCGGAATTTGACGCCGCTTCGACACCCAACCAACTATCAGAGTTCCTGAGCCAGCGATGTGTCTCGACCTGCCTCTGCTCCTTCTCCGGACCACATCGCTGCTCCGTGGGATAGGCGGTCAGGAACAATCCCAAGATGTGTAAAAACCTGTGTTTTCTCAGATCGGCATCGGGATTTGGTTTTTCAGATATTTTTGAACTGTGAGGCCTTCATCGCATTTTCTTCTCATCTCTACTTCCCGGCGTTTAGGGTGTTCTCGGGAACAAACGGGGCGGCGAGGTTCACAGGGTGGGCTGGTTGGGCTGGACCAGTGCATGGTTTCCGAAGCATTCGGGCGCGAGACACAGCACAGCGTGATTTGTGGGTTCAGATAGGCGAGTTTCGGCCCGGTTCTTCTTGCTGGCTGTTTGTATTTTGCTCGCTTTCTTTACTGGCATCATCAATTTCGGTGGGAAAGGGGATATGACATATGTTGGGTTTTCCTAGCACTCACTATCTTCTTTCCCATCATCCCAAACCCTCGTCTGTTTTTTTCAGAGGTGGTGTTCGCTGGGCGTCTTGCAGTTCCATTACACCCTCACCTGCTTACCGCTGTGTGGCCGCCTATTGGACCGTTGGAGCAGACGTTCGGCTACAAGACCCGGTTGAGAACTACAGCAAGCGAATCGGAAGTGGGAGATGACAGGAATGGAAGGGCATTGGGCGTCTCGAATACAACGAGATGAATGCATATCTTTCTGTTTGTCTGTTCTTTTTTCCAATAATTACTTTCCCTAGATCACACCGGCGAGATGTCATTTGGGTCTATATCTTTTTCCTACCATCGCATGCTGTACTGGGATGAGATGGGTATGGGCTTATCTGAGCTGCTTTGAGCATACTCGTTATTTTACTCTAGCTGATACCCATTGGCGCCGGCAGTCTTGCTCTAACTTGCTCGGGGCTAGGAAGTTTCTACCATTGGGCTTATGGGGGGAAGGGTAAGATGTTGTGCAGGTGGCCCTTGTGCCTTATTATGGATAGATATTGGGGGCGTTCGGGCTAAGGCGTGGGACGCGCATGTAGCACTGGGTATGGAATTGCTCGAGGGCTGGGAGACTCGGGTACCTAGAGAACACATGGTCGGGCCTCACTCACGGGTCTTGCCTGCTCTCTCGCTTGTGTTCCGGTGAGGACGTTCTCTGCTACCAGCAGGAGTTGCTTGATGGAAAGAGGACCGGCCTAGCGTCACGAAGAGAAGATAGAGAAAAGGCCTTCGAGACCGCTCCGAATCATAACCATCATCAACACACCACCGAACGACAGGCAAAAACAAACGAAAAAAAAAAAAAACAACTTTTTTGGGGAGAATATGTCGTGGATTCTAGCAATGATCAAGCTTTAGACAAGGAACATTACATAGTACTTCTGGAATGGCAGAAACCCACATATACCCCAATCTCTTGCTTCCCTAGCCCAGCTTTGCCTAATGCGTTGTGACGGCGCCCTCAACAAGAAGAAAGTTGCGGACCGTGACTATCGGGAAAACGCAGAGAAGACCGAGCATGTCGTAGGGGAGGTGTTACCCCTTTTTTATTTGTTTACATACCGTGACTGCCTAGATGAGTCACATGACCGTTCGACAACCCACGTTCGCATTGTTCAAAGGGAAAGAACAAACAAACTTCTAATTTAAGTTGCCCGTTCAGAGGTTATTTGCCACACGCCCTTGAAATAACTGTTGGACAATCTCATTTTCTTGTCTTTCCGATTTCCATTGAAATCTCCTGGAAAAGCGGAACATGGTCGACAATCGGGCGGCCGAGATCAACGGCGACGAAGATCAAGATGAAGCCGTTCGCATTGCTATTGCACTGTCCCTCGGTCAAAGACCAACTAAGGCGCCTGATGGGCCCAATACTCACCGGGTGATTGACCTGACGCAAGAAAAAGATGGCTGCAGTGACGACGGCGAAGGAGATGGCCATGGGCATTGCTCCGAGAGCAGACCCGCCGTCGCGCCTAATCGCACCAACGTCCCCGCCTCAGCAAAATCAGAAGATGCGTCCACTTCACTTCCCAGTCTTTCCATCCTCGGCCTGGACAGAAAGAAGATGGAAGAGGAACGGCTGGCGAGATTGAATAAGCGGAAGGCGGCTGAGCCCGCCGACATTCCTGGGTCCAGACCGGCGCAGCGGCCGAGGACAGCCGCCCTGCAGTCGCCTCTGACATCGAATGCTACTTCCGGGGAGAAAATAGTGCTGGCGAAATCAGAAGCTGGTGGGTCATCTACAGTGGCTCGAAGTTCCGATCTCCCTTTTCCACGCGGAGTGGTCAAGAAGACGTGGGCATTTGGCCAGCCCCGCCAGGGTGACGACATCAGGATCGAGGAGGTGCTTCAAAAAGACCAGCTAAAGCTGGCTGTGCTGAGCTCGTATCAATGGGACGAGGAGTGGTTGCTCTCAAAGATTGATTTGGCGCGGACGAAGCTCGTTTTGATCGCTTTCGCCGCTGACGAGGCCCAGGTCAGCAGGCATTGCCTATTCTCTTTCCTCGCGGTACCTGTTGCTAACAGCGTGATTCTGAGGGAGAAAAGAAGGAAGAAATGAGGTCCAATGTTCCACGAGACAGAATCCGGTTCTGTTTCCCGCCGATGCAGACCATGGGAAGCATGCATTCCAAGCTTCAGTTGCTCAAGTACGAAAAATACATGCGCATCGTTGTTCCCACCGGGAACCTGATGTCGTATGATTGGGGCGAGACAGGCACGATGGAAAATGTACATTTCCCTGCTCTTCGTGTAGAGGGACTTGCTGACAGCCTACGGTTCCAGATGGTGTTCATTATCGACCTTCCAAAGTTTGAGACGGCCGAGGAACGAGATGCCCAGAAGCTCACCCCATTTGGGGAGGAGCTGTGCTACTTCCTCCTTGCTCAGGGAATGGACGAGAAGCTGGTGAGCAGCCTAGGCAACTACGATTTCTCGGAGACAAATCGATACGGTTTTGTACACACAATGTGAGCCACCTCCCCGCCACAGCGCGCTCCTTGCTGACTCTAGTTTGTCTGGAAGTGCCGGCTCGCACATCTCAGAAGATGCTTGGAGGAGAACAGGTGAGCTGACGCTTCGCGCTCGCATTCTCTCGGTCCATCATATCGTGCATCACCACTGATTCTGCATCCCTCCACCAGGATATTGCGGCCTCGGCCAGGCAGTGAGCGCTCTCGGCGTCGGTTCCTCGAGTCCAATTGAGATGGATTACGTGGTTGGTCACCACTCAAGTTGCCTCTGATTATCAGCCCCCCTCGCTAAGCGAAAGTGTTTTGCTGAATTGACTGGATTTCGTAGTGTGCGTCTCTGGGTGCCGTCAACGAAAGCCTCCTGCGAGGTCTGTACTACGCTTGTCAAGGTAAGTCCCCTCCATGTCGCTGTTGTACAGCTTGAGTGCCAGGTGCTGTCTGAACGGCCACTGATCTTAGCAGGCGACTGTGGGCTCAAAGAGTACGACGCACGCACAGCCGGGCGCAAGTCCAAGGACGCTAATTTGGCTGACCACGCTGTGGTTCCTGTGCTCGATCACATGCGTGTTTATTTCCCATCCAGGGAGACAATTATGCGTAGTAAAGGGGGGAAGGCGGTGGGGATGCCAGATTCCTGTTGTTGGTCCAGATAGCATAGTGCTGACTTTTCTCTTACCCGCAAACTCTAGAATGCTGGAACGATATGCTTCCAAGCCAAGTGGTGGCAAGCAGAGACATTCCCCCATAAGGTTCTGCGAGACTGCAAGTCAGTTCGGAGCGGCCTCGTCATGCACAGCAAAATCATCTACGTTCGGCGTAAAGGCGAGGGTCTATCGAAGCCGGGTGGATTTGCGTACATTGGGAGCGCAAACCTCTCAGAGAGTGCCTGGTAAGTGCGGCTCTAGTGCCCTTTGCTCCCTCGCGTCGATTTCCGGTGATGGTGTTTTCTAGCCATCGAGGATTTCAGAACAGACTGTCCTGACGCTGCCGAAGGGGTCGGCTTGTGAAAGATCGTGGAAGCGGCAAGCCCAAACTGACTTGCCGCAACTGGTACGTGACCCATAAGATGCCATTACGCATAGGGATTACCCTGAGCTCCAAACAGGGCATGAGGATGGGGCGAACAGCGGGCGATTCACTAACGTGACATTCGATGGCTAGGGAATGTGGTGTTTTAGTACAGGCTTGCCGGACGGGGAGCACGCAGGGCCAGAGAGATGCTCACTTGGGAGATGAGCGCGACGCCGATGTTACCGATCTGGCTGTCTTCAGGGATTGCGTCCCTGTGGTGATGGAATGGCCCAGTACAGGATTCTCCTTGGGGCCGGATGCTGCTAAATCGCCCTGGTTCTACCAAGACGGATGATCCCAGTTCATCGGCCGGCTTCTCCAGATTCTTTACCCTGCCCAGCATCCGTTCAGCAGTCTTCCCAGCGAAGTCTGAGGCTGCCGGAATAAGAGTTAATCCAACGGTTGGAAAGCCGGGCCTTATCTTGCCTAATTTCGAGGCGCTTACGACATACCAAGCACGGTGAGTTGAACGGCGAAGACGGTAAGGCAAGTACCGACGTCGCTGAGAAATCGTGATGGTTGCTCAGACAAGCGTGGACGAGGTGCTAAAACTTGTTATAAAAAGACTGAGCGATCATAGACGAGCACTCGTCGAAGCGCTAACATGGTTTACTGTGAATCGGAGGTACCTCGTTTTGCCGCGGGAATCGCGCTTACCAGCGTTTATTTACCAGGGTTCGATCTATACGCTAAAGAAGCAGATGGCTTGCGTTGATAACGGCCATGCGGGCTGTACCGTACATCAAAGCATTAGGTTTTGGAAGGAATGCCCGAGGACCTATGGATAGAGCGTGAGCCGGTGTGGGTCAAGGGGTTGGATCGAGAACCTGGAAAGAAAGGGATGGGAAAACGAGTGAGCATTTAAATACTTGTAGATTTCACAGCGGAAACCTAGGGGAAAGAGCGGAATGGAACAGGAAGGGGAAAGAGGCAAGGAAAGGCGGCAACGCAGACGCCATATGGCAGCACTCCGCGCTTCGGCATGATCAGCCACTAGCTAGCCAACGCCGGTCGTCGCAATACAAGTTGTCCTGTGACAGCGCTAGGAGGCACTGGCTATCTTAGCGTGTCTGAACACTCAACGAGGCCATGGGGACACGGCGTAAGCCAGCCCGTCGTCGTCTAGCCTTGACAGATGTGCACCGCCGTTCGCTTCTTCTGGTTTATAAATGCCCCCTGCTCTGGTACTCCCGTTCTGACAAGCACGACAATCTCCGTCTCTCGGTTCTACGTGGATTTCAGTCTGATATTTTTTTGCCATCGAGCTGGCTACGCCGTTCTCCCAGGCACCCCCCAGGTTGTCCATCGCCAACCAGCGTGCAATTTCACATCAAATACCCCTCGAGCCATCCATTAAGGGTTAGCAAATCCCATAGGCCAACCCCCGGACCGGCGTTCATCTGTAAGGGCATCTTATAGTCTTCAATATTGCATTGGCCGACTGGAGCCCAGTTCAACGGGGACGCGTCAAAGACGGACCCGACCGGTTGGAACTATCTAAGACCCGGCAGCTCCCGGGTTGCCTACTTTCCGGCTTGACAGAATGCCCTGCCCCACCAACGGCCGCGCAGGCGACCCTCCCCTGTTGCCTACAGCCCGTGGATTCATTGCTGATGGCATGGACGCCTGCGCTCTTATCATGGCTTGCGTACAAGGCCGCTACAGAGCTGCCACCAGGCGGCCACGTGAGCACGAGCGTGAGAGGCTAGTGGTCAGCGGCAACATATTTGTCTACAAACGGGACAAGAACACCAACCTGACGAGGTGGACCGACGGTGTCAACTGGAGCCCGAGCCGCCTTCAGGGCCCCTTCATCTTTTACCGGGAGATTCAGGATCCGCCACAGGGTCACCGCAAGAACAACAAGGCCAAGAACCCCAATGCCATCGCCAACCCCAACAGCGACCGCGAGGCGTTGCGTCTCCGTCCTTTCATTGCCGCCCTGTACGACACGTACATGTTCAAGCCGGGTGGCCTCATCAAGAAGTCCTTTGCGGGCAAGGTCGGCAACGACGACTGGCACGTTGTCGCCTACTACACCCTCCAAGACCTCCCCAACCTGCACAGGGTACGGGCCCTAGACCCGCACCTGATGCTGATGCAGCCGCCCCGGGAGCTGTTGGACAGGGGAGGCAAAGAGCCCATTACCGACGACGGTTGCATGGGTGGAGTGCTCCAGCCCGAGATGTGGGAGAAGGGCACCGTGATCTACCCCGGCAGCCCTGCCGTCTACCTGGCCCTCGCCACGCAAATCCAGACCCAAACCCAGCCAACCCCTCAAACCCATGGACTACCAATGCATCAGCATGTCCCGCTCCAAGCAGCGGGCCCGACCCAACACCAACGCCAACACCCACCGCTCCCGCCACAGCAAGTCATGCTGCCCGTGCAGCAGCCCCCAGGGATTCTCATACCGGCCCAACTCCCGCCTGACCCCCACTGTCTCCGGCTCCAGCAGCAGGAAGAGGATCAATTGGTCTTGCTTGATCAGCAGCGGCGTCAACAGCAGCAGCAGCAGCCCGCAACCTGGCAGGACGGAGGACTGCCCTCATCATCTGATCCAACCCAACAGCAGCAGCAGCAGCAGCGCCAGCGCCAGCAGCAGCAGCGCCACGAGTCCTTCGACTCGGTGTCATCAGCACCCTCGCCCAACGTGAAAATGGACCTGGATGATAATAGCCCCTGGCTTCCGCAGGCCCATCGGGAATCCGACTTTGTCGGCTATCCCTTCTCCAGTGACGGCATGTTTGAGTCTGAGGATGAGTTCTCCGGGCTGCTTCAGCAGCATGTCGCGAATAACCACGAGGGCTGCGGCCTGTACTAAAGTGATTGGTAGGTGTTTCTACGGTCTGATGGAAAAAATGGGCTTGAGCTCGATCGGCTTGGCTTGGAATCCTGACTCTCATTGATACCATGTACTAGTATTTGCTTATTTTGGGGGATACCAGGCCGACGGAGTTTATAAAATGTTCGAGTTGGAGCATTGGCGGGATGGGAGACGGCAGTCACCGCTTGCACCTTGCGCATGGCATGAAGCATCTGAATACGGGCATGCACTACCTAGAATCTTTAGAGTCACTTTATTTCATAAGGATAGAAGGAAGCAGGTCTTTCCTTCTTTCCTAAGAGGGAAAGGGGGTGTGTAAATTGGGAAAAGCCAAAAAAAGAGGAAGTCTCGGAAAGGGAAGGAGTGAAGGAAACGCAGGTTACCTAGTTACATTGCCAGCCCATATCCAGGCTTAAAAGCCAGCGATCTTGAAGCGATAAGGGCTCCAGAGACAGGAGTCGGCCGTTACATAGTAGTCAATATAAGATCTGCATCATGCGTCGATTAACACAGGTCGAATGACCCGATCGCTCGAGACTGGAAGTCAGGAAAGAATGAGGTTGTGAATCCCTGCCAAGCAGGTATCCACACTAGTGACCTCACCTTACCCACTGATACAATTACAGCTCCACACGGATCGTACCGAACGCCTGGATACGCCCGGGCGGGGACAAGTTGAATTGAACCCCTGCACGTTCTGCGACCCACTTCCGTTCTTGCTTTTTTTCAAGCAGTTCTCCAAAACTCAGTGGAACGTCAGACAGCATAGCTTACTCTGTACATGTACAGATATCACGTTTACACTAGCCTTGTCGTTTGAGCCTGTCTGCTTTACTTTCGACAAGGACGTCTCAATAACCCAGCCTTTTTCTGGCCTATATTCTCCTCTCAGATCGCCAGTCTTTCACACCTTCCGTAATGGACTAGTCGATCACCTCGGCAAAAAACGGCCAACTGAGAAACACGTGCCCTCCTTCTTCCTCTCTCTTCTCTTGACAGCCCGCGACCCGACACACACAACATTGCAGAGGCTAAGCAAGGTGCGACGCGCCTCTTGCCACCGCCTGCTCGTCTCTGCAAGTCTCTCGCTTAGTGCGCCTCCCTGAGTGTGTGTCTTTCTCGTAGGGCTGTCTGAGCCCCTGCGAGTCTGGCAGTCTGGGACCCTGCGTGTACACCACTTGCTGCGGCAACGTCACTATTGACTCTCTCGAGACGGGCCCATCGTCAAGAGTCAAGAGTCATCTGCACACGACGGGGATTTTCCTCACAGGGTGCCAGACGCCAATCGTCTCTCTCAACTCCAACCCTGACCTGCCCACCACTCTCCTTTTCGGCAGCTCCTAGTCTCAATCATCGTTGGAGTTAGCGGCCGTCCGTGGGGCGAGAGGCACCCCAGACGCGTGGTGGTTCGAGCCGATCTCCGATTTTAGCGCACCTCTTATCTGAGGATGCACCTCGCTGGCCTGGACACGCCGCCGTCCTTATGATGCCACTGCAGATCCGAGTCCTGACGCGCTCGGCCGGGCTTAGGGTAGGGGTAGGGGTAGGGGTAGGGGTTGGTGCGGGGACTGGGGCTGTGGCGGGCTTGATGCGCACGAGGCCAACAAACCTCATCATCGTCACTGAGTCCACGACATGCTCCGTCAAACGAGCGGCTGGCTTCGCTAGCCGCTGTGTCCGCGCGCCTCAGGGCGAGAACCAGGCGAGATCGTTTACTGCGTCTGCGCTGCGCATGGCCGAGGGCGATTCGCAGTCGCAGGGTACGGGGCCCAAATCCACGTCCAAGGCCCAGGCCGGAGCCGGGCCGGAAAGCAGGTATAGTCTAGCCCGCCGTCTTCCCCTTCCTCTTCCTCTTGGATATGCGACTGGGTTGGGTGACTGTGTGCCCCTTCCCCGGCAGCACCATATGGAGGCTGGCTTGTAGCTGCCCTTTCCGCTGACACACGAAGCGCAGGTCAGCAGCATCACGGCCCAACAAGCCAGAATCGCCATCGGCCTCGGCGCTACGCAAGATGCTCCCCGCCATGGCCAAGACGACGCTCCGCGAGAACATTTACACGGTCCCCAACCTGCTGACAGCCTCGCGGCTCGTCGCCGCTCCCTTCATCGGGTACTGCATCCTGCACGACTACCATGCCATGGCGCTCGGCCTGTTCGCCTACGCCGGCATCACCGACGCACTCGATGGCTGGATTGCCCGCCGGTGGAACCTCAAGACGGTCGTGGGGACCGTTATTGATCCCATGGCCGACAAGACGCTCATGACTGTGCTGACAGTGGCTTTGGCTGTAAAGGGTGCGCTCCCAGGTAAAGATTTTGCCCCGTACTTCCTCACACTCCTCCTCCCTTTGATGCCTATAAGTCAATTTAACGCTTGGATTTTTGCACTGCAGTCTGGCTCGCCGTTATTATCCTTGGCCGGGATGTCGCCCTCGCCATCTCTGCCATCTACTACCGCTGGATATCGCTGCCACCGCCCAAGACGTTTGCACGGTACTGGGACTTCTCGCTCCCCTCGGCCGAGGTGCGACCGACAACCATCAGCAAGTACAATACGGCATTGCAGCTGGGCCTTATGGGCTTGACGACGGTTGCGCCCGTGGTTCCGGCACTGGATTTGAGCACTCCGCTTGGCATCATGCAGTGAGTTATCCAACAAGGTTCCCTCGTTACAAGACTTTTGCGGCCTTTCCTTCTGTGTCGCTCCTCTTGCATGTTTACTGATCCCCTAAAAGGTACGTTGTCGCGGCAACGACAATATGGAGTGGCGCCAGCTACATCTACAGCAAAGACGCTGTCAGGATTCTGACACAGCCGCAGTCCCGAGACCCGAGACGAGAAAGCAGAGGATAAGAAGCACAGTAAGCCGGATGAAAGGTGAGGGAATCATACTCGTCCATCGCACCGTGATAGCGAGTAAGCCGCCTCAAGGCACCATCAAGGCTCCAAAGCAGGTAGAGACGCCGTCCGCGTAAGGGCATGTTTGCGATCCCTGCTAGGTCACCTCAACTATCTAGCTTTCAATGTACAATACAATACCACGCGAGGATTGTTCTGTATCAACAAAAAACTCCTAGTACCATAACCCGACCAGTTCATTCTTTAAAATCCCACAGCAACGCCGAACCGGTGATGTTAGCCGCTATTCCCTAAGGTTGTCGGCGCCATGCGATCTATGGATACGCCGCCCAGAGGCGGAAAAAATGGAACACAATCCTTCCTGGTATACACACCATCCATCCTAGGACAGCAAACAGAAGACCTCTCACAGCTCAGCAACTCTACTCTTGGCATCCAACGTCTCCAAATCCTCCACACCGCTCACATCCAGCCCCTCGACCGTATCAACCGCCTGCCCCTTAGCACTAGTAGCATCCCCTCCTGACCGTCTAGCATACCTCAGCAGGCGTATCACGCCGGCGGGCGTGACGCCCTCGACCCTCCTCGCCTGGGCGATGGTTTCCGGGCGGGCGGCCTTCAGGGCGTCGCGCTCGGCCATGGACAGGTGCACGAGCGAGTCGTAGTCAAGGTCGACGGGCAAGGTCAAACCTTCGTCGCGGAGCATGCGCTCCGCTTGGACCTGCTGGATACGCAAGTAGGGGGCGTAGATGGCCTCGACGACGACGCGCTCGCGCACGCGGGCCGGGAAGTCGTCCGGGTTGAGTTCCTTGTTGGGGAGTAGTAGTACGCGCCAGAGGTCGGCGGGCTGGATTCCAGGGAGGCGGAGGACCTCGGCGCCGTCGCGGCGGCGCGTGTCGTCCCCGCTGGCGGGGAGGGGCAAGCCCGCGCGCCGCCAGGCTTGTGGTGTCCAAAGGGTGTCGCGGAGGAGCTTGTGTAGGTCGGAGGCGCGCTGCTGGTCGTCGCGGAATCGACGCCATCGCGCTTCCCCGACCACCCCCCACTCCCTCCCGGCACCCGTCAGGCGCGTGTCGGCGTTGTCGGCGCGCGTCGACAGCCGGAACTCGCTGCGCGACGTGAACATGCGGTACGGCTCTGACACGCCCTTGGTCACCAAGTCGTCGATCATGATGCCGATGTAGGCGTCGGCGCGTGACAGTGTGACGGGCTCCCGGCCGAGTGCCGACAGGCCCGCGTTGATGCCCGCGATGATGCCCTGGCCCGCGGCCTCTTCATAGCCCGTCGTACCGTTGATCTGCCCGGCCAAAAAGAGGCCGCGGATGGCTTTTGTCTCGAGGGTCCGCTTGAGGCTGCGCGGGTCGACGTAGTCGTATTCCACGCCGTACCCGGGCTGCAGCATGACGACGTCCTCGAGCCCGCGGATGGTTCGTAGGAGCTGTTCTTGAGCTTCGGCGGGCACCGTCATGCTCAGGCCGTTGGGGTAGATGACGTCGTTGTTAAACCCCTCGGGTTCGAGCCAGACGATGTGCCGCTCGCGGTCGCCAAAGCGAATCACTTTGGACTCGAGCGACGGGCAGTAGCGCGGGCCCTTGACGGTCTCGCGGATGTGGATCGTCTTGTCGAGGTTGGCACGCACCACGTCATGCGTGGCCGCATTGGTATAGGTCGCGAAACAGCTCAGCTGTTCCTGCACGGCGACGGTGTCGTTGAGGTAGCTGAAGGGTACTGGAGGGTCGTCGCCGAACTGCTCCTCTAATATCTCCCACTTGATGCTTCCCTTGGCCAACCGTGGAGGTGTTCCCGTCTTCAACCTCCCCAGCTGGAAGCCGGCCTCGCGTAGTGATTTGCTCAATCCAAAGGTCGCTTCCTCCCCCATCCGCCCAGAGGGAAACGCTTTCAGTCCGATATGTATTTCACCGCCCAGGAAAGTGCCCGTGGTGATGACCACCTGGCTTGTGGGCAGCACCTCGCCCGACTCGAGGCGCACGCCCGTGATCTTGCTCTTTGCTGCACCAGCAGCGGGGTCGTCGTGGTTCTCGGCAATGACAATGTCTGAGACTTTGCCGAGAACAATGGAGAGGTTTGGATACGATTCGAGCTCCTCGCGCATGTACTTTTTGTAGAGGGCGCGATCGATCTGGGCGCGCGGTCCCCAGACGGCGGGGCCTTTCTTGCGGTTCAGCACCCTGAACTGCACGCCTGCTTTGTCTATAATGCGCCCGGCGAGGCCATCGAGGGCGTCGATCTCGCGCAGTATTGTGCCCTTTCCAATGCCGCCGAAGCTCGGGTTGCACGAGCAGACACCGAGATTGTTGATGTCGGGAGTGATGAGTGCCGTCCGGGCGCCCGCGCGGGCAGCGGCTGCACATGCTTCGGTGCCTGCATGACCTCCACCAACCACGATTACATCGAATGGCCTGCATGTGTCCGGACAGAAAAAGTCAGAAGCTGAGGACTGCGGGCTGGATTTTGCGGGTGCCGGGGGCTCACCTCAAATCGGATGCGACCGTCGCAAAAGTCCTGCTCTTGCTACAATTGCCCCTGTATTTCCGGGCTGTCTGCCGGATTGGCCTACCGAGACCCCTAGGAAGCCAGAGCTTCGTCATGGTGGTTTGGTTGCGCCAACGTCGACGTCGAGGGGCGCGGAAAAATGTCAACTGTTGAAGACGCCCAGAAAGGATTGGTCGATAAGTACCATCAGCCCCTAATCCATAGGCTGATAAGATTACGAACGTCAGGTAATTTATGTAATCCAGGCGGCCAGGCCTCATTTTTGGTGGGTAATACCGAATTACGGAGTAATATCAGAACAGTTACATATTCGCAAATCGCAACCGGGAACGCTTTTCTCAGCATGTTTGCTATCTCAAACTCTTAATTCGCTAGTGGGCATCCTCCCCGGAAATTTGAATTCCTCAGATATTAGCATCCATTCGAGGCATGAGAAACGCAGAGAAGGAACTGGCACCGGGATAGCAGGCATTGTAGTTGCATTGTATTGTACAAGGACCAAGCAGTCTATCCACACAACGATAACGATACAACGGAACCCAACCTATGGTGATACAGCAGCAAAGCGGAGTTTGGGTCTGACCCCGATGCCTCTGTTCATGACCGGTTTGGCACAACAATGGGGCACCGCGACAGGTAATTTACTGCGACTCGGTCTGCGACTCGGTCTGCTCCTCCTCAGCAGGCGCCCTGTACGGGCGGCGGAGGACTTCCAGGTTGCCTAACAAGGTGTCAGTCCCCCGGCGTCATTTCCCTGGTTCAAATGGGGCAGGAAAAAGGGGGAAGATAACATACGCTGCCTGATATTCAGCCCTTGCCTGGGCTTGCCCTCGGAATCAACATAGGACGACATGGTAGCATCACCCTCGACCATAACCATAGTTCTGGCGCACGATCCGACCACGTTAGTCCAATCACACAAGCCTTGGGACATTCCCATTCAGAGCGGGAAAAGATACGCACCCCTTTGGCAGCGACTGGTAGAAATCCCGGGCGTTGCCCTCGGGGACGAAGCAGCTGACGTTGAACCAGCTCGTCTTGCGGTTCTCGCCGCTGCCGTGGTTGCTGGCCACGGCGTAGCGAAGATACTCGCGGCCGGTGCTCGAGGCGCGCAGCTCGGGGCTGTCGGCGAGGTTGCCGATGATGGTGATGCGCGCGATGGGGCGCGAGGCCGTCGAACTGAAAGTGCGCGCGGCGACAGCGGGCCTGGCCACGGCGGCGGCGCGGGACGCAGTGCGAAGGAAGGCGGACATGTTTTTCTCTTTCTTATTCCGTAATATGGGCGTTCCGGTGGGAAGCTATCAGATTTGTTTGTATCGGAGTGGGCTTGGGGCTTCGCTAGTAGGTTCTTGTGTCTGGTCGCAAATCTCTGGCGGATGCAGTTGCATCGCGTTTGAGACGTGCAAGTGCTGAATTAATTGAATTCCAGTGTGGCTTGATTGAGAGCTTCAGCCTCGATATCTGTGGCTGACGCTATCTCTTTTGATGATGGATCCACTTACCTAATTGATAAAGGTATCAATGTTCACTCACGTACGCTCTTTCCCGTCCACCGTCAACAACACATCATGGCCGACATTCTGGTCTCCAGCAATGCGCGCTCGACCCTTCTCGACCCAATTGGGCGAAACACACATCGTCCATGTCCATTATGCATGCTGTTTTCCTGTCACGCTCCAAAGTGTCAACAGCAGTTCGGCGTCAACTTATGCAGGAACGGACATGGCTTGCAAGTTGCAAGTTGCAACACAGCGATGCAAGTAAAAATTATTGACCTGGATATGATCAATCGCATTTCTCCTTTCCTACAACAGGCTGTGTTACTTTTAAGAAGCCCCTGAATATCCTGAATATGGGATTCTGGCCTCCAGAGTGTGAAATGGTTCTTTGTTTGAGTTTGTTGATCTGGACAGTTCCAACCTCCGGGCCCATGCCGAGCCTTTCCTAATTTGGGTCTGAATAGAGCTTCAATAAGGCTCTATAGCATGCTCCTGTTCACACAACCCCGCAACTGCTCACAATCAGCCCCTCTTTTGTCTCAATAACTCAATAGACGACGACGGCTCAATAAAAACAACAGTAGACGAATAGGCCGAATAAGCTGTGACCTGTCATGCTGTTCTCAATGTTCTCAATAGAGACGCCGCCCCCTGTGCATTGCCGCTTGCACCGCTTGCTGTGCTGCCTTTATCTTGACCTCGTCGTCCCTCTCCAGACTCGCCTCCCTCGCCCTCATCGCCCTTCTCACCATCACCTTACTCTCTGCCGTACTCTCTGCCGGTCTCCCTTGGATGCCACCAGCATATCCTCCATCATCGTCTAAGCCGTGATCTCTCCTCAGGGCAGCTCTCTTTTGCATCCAGCAGTCCTCCTCTCACATAGACATCACAGACATAGCTCTCCCCTTTTCTCCCCTTTTCCGCCCCTGACCTTGGGATAGCCCTTTTGTCTCCGCCATGTCTTCGCCAACAGACGGTTCGCAGCCCTTTAGTAAGTGGAGCATCTTCGGCTTCACCACGACTCCTCAGGAGCGCATTGGACCCGGTCCTCCTTACACGTATCCGGCCCTTCAGGTGAACCTGTTCTTCCGAGTCTTCCTGGGCTTCGTCTCCCTCTTCGTCACCTGGGTACCGGCCCGGCTGCTGTGCCGGAATGGGGAGTTCGCGGGGACCGTCTTGTGCGTGACCCTCATGATCATCAACTTCTTCACCCTCGTCAACGCCCTGATCTGGCGCGACGACAATGTGGCCGAGTGGTATGCTGGCTACGGCTGGTGTGACTTACAAACCTACATCCAGTTTGCCATACACACGGCCTTCAACGTCAGCCTGTTTGAGATCATGCGCGGTCTCACTGCCAAGGTCTCCATCAACCGCGTCAGCGGTCCGACGGCCAAGGAGAGGCGCCGGGAGCGCATCATTTCGGCCCTCGTCATCTTCACCGTGCCCGTCATCCAGGTCGCCCTCATCTACGTCGTCATCGGCAACCGATACGACATATCGACCCTGGTCGGATGCAATCCCGTCTACATCCCTGACTGGATCTTCTTTGTCTTTTACATTCTCCCGACCCCTATTTATGCTATTGCGGCCGCCATCATGTCAGGTGAGTTGTGACCGGCACACACACTCCCTCATATCCTCTCCTCCAATAGCCACTGACACCAAACTCCCTCCCAGGCGTGTGCTTTTACCGCTACCGACAGCTTGAGCGCGTGACCAGAAACGTGGTCCAATCCGACGACAGCATCGTGGCCGCCAGGCAGCACCGGGTCCGGAAGAAGCTCTACTTCATGACCCTGTTCGTCATCATCGTGGTGCTGCCCATCGTCCTGGCCTTTTTTGCTGAAAACATGCTCAAGAGCAAGCCGCGCGTCTTTGCCTTTCACGACACGCACTTCGGCCCTGACCCCTTCAACATCGCCTTCATCTCCTTCACGACGTCTGACAAGATGGGTTTTGTGGCTCTGGGCCACAACTTCATAGCCCTGGCTGCCGGCCTCGTCGTCTTCATCCCCTTTGGCACCACCGTCGAGGGCATGAACATGTACCGCAGATGCTTCCTTGCCATGGGGCTCGGTTACATCTTTCCCGGTCTGCGGAAGGAGTACCAGCCCAAACGGGGACGCCGCGGTACCTTTAGCTGGTGGTCTACCTTGACGCGCACCATTCGCGGCAAGACCGTTATAGGATCGAGGTGCGTTGATCCCCCCTCTTCCATCTCATCTCCAGAGTGCGTCATGACTAACACCCACCCTTAATAAGCAGCAGCACCACCACCACGGCCGTACCCGTCTCCCAACAGTCGTCCTCCCCTCTGTCGACCCAAACAGAGAACGAAAAACCCTCACCGACTTCAACCCACGTGTGCCCCTCGCCACCCAGAGCGACCGCAGAACTAGCAGCAACCCAGCCTGCCAAGGGCAAGTCCAAGGCGGAGGCGCCCTGGTCAGAAATCTCCCCGGCCGACATCGAAGCCAAAAACGCCGCCCTCGAGCGCGCCGACAGGATGATGAACAACCCCACCGCAGCCCAGATCTCGCGCATGCCCTTTGCAACAGCCGCCCTGCCGGCCCTTCCGCCTTTCTTGCACATCAGGGACGCCAACACTGGCAGGGAACGGGATCAGTATCAGCATCAAGCTGCCCACCAACACACCCACACCCACACACTCTCCCGCTCCTCGTCAAGCTCCTCAACCTCGTCAGTCTCCTCCGCCCGCTGGGCCAGGCACCCGCACCAGCACCGGGATCCTGCCGCTGCCGCCGCCATCGGTGTGGACACGCGCGTCTGGTCCGACGAGCATGGCTCTGGTCATGATAACGGCAACGGCGACGGCAACGGCCGGGGGGTAGTGAGGATCGAGACGCGGGTTGTGCGGTCTACCGAGGCTGCTGCTGGTAGCAATGCCGAACTCGCTAGTGCTGGTCCTGGCAATCATCATCCCGCCACCACCAGCGGTACGACGGGCAGGGACAGGGGCAGGGCCAGTGATGCGAGGAGGAGCAGCAGGACTGACGGTGGTGATTTTGGGCGTCTCTCGTCAGCGAGCTAGGCGCTTGTTGTCGAGAGATCGCTTGCCCTGATCGGAGGAGGAGGCGGCGGCGGTCAGGCCGGCCGTGACCGTGACCGGGAGAGGACATGGGAAGGGTGGTGTTGATTGATTGATTCGGTTTGGCTTCTCAATTGGATTGGTCGAGGTCTCACGTCGAGTTCGGGCTTGAAAATCTTTCCTTCTCTTTGGGCTTCTTTTTGTTTTCATCCTATTTCTGCTTCCTGGTTTTCCCAGTTGGTGATTTCGCGGCCAGGATCCGTACTTATATCATATCTGAGTGCTTGGTAAGTGGGTGATGGAAACAATAGCCTCTGAGACTGAGATTGCGATGGCGAGACATCTAACCACACCGAACTTATTGCGTCTCGGGCTTTCGCTCCTTTCCTTTTGCTTCCGTCCATAGCCTTATCACGACATATAGCCGTGCCTCGTCAGACTGGAAAACTTTGGCGGGCTTCAGTTATAAAAATGCATCCGACTTAAACCACCATGCGATCTCACAAATTTGGAGATGGGCCATGGAGCTTAGTGATTGGCGGCTTGCGCTGTACGGGATGACGATGACGCTGCTTCAAATGTTGCAAAGACAACCAGAAGCGGTCACAAACCAAATGATATCAAGCCTGTGGTGAGGTTTCCGATCGTGAGCACCTCATGTTAAGTATATATATGTTTGCGTAGGCCCCAGTCTCGTAAGTCTCATCTTACACAGCGTCAGCAATCTCGTTTCTGTTTCCCCGCCCGTTATCCGCAAGTAAGCGAAATATCGGCAGATACCCCTTTGACATAATGAGATCGGTATCATGAACTTCTTGCCTCGTCTTGTAAAACCATGCAAAAACATGCAAAATATGAGCACATTACGCCCCCGGCCCTCCCGCCCCGAGTGATGCAGCCGGCCGAAATAAGTCAAGTCGAACGAAGCAAAAAGGGAAACAACAGAGAAAAGCGCTTGTACCGAAGACTTAAACCAACCTCTCGTCAAACCATCTGGATTTCGTGTCACAAAAATATCCTACCTCTCGCCCCAAATGTAACGTCGCTCCCACGTCCACCCGACTTCACCACTTCTTGCACTCAGTGAGCGCCCTCGGTTCCTTCCTGTCCCATCACTCGCTCTTGAGATTCACTCCATCTGGCACCAAGGGTGGGCGAGCACCTGGCCAATGTCCAGCCGCTGCGACACATCACGGTTGAGCATTTTCCTAATCAGGTCGATGCTGTCGTCGCTGATGGTGTACGGAACACGCAGGTCGCGGTCCATGATCTCGTCGATGCTGTAGAATGGGTTCTCCTTGTAGATGATGGTGTACAGCAGGATGCCGAGCGCCCAGACATCTTGCTCCTTGCCACCGTACGGCTTGCCCGCGAGCACTTCGGGTGCAGCGTAATCTGTAGTCAAAGTTAGCCAAAGTGCGCCGGACAAGAGCCAAAGGGACGGGCTCGAAACCTACCAATAGTACCCACAAACACGTCAAAAGGCCCGCTCTTGATATATGCCGCGCTTCCAAAGTCAATCAGCTTGATCCGGCCTTCCCCGTCGAGAATGACGTTCTCGTCCTTGATATCCCGGTGCACCACGAGCGCCTTGGTGTGCAGATGATGAATCGCCCTCGCGACTTGCACAAAAATGCTGCGGCTTTCCTGCTCGTCCATGTTTGTCCGCAACTCGATGTAGTCGAACAGGTCCATCCCCGGTAGTCCATGCGGCACCATCTCAATGTAATAGTTGACTTCGTCCTCGAAAAAGTCCTCCATCTCGACAATGTTGGGATGCCTGAGCCCGTCCCGGCGGAGATAGTCGAGCACATGGATCTCGAGCGGCACCGTGCCCAGCCGCCGATCCCGGGTCCATGTGTCGACGAGGATGCGCCGCTTGGTCACGTACTTGAGCACGCACTTCTTGCCGGTGCTGCGGTACCGTGCCAGCTTGACCTGGCCGTAGGCGCCTTGGCCCATGTCCTCCAAAATGACAAAGTCGTCGATTGTCTTCTTCTTGGGCGGTGAGCCCGTCGGCTTCCCGGCCATGGACTGTTCCTTAGGCGGTTCAGGAGCGCGCTGCGAGCCAGTCAACTTGGCCGCAGCCGTCATTGCGACATCTTTTATCTGTCGTGCCAGGGACGAAGTGGCAGACACCTCCTTGTGCGACTCGTCCGAATCGGACTGCATCTCCAGAGGAGTGTGGGCCGGCGTTTGCCCCGGTGACGGTTGGTGCAGCGGGGTGGTGACGCCAGACAGTAGCGGCGATGCAACTCCTACGTTCGTTCGCGTCGCATGCAAATGCCTCGAGTATGTAATCCAAAGAGCAAACACCGTTTCCGACTGCGGCACAACGAATCTGTCGCTTGATTCGCCAGTAGGGGACTCTTCCTCACTGCCCTCGATCACCGTCTCGTCGTGCAGAGTAACTTGCTTTTCGCTTTTCACCACCCGCATCTGGACATCGATCTTGAGCTCCGATCCATCACGGTGCCGGGCCGGAAGACCTTCGGGACGCAGAAATCCTGAGGCTGCATCTGGCTGGCCCTCCTTCAGCGCCAAGAACGCTGACGCCTTCCTGAATGAGTGCTCAGGGATGACAATACCGTCGGTGAGGTGGACGCCGTCCTCCTCGGTTAGCACGCGGAGGATCTTGTCGAAGTTGGGGACTAGGTTGCTGATAGGCATTCCGTCCGGCTTTTCGTGACCAAACAGCGCGCCGCAAAAAACGGAATTCGAGCTCTTGATGGCCAGCGTCTCGGGGGAAACCACGATGATGCCGGCAATGTGGGGAAAGCTCGACACACGCAACTCTGTGGTTCCTGGAACTTGCTCTATCGTCGCCGGGATGTTGATTCTCTCGCAGTTGCGGCACGTGTAGTACTTCTTCTTGGCGATTTCCCTGTAGTCGATCTCCCCAAGCCGTGGGTCGAAACCTTGCCGCGGAATCCGAGGTATCAACTTGCCAATGTCGCAGCCAGGTTGGAGATTTTCGTTGCCCCAGATTGGGCCGAGAGCACCTGTCAGCTTGGTTACAATGCCATCCTCGTCAAGGTCGACATATGCGACATCCTCATGAATCTCTTCGAGAACCCAAATCAAGCCCACCCGCTTCTCCTTGACCCACAGACTGGCAGATCCAGTAGCACCGTTTCGTTTCTAACCACGGTCATTTAGCCACATGATTTTCATTCGATCCAACCTGGATATGGGACTCACTTGAATGGGGACAACGTCTCCGCAAAGCAACACTCCCCTAGACTTGTTGCTCGCGTGATGAGCTTGTTCCGGTTTTGGCGGCTTCGGATCGCCACTGTGGACGGTTGCTGGGCGTCTCCCGTTTTTGGGCGTCTGGGACCTCGAGTTTGGCTTGCTAAGGAGCTTCGCCGTGATCCCACCGGCGCGTACGCCGCGGACACTTGGCGACTGCGGGGCAGGAACCGGCTGTTGAGAAACCTCGCTCTCCGATCCATCGCCGACGTCGTCGTGAATGCCCTTCTGCAACTTGCTAACCAACCACGCTCTCCTCTCCTCCTGTATCACCTCCATGATGCCCATCTTACGAACCTCGGCTTTTGTGACACCGAACAGCAAGCAAGCGAGGTCATTTGCAGCCAGTATTGTCCATGGAGGTTTTGATTGAGTCGTGAAAATAGCCTGGGCCGCAGGCACCCACCTTGCTGGGTGGTGGCCATGTACGCCGGAAGACACGGCGGATGGCTGATTGAAGGCAGGTGGGAAGGGCGCGGATCGGGGCTCGGGCTGTGACGGCTCAGCAGCAAGAAAAGGCTGCGCCATGGCGTCGAGGAGCTTCTGCTGTACAGAGACGGGGGCCGTGTCTGTCATAGTCCGCTTCAAGGCACTAGGACGTCTTGAAGGTGGTGGTGACGTTTGGGCTGTTGTACCACTTTCATTTGTAGGTGTTCTTGTCGAGCTCTCAGAGTCGGCGACCCGCTCGCCGAGCGAGGGCTGGGATGGCGGGCTGGACGCCGATAGTGGCGCGTTTAGCTGAGCACTGTGGGTATCGCCAAACACCGGCCCTGAATTGGTCGGGGACACGAGCGGAGTTCTGTCGATGGGGTCGGGGCTTGCAGTCCTCGGGGCAAACCCTTTTTCGAACACGTTTTCGTCCGAAAGCGCCGCTGGGCCGCTCAATGGCCCGGTGACAAGGCTGGGATCTCCGTTCGGGATGTTGCCAGCGCCTACCAGCTGTGCCTTGGCCAGCAGTTCCAGCATGTTTTGCGTCTCGACATCCCCGGTAACCCGCGCTTGCGCGCTGGCCATTGCTGCGTTGGATGCGACCGACCATCCCATCCGATCCTTCATGAACTCTAGCGAACGCTTCAGGACAGCTTGGCGATTATGAATCAGGTCTTCGGACTGGTGGGCAAACGAGAAGGAGTGCAACGATTCAGACGGGAAGCGAGAAAGATCCTCTGTATACGCCGGAGAACTCGGGCCGGGGGATAAGGGTATCGACTGGCTGTGTGCGTCTAGCATTATAGAGAGCGATGACGACCTCGTCAGAGTTCCTAGAGACGGTGTCCTGCTTGATGAAGAAGGCAGAGTCGGGGCCCGCATGGGATTATGTTGTTGACGGATGCGCCGAAGCCCAGACACACCCAAGCCGTGATCGTGGTCCGTCATAATGGGGCTCCTAAGAATATGGTGAGACGAGACCTAGACAATCACATGCTCCCCTGCTACCCAGGCTGACCTTGAAATTGTGTCAAATTCGGCTGCGGCAGCGCCGGCATCGAGCGAGAAACGGATGCGAGACTGTTCGGAACTGTCACCCATAGCGCCGAGATTTCCAGTGCTTCGATTTTTGGGAATCTGCAAGGCCGGCGAAAGCCTTGCCCGCCCGCGGGCCTCGGCATCGTGCCGTGTATCGTCGCCTTCTATGGTGCACCAGGCCTTTGGTTAGCAACAGTCATGTATCTAGGCATCTCGAGTCGCGTCCAGAGGACGTCAAGATCCACTCACCATGTTCCGGGTTTCCGCCATGTATCCCCAGCATAATTGGCAAAATCAGTCTTCGGCCAGGCTAGAGGAAACTGAAAGAAGGGTACAATTTTCCTCTGGCCGAGAGAATCCGTGGCCGAATGGCGCCTTGTTGTTCGAACTTTCGAATAGAGGGAATGGTTGGTTGGTCGTTGGCGGGGTTTCTGAGCGATAATAAAGCAACAGAAGCCACGGCACAATCCCGCTATAACCGTGGCTTGAAACGACCGGTTGGGACGATCTTTGTTGCTAACCCTGGAGATCTGAATCAACCGGGGCACGACTGAGCGGCCAGAATGCGTTGGATATCAATTGGACAGCGCTGTGACTGCTCAGGCGGCATCCGGCTTGCCGGGAAGAATGAGTAGACAGTTTGGACCTTTTTTGGGGGGATTTTTTCCTCGATGCTTCGCGGTCCGACAACGAAGATAATTCGGCTGTGCTGCGTCCACTAAGATATAATACCAGATCCAGCATGCAAAGGAAAAACAAATAACTAAACGTGTTTGACGCCCAAACGCAGGAAAAAAAAGTCGCAAAGAAATTGAGGCTCCAAACCTCAAACCCTGGGTTGATGGTTCCTAACCTTAGACAGGTGACGAATGATGTTGGCCAGGTCCGAGCCAGTTTGAAGTCCAGACAGTGTGTGCACAGTGCTGTCCATCACTCCATCTAGATACTGAAGTACTAGTAAAGGTCGACGACTGGCAGTTCTGACTATGACCGCGGCGATCCCGTTGAGTAACTTGAGCGGGGCCAAAACATTAGACCTGCCCGTGTGCAAAGGCTTAGTTAACGTTAGTTCAGTGTCACTGATAATGTCCATAACGTTGGTGTCCCATTGTAAATACTTGAGAATCCGTCTCTCAGCCCGCCTCTCGGATCCAAGTTACAACTTATAGGTGTCAGGAAGTATTTGTAACTGACCCATGCTAAGCTTCACCGGCAACACTTTGACAATACTACATACCAGTACTAAGTTTCCCAATTTCTATTCGAACGTTTGCTCTTTCCACGGTCCCTTATATGTACATACACTACGCAACTTGAAGCTGCCCACGCCATCAGGATATTCAACAACACTCGGATCCACCACACAGTTTGGGCGGGCAACGCGCGTACGGTGCTGTGAGCCAATGCAGCGAACAGTTTTCTTGCTTCTCGCAGTTTGTAGCCAGCGATTCAGACACCATGTGAAAGAGCGAATAACCGCCGTATGGTGTAACAGTTGGCAAAACGGCAACCGGGGAAATTGCTCAGACAACCATAGTAGGTTGTTGGGAAGCTGTTTCAGGCCTCCCGCCTAGCATTCCAGTTTTACTGGCATTGATTGCAAAGGCAGCAGGATCTATCCGCGCCTACGCTAAACGCTTGCCGACACCGATCGCGATGGGGCCATAGTTAGTGCAGCCCTGCTATACGTTGATTCAACCTTCTCGATGATCATTGCCTATTCTTGAGAGACCCCGATTCTCATACCTTGGCCGCTCAGGTTTGCCGCCCGTTCGCTCCATGTTTTTAGTGTTCCCATGCCGGTCATCAAATGCCTGGGCTGCAGGAGTTTCATCAATCAAACATGATTTGGTCATGGCATGCCTTGGCAACAAGGTGTATGGAAGTGTAGAGTGTGTGCGAGATTTACACGTGCAGACGGGAGCTCTTTACGAACCATCCGACCATCGCCACACCGACAATAATAAAGACACGCGGTGCGAAGATGCCGGTAGCCGTTTGCGAAGCCACCGTCTGCCAGACGACACGAGACCACACTAGCGATACATGGGCGAGGGGCGGCGGTGGGGTGATGCAGTCAGCTGGCTTCGGTCGACGACAGACACGTGCTCAACTAAAGATTCGCATCGCCTCGTTACTACAAGACGGCGAGAGGTTGACACTGAAGAAGGCTGGAGTAAACTGGCGCATTGCATTGGCAGGATGTTCAAAGTTGTCGAGAAGAGGGTTAGGCTTAGATGTAGACGAATGTTTGGGCTCCGGGTCACCGGCCGGCCGGCTTTGTCTCCGCGATCGGCCCCACCGTAGATCCGCTTGGCGCGGATCCCTGGACCATCCAAGATCCTCCGTTCCGGTCGGCTAACGCGCCGGCATTCCCATTGGAACAGCACCGCGGGCCATCCACTGAACTGTAGCGACGTCGGTCAGCCATCGAGTGTCTGCCATGCAAGGAAGCCTACCCCGTCTCAAGCCCGTGCAAGGCTGGTCTCGTGGCCCTTATCTTACTGTTTCTCCTTTGGCCGTGTAAACGCATATCTGGTCAGATGAGATGCGGTTCCCAACGAGCCGTGTCAGCGGGTCCCCGGCACTGCCCCCTCAATGTCGCCAGAATCCTTTGGCGCTTCAATGACCAAGAGCGTCGTGGAGCCCATGATTCCGGTTCGTTTATGGAGGACTCAACAACTGGTGCCGCGCAGTCAAATCACGATTCACGACCGCAATTGACCGCTACCCAACACAGTGAGAGAGTTATTGGGTACCTACGGAGTATATGTAGCATCCTTACATGTATGTACTGTTACTCACCTTTCCATACCCTTAACCCACCCACACGTGTTCCAGGGAAGGTAACAATGGATTAGCGGCTCAAGTGATGGTTGCACTTGAAGTGGCACAGGAGCAATTGCAGGGTGCAAGCTTCGATAAGAAAAGAAAGTTGAGAAGACCCTGCATTTGTCGAGCGCAAGAATCGATTGTCCAGCAGCGGCACAACTGGGTGGGGTTTGCCACCATAATGCGGGGCTTTAAGCGGGAAGACCGAGAAAAAAGATGCTGAGGTTGTGTCGAATTTGCGGGGTTGCGCTCCACAGCTTCTTCGAAGATTGCTTGGAATGCCCCGAATGCTCTGAGAATATCGTTATCGACGACAAATGGAAGAGTTAGCGGCCGGGACGGTGGACAGACAAGATAACTTCCGGCTCACCACCTTCCCTGCTTGTCTTGTAGAAGACTTCACCAGACAACGACCACAGCCAATCGTGTCCTAAGTTGCAAGTCATGGACTGACCAAGGGTGCCACGAAGGGTCGGTCATACGCGTTTGGAATGTCTTGGTTGGGCCGCTTTTGGGTGTATCCGACCCAAGAACGCCGAGCATGAAGGTTAGCAGGACGTCGGCACCTGTTGGTTATTTTGAAGTATCCGTAAGTTTGGGAGAGCCGACTGTCCATGGCCAGCGAGCCAAGGTCAAACTACCTTTGAACGTACTTTGCCATCTGAGATATCACCGGAAACTGTATTGGACAAACTCTCTCAAGTAGACAGTTTGATAGCTCAGATCCCTTTGGTAGTAACCTGGAAGATCTCTGGTGACCGTCAGGAACAAGAAAGTGTGTTGGGACTGGGTTGATAAATCCAAAAGGGCAACCGCCCCTCCGGCTTCCAGTCGGTCTTTATTTTCCATTTTCATCCCACCTTTGCTCGTCCGGGCTTTCACGTCGATTGCCCTCTCGTTTGCCAAAGTCACCTAGTCATATTTCTCCACATTTTATCTTCCGATGGTTTGACACGCGGCGAGTCAATCGCTCTCCCGTCGTTTCCTTGGCGAAACCTGGTTTCGGGCCCAGGGGAAGGATTGGCAAACCCTTACGCTACTTCGTACATTAGAGGCGGCGAGGGCCCAGATTCAAATCTTCGATTTACGAGTCTGAATTTGTTCCAATCCCCCAATGCTAGTTCCCTTGCCTCTCCGCTCCAATCGAATCCAGGAGGAACCGGGTGTGTGATTGCGAGCATTATCGTTCCCGCCACTGCTTCGATACAACAATCACAATACCCTACTTGCCTGAGTACATACAGTCAACTGGCGACGAATGCGTCACGTTTAGTCAATGAATCTCTGACTGGGAAGAGCTGGCAAAGCCCGTCAACGGGTTTGTTGGGAAACCCTTTCCTTTGTTCAGTTACTTCTCCCCTTATCTGGACCTCCTGCCCACTCAACCCACTTGGCCCTGGGCTGCATCTCGACCCCGCTCACCACATCGACATCACAACAAGCGGCCGTCTGATAACAACACCAACCGGCTCATCGGTCCCAACAGCAACACCTGACGAGACGGAGAGCAAACTTCGATCCCACACTATTTCGAGACTCAAACGACTTGTCTTCTGGCTCTCTCTGTTGTTTGACACGATCGGCTTCAGCCCATCCCGGATCAGCCACCACCATGGACGATTCCGATGTCATACAACCCCTCCCGGACACGCCTCAGAGCCCTGGCGTGCAGGATGGGGCATTATCCGGCGACGGAGGCATTGAGAACGAGGCAGAAGCACGGCTGAAGAAAGGAGGGCGTCAAAGACTACTCCGTGGCCTGCAGCGTATCTCATCCTCGCCCTCGTTGACTCGTTCCGGCCGCCCGAGGGCCGCAAGCAGCCCTTACTCGCTGTCGGGCACTCTGTCTTGTGTGAGCCTGGCTTCGACCGCTTCTCCTTTTGGCCAACCGAGCGCAGGCTCCTATTTCTCCCAGACGTTTACAGCGAACAGCTCAGGCACCGGCGCGTCGACGCCAGCCAGCCCGATGGTCGAGCAGTGCCAAGATGACGAAGCTGAATGCGAGCTGCCCAATCGGAGGGTCGAATGCGCGATGGCTGCACCGACCACTGTTTCTGTGCCAATGGCGCTCAGAAAGAAGACCAAGGCGGTCGATATATGGAGCGGAATACCTCTTGAGCTTAAGATTCACGTTCTCTCCTTCCTCCGGCCCAAAGAGCTGGTGCGAGCTTCGAGAGTCTCCAAGGGCTTCTACGAGCTTTGCTTTGACGGTCAGCTGTGGACTAGCTTGGACGCATCCGAGTTTTACCGCGAGATACCCGCCGAATCCCTCGCTAAAATCATTCAGTCGGCCGGGCCGTTTGTAAAGGACCTTAATCTCCGGGGCTGCGTTCAAGTTGAGCACTACAAGCGGGCCGAGGTCATAGTCAACGCATGCCGAAATCTGATCAATGCCACGTTGGAGGGATGTCGAAATCTTCAACGGTCAACCCTACACAGCCTACTAAAAGCCAACGAGAAGCTTGCTATCCTCAACCTCACGGGGCTCGCCGCTGTCAACAACGCCACTTGTAAGATCATAGCTCACTCCTGCCCACAGCTGGAGGTGTTCAATGTGTCGTGGTGCAAGCAAATGGACGCCCGAGGCATCAAGTTTGTGGTTGAAGGATGCCCCAAACTGAAAGATCTCCGAGCTGGTGAGGTCAAGGGCTTCAGCAACACTGATGTGGCCGAAGTCATTTTCAAAACAAATAGACTCGAGCGGCTGGTCCTGGCCGGCTGCGAAGAGTTAAACGATGTCGCCCTCAAAACCATGATTCACGGACCAGACCCCGAGATTGACTGCCTCACCGATCGCCCAGTCGTACCTCCCCGCAAGCTCCGACATCTTGATCTCACCCGTTGTTCACAGCTCACCGACAATGGCGCCAAAGCTTTGGGCTACCTAGTCCCAGATCTGGAAGGCCTGCAGCTATCAGGGGTCTCTCAGCTGACTGATTCCGCCCTCGAGCCGATCCTAGCATCAACTCCTCGTCTTACCCACCTCGAGCTAGAAGACCTCTCAGAACTAACCAACGGCCTTCTCTCCCAGCACCTTGCCAAGGCCCCTTGCGCGCCATACCTGGAGCATCTCAGCATCAGTTACTGCGAAAACCTGGGCGATCCGGGCATGCTGCCCGTCATGCGCAGCTGCACCCGCCTCAAGACCGTGTTCATGGACAACACGCGCATAAGCGACCTAGTGCTGGCCGAGGCCGCCGCCATGGTACGCGAGCGGTCCAACTCTGCGTCCCGCCCGCCGTCCCTCCCGTTCGTCGGCCTCAGCTTGGTCGTCTACGACTGCCCTCACGTCACATGGACCGGTGTGCGTGAGGTCCTAAGCCGGAATGCCGAAGCGGCCACGAGGGCGAGAAAGGGCAAGGCTGCTGCTGCTTCTTGTCCTGCCGCGTCAGCCCGACCGCCGGCCGAGGTCATCTCTCTCAAGTGCTTCTATGGCTGGCAGCAGACGGTCGATGAGCACACGAAGCGCGTTCTAAGGGGCGACGTCGCGGCCGCCGACAGGCTGGAGAGGAAATGGGCGGATTACATGCAGGCAAACGAAGAAGCGGGAGTTTCCGGGGCGGCCGGAAGGCGGCGGAGGAGGCGGCGGGCGCGCGAAGCGCAGCAGCTGCACGAGGAGGAGGGCGGCGCCGGAGGAGCCGGAGGGAGCGGTGCTGGTGGTGCCGGGAGCGGACCTGGCGCTGGCGGCAGGGGGAGGAGGAGGGCGAGGACGACGGGTTGCCTTGTTATGTGAGACTGCTTCCTCACCCATCTGGTGGTTCGCGGTGAGAGATCAGGTGGCGGATATTAGCCAGTGATGCTGCTGAGTTTGGCTGGCCCACATTGGTCGGTTGGCACTTTGGATTTACGCTACGACAGCGGACGGGATATGAGGCGACACGGTGTGGCATATGGCGTGATGATATGGGCAATCACCGGCGGAGGATGGGCGAATCAAGGAGTACTGCATGGGTTTGGGCTTGTGGCTGTATTTGGCTTGGGAGTTAGGTTTCGATATGGATTGCATGACGAGAGATCGGGTGGTGGAATCTTTTCCCTGGGTTGCTTTACGGTCTTTGGCGCCTTTCCGGGCGTTTACATCCTTCCCTTAGAGAACTGCGTAGCATTATTGTGTTTTTACATGCATCCATCATCAGATCGTCTTGCTCTAGGTTTACAGCACTTATAAGAAGATTAGATTTTTCTACCCTGTCTCGTTCACTAACCGGGATGGCCCTCCTACGATCTCATCCGGGGACGGCTTACATAGCCCAGTTCACTCACCCTCTTAGGGGGACGAAACGGGCTGTTGAGTTTTGTCCAGCTTCCTCCTTTTCCCAGTCCTGGCACCATTGTGCTGCTCACCTGTTGTAGCGTATAGACGTGCGAGTAAGTTGAACATCTATGCCAGAGGCCCGTGTTCAAGTCAAGTGCAGCAATCCCGGTAGTGCCATGCGGATCGGGAGTTAGGTATTGCTGTTGGGACTTCTGTTACATAGGTAGTACTCAAGTCCCTGCTGGTTCTGGCAGACGGCAAACCGCCGCAGCATGGAATGATCACATGACAGTATTAGGATCAGCCTGTTATTGTGAGTTTCTAGGTGCGAAGGGTCCTAGAGGATTTGCAAAGCCGCATTGCATTGCCTGTTGACCAGTTCACGGATTGCTTTCCCCGGCCATTCGGCGGGAAGCGAATCCGCTCTTGCATCGCTGAGGCCCGGCAGGTCAATGCCCGGGGACCCCGCTTCATACCGTGGTTGGCAGGCCAATTGAGCAGCTCTCGCATGCCAATGGCTACATTCCAGCTAACCGTTGAGAGAGGGCGGGAGAGCTGCTGATCCAGGGATAGGGTGGGAGGGAGGGTACCGTTCCGGGACCCGGCGACAGAGTATTCGAAACCGGCCAGTCGGAGACCACGAACTTCCAGCCGGTGCCGATGAGAGGGTGGGGTGAACGACCCTAGTGGTTATCGAACGTCATCTCTCGCAATCAGGCAGTTCGCATTGTTGCGGTTCTCGTCCTCCCGCTCGCGGCTGCGAGCCCTGCAGTGTCGAGTAGCACAGCATATAACCTCCCTCTTAGGGGCGTGCAGAGGCCACTTTCCCCCCACAACCCCAGGCGGGAGAGAGATCTGATGAACAGGATTTCTGGTTGCGAATATCATCCATCTTCCCGTAAATGGACCTGTCGCCATATCCGGTCTGTGGCACCATCTCGACGCAGGTATGATGAAGACGAAATAGGATCCGACCCATATCAAGGTCCGAAACTCCCCGGCTCAGAGCCGCTTCCAGTCGATCTCCTGTGTCCGTCCAGGGAATGCTCATTTCTGATGGAATGTGGGTGAGGGGTCGCAGATGGGGGTAATACAACGCGTGGGTTGCTTAGGGGTTAGGAGTTAGGACGACTTGATTGTCACCCCCACAGGTTCGCTAGAAAGTAGGCCCGCCGGTTAGGCATCGTCCACTGTGACTTGCCGGCCCCCATACGAATGATAACAAAGAACGTTGCTTGGAGGCAGCGTCAACGAAGCAGAGGAACTAAGGAAAGCTCAATCCCGGCGGATGAGCGGCATCGCGAGACCGTCGAGTAGGTCATCGGCGATGGACCAATGGCGGGCTGCCCTGCTTCGACTGGGGTTAAAACTCTCGAGCGGCGGGTGCAGCTGAGCGGGATGGCGTCTCGTACGCATCCAAAGCCTATCACTGTCGTTGTTCCACACAAGTCTTGAAGAAGCTCCCTTGCCTGCCTGGCAGTCCGAACCCCGCACTTGCCCAGCCCGGGGCCGGAGAAGAGCGAAGGCCAAGGAGTTCCGTATCCCAGGGAAGCTTTACGGGGACTCGAAGTAGCTTGGATGATAGTACTCTTGGGTTCTTTGCGGTCGAGATGCGCTGCAGAAGCAGGACTCTCAGCGTCACAGGGCAGCGCAGACAAGCAGGTGCTAGTGTAGCACCTTCCAGGTTTGCTTCAGTTCTGCCCTTTAATTGACTGGTACAGTTGTCGCAAGGAGTGCCGTTGCAGCGGTGATCTGGGAGGGAAAAGGCCGACGAGGAAGTGAAGGCCCAGGTACCTCCGTAGGGTTGAGAGCTTGGAGGACCGACCTATCACGATTCTCAATACATGAAGCATAGAAGCACAATCCACAAAAGGGAAGACACCGTTGAGACCGGAGGTTGATTGTTAGTGTAGTAGCACTGGTCGATGGCACTTGCTCGTGGGACGGCTTTCTTGGTGCGGGGAAGTGAAGATCAGATGAGCTGAGAGCAGTAGCATCTCTATTGTACTGTATTGTAACTTTGTACTGTATGTAAGGTATCCGTACCTGGGTGGAAGACATCAGAGTTGCTCTGTAAGGTAGTGGCGGGACCCTTGAGCTCACCCTGAGCCTGAGGAGAAACTAAGTTAGCTTAGCCTCGATATCTGACTCTTTGAGAGGCCAGGGGCAGTCCTGTTCAGTTTTCGCTTCGCACACACAGTGTTCTGTGTAGGTGGCTAATGTTATGCAAGAGAGGCAAGGTAGGTAATACCTGTGCAGTACCTTACATGTACATACATGCCTGTATGTACAGTACATACATCATGCCTACTAGCATTCGCAGTGGTCATTGGACACTGCTGGTTCCAGGTTGCTGGCCGGTGTTGCTCATTGTTTCTCGCTTCTCGACTCTGGCTGGTGTTCTTTCAACTGCCCTGGTTCTCGCCGTTCGTCACCTAAAGCTTCTGCCCTCTCAATCTGTTGACCCCTCTTTCCTTCTCTTCTCAAGCTTTCCTTCTCTTCCTTCCTCCGCACGGTTTTCTGCCTCTTATGCGGTGAACTCTACCTTATTTCTCAATTCCCCTTCTCCCTGAATTGCCATTCTTCCTCGTTTCTCTCCATCCTCACATCCCTCACCCGACATCTCTCACACGGTGGGAATTGGAACCTTTTACATATCATCCCCGCGCCCCGCCTATCGGCTCCCGGATCCTCGATTTTCCGGGTCTCTTTCTCAGGTCCAGTCCCCGGTCGCTCCTCTTCTGCTTTCCGCCGCCTTATCTCCCTCCCCTGGCCTGCGCACAGTCCAGGAGCCCCGCCGCCAGAGCTCATTCCCTGGTAGGTAACGTTGAAGGTTAGCCCGCGTTGGAACCCAGCACGCCAATTGGGCCTGCCCACCCACCGCCTGCTGCAAAAGGGTATGTGGACAATGCCCCGCCATCGGCTGCCGGGGTAGCTCTCCATGGCGCGCCTGTTTCCTCCTGTCACCTGCGCTCGCCTTCCTTTCCGCACATATTGAACTACTAGACAAAAACGAGGTGGAAAAGGTCAAACAAGAGGAAGGGATAAACAAGCGCAAATTTCCCAGAACAACATTGGATACCCCATGGTAGATATTGCTCTGCTGCGGTGCCTCCTCTTCGCTTTCTTTGTATTTTGTTTTCGTGGCGCAATCTTCGGTGGGAGCTTGGCCCTCCTGTCACCAAGACTAACCATCACAAAGTTTCCAATCATCACGTCACACTCCTACCGACCGCCTCTGCGCAAATCGAGACGGCTGATCCCGCTCCTCTTCGACACGCCCACTAACAATTCAAGAGTCCTCTACAACGCGTGCTCTTGTCGTCCATCACCAACATGTCCGGCCCGCAAGACATGCACCTCAACAATGGCGCTGAACTCTCCGAGTCGATTGAACAGCTAAAGCTCGGCGACGAGCCTCGCCTGGGTCCTGATGGAGATCCGGCGCCGAAAACGGATGAAGAGTATGCTCAAACTCAACTGACATTGCGGGCGATTGTATCCTCTAAGGAGGCTGGAGTCATTATCGGAAAGGGCGGCAAGAATGTCGCCGATCTTCGTGACGAAACGGGCGTGAAGGCTGGCGTTAGCAAAGTTGTACAGGGCGTCTACGATCGAGTCTTGACAATCACCGGCGGGTGTGAGGCAATCTCAAGGGCTTATGCCGTTGTTGCCCGAGCTTTGTTGGAAGGTGCCCCGGCCATGGGCATGGGCGGCGTCGTTCAGAACAACGGCACTCACCGTATGGCCTGGAGAATGTTGATTTATCTTTGAGCGCTGCTGACTGTTGAGTGCAGCAATCAAACTGCTCATCTCCCACAACCAGATGGGCACCATCATTGGCCGGCAGGGCCTCAAGATTAAGCACATCCAGGATGTATCGGGCGTGCGCATGGTGGCGCAGAAGGAGATGCTGCCGCAGTCCACGGAGCGCATAGTCGAGGTTCAAGGCACGCCTGAGGGCATCCAACGGGCCGTGTGGGAGATTTGCAAGTGCCTAATCGATGATTGGCAACGGGGCACAGGGACAGTCTTGTATAATCCCGTCGTCCGGACCCAAGGTACCGGCGCACCCGGCCTCGCGGGGGCCAGCAGCTACGTACAGGACCGAGGCCCGTACAGTGGCTCTCGTGTCACGCGAACAGGCAATGGTGCCGATTTCAGCAACGGCGGGCCTCGACCCTTCAATCGCCGCTCCGATTCCGATGCAGCTGCCCGTGGTCCGCCGACCCACGATGAAAACGGGGAGGAGATCCAGACGCAGAACATTAGCATTCCTGCAGACATGGTTGGCTGCATTATTGGACGCCAGGGCTCCAAGATCAGCGAAATTCGCAAGACTTCAGGCGCCCGGATCTCCATCGCCAAGGTGAGAGCGGCCGGCTTTGGCGCGATCCTCAGTTCACATTCCGCTAACGGAGGCGTCCAGGCTCCCCATGACGAGACTGGTGAGAGGATGTTCACCATCATGGGCACTGCAAAGGCGAATGAGACAGCTCTGTTCCTCCTCTATGAAAACCTCGAGGCGGAGAAGATGCGGCGCCAACAACAGGCCGCTCAGCCTTCCGAGTAGTGCCCGGAGGATGATGATGAACCGGTCCACAGGCTTTGATAAGCCGTACATGTTGTGACCGCTGGTGTTACGAGTGGGATTATTACCAACTGGCCAGCCAACGTTCTCCGGGGAAATCTTCCTGGGTTGGGTCGGATTTGGCAGCCCCTCGTTATGGGTCATTTCCAGATCTGACAGCCGCAAGGCGTATTATTCGGCGGGTGGGATATGACGTGACGACGGCTCCTTTATCGAAAAAAGCATTTCACCGGGTTCTTCTTTATTCTTGTTCCTTTTTCTTTTAGACCGGTTTCACTCACTCTACCATCACCCCCTATATTAGGGGAACCCAGACCGGCTACTCCACCGCCTCATGCCGCCGCGCCGCCATGACAGGGGCTTCGAGTTCGTGCAAGAGATTTGCCGAAGGAGACACTGAGTTGACGGCCCAAGCTTGGTCTGACTCTGGACGCAACCGTCCACGCTTTCCTCATCGGCCTTGTGACGGATTCTTTCCCGAAAATTGATACCGAAACTCCATGGCTACCATTCCGATCTCAGTTTCTAGCAGCCTTTAGCCATCCGCTTAGCCTCTCAACCGACCCCATATCCTCGTCGCGGGAAGGTTGGACCTCATCTCAGTATATTCGATACCGACCACGAGTGCGAGCCTATCTGTGCCCACTCCGACTCTCTTAGCGGGAAGGGGCTATGGCACAAATGTGCGGCCTCCTCATCACCGTCATCATTAGGTAGCTCCTCATCGCGCCCTGTCTTTGTCACACTATCACCACGTCTTTAAGATGTCTAGGCGAGACATCTAGGTGGAGACGGGAACAAATAAGTATATCAGCATCATGAACGCGTCCGTATCTCATGTCACGACTGTGATTATTGGTTCCCCTAAGAAAATGTGTAGAAGTTGGGCACTACCTAGCTGGAGCTAACTCCGTGGAACACCCACAGAGTTGGTAGCGGCAGTTGTAAAACAGCGCTTAGCGGCAGGGCTCCGGCGGCTCAATTCCCGAATTGGCGGGTCACATGTCCCTTAAATTTGTCCCCGGGCCAGCTGTTTTAGCGCGATGGTGCAATGGACCCCTAAAAGGGGTTTAGGCTGTGGGGAAGCGTTCTGAAAAGCCAGCCTGTCCGAATCCATGTTTGGACATTGGTGTGCAGTTGGCAATTGGCATTCTCCCAAAGTTTCGTGATGGCGGCCGTTGGCCTCATCAATTCCCGACGCCGCAATCCTTCGTTTTAACTTGCATTCGTTTTCCTGTTTTCCTGGTCCTTGCACGAGCTTGAAAGTATATACTTTTCGAGTTCACGACTGGCCACGCTTGTATCGCGATCGCTTTCGTGTTGAACAGGGACAGAGTTATCAAGGTTCTCGGGCCTCCAGCCAAAAACCCGTCTCGCCATGGCTCGTACGAAGCAGGCGATGCCAGTCCGCCGCGAACCGTCGTCAGAGTACGCTAGCAAACACGACCGAACACCACTATCTCCCACACCGACTGGGATGAAAGAGAAGGCCAATGAAATGGCCAATGAAAAGGCCAATGGCCATGCGTCCCTGGGCAAGTCGTCAGTCGAGAAGAAAGAGGCGGGCATCGTCACGCTCATCATCGACATTGCCGGCATCTACGCCTCCTTGTGAGCCGCTATAGCCCTGACTGACTCCTCCCTGATAACTTGGTGCAGCTAACTTTGGCTTCTTCCTCCATCCTCTAGTCTAACATGGGCCTATCTCCAAGAGAAACTCACAACCACCACCTACGGCCCCTCCAACGAGCGCTTCAAGTTCTCCGTCTTCCTCTTGACGATCCAATCGCTCTTTGCCGCGGCCGGCGGCAAGCTCTTCTCCATACTCAGCACCCCACGAGGTCAGCCGACACCGCCCATGATCCCAAACCGGCGGATTCTGGGCCCCTTGCTCCTCGTGGCCTTCACTAACGCGCTCGCCGCCCCGTTCGGCTACGCCGCGCTCGCCCACATCGACTACATCACGTACATCCTGGCCAAGAGCTGCAAGCTGCTGCCCGTCATGTTCCTGCACATCACCCTGTTCCGCAAGCGCTACCCGCTGTACAAGTATCTGGTCGTGGCGGCCGTGACGTGCGGCGTGGCCGTCTTTACTTTGCACTCGGGCAGCAAGAAGAAGCACCAGCACAACAATGGCGGCAACAGCGGCCAGACGGCCTGGGGCATGCTGCTGCTGGGCATTAATCTGCTGTTTGACGGCCTCACCAACAGCACGCAGGACTACATCTTTGCCACGTTCCAGCCCTATACGGGCCCCCAGATGATGGCCGCCAACAACCTGCTCTCGGGCGCCCTCACGGGCGGCTACCTACTGTTGAGCCCCTGGCTGGTGCATACCCCGTTCGGGGAGTGGTTCGGAATGGACGTCAACGGCAGCGGCGCGGGCGAGCTGGCCGCGGCGCTGGCTTTTTTGCGCAGGCACCCCGCCGTGTGGAGGGATGTGCTGGGCTTTGCGCTGTGCGGGTGCGTCGGGCAGGTGTTTATCTGTGAGTCGCTTCCACCCTT